TAGCTACAGCATCAGAGGGATGAGTTGCTAGGCATCTGCCCACACTGGCCCAGATCTATTCTCTGGCCCACATTTACAAACACTGAAAATGCTCAGTTAGTATTCGTATAGAAACATGAGCCCAACAGAAGCACCAAGTTTAATAAAACTAGTGCAAATACTTACAGTGAATAAAGCCTTTCAGACCACAGATATTGGCTGCAATTTCTTACTGAATCTGCACTAATATTCAACAGATCGACTCTACTTAACAAAGGCATTTGCAGTTGGAGTTTCAAAGTCAATTCTCAGTTTCATTTCCCCTCTTTTGTCTACTAAAAGATTTGAAAAGACTAAATTTCGATCTTGCAGCTGTAAGCACAACACCTAAAGTGTAAGACAGCGATCTTACCATGATGCTGGCACAGGGTCTGCCCACTGCCAACAGTGTGTTGAGCAGTCTCAGGAACAAGACTGTGCTTCCCATTCCAACTCTATGAGAGTTAAATGTGGGACTTCCTACAACTCTGGCTTTGGAGGTCTGTATATACTTGCCTCCTGAGGGATAGGTGTATGTGCTAAAGCCCAAAACAGGAGTTCTTAAATATATCCCAAATTCCTTGGCCACACCATATATCCTAGTCAAAGGGGACTGCATTCCCTGAAATAAGCTCTGGTTCTGTGAAACATCTTGAGGTAACACAGAGCTTCAAGATTTCCCCCAAAGCACGTGAAGGTCACTACTCTACACTATTTGATAATGTAACAAGCAAGAGGGAATCTCTTCTGAAAAAGGATTTTTAAACATACACATTTTATTCAGCAAAAGCATCAGAAAGATCCTTGTGATTTACTTTTCCAACACTTTTTCATTCAGCCCATGGCACCCAGTTCTAGGATAATCTATTTCTGCCTAGTTTTGCCTTCTCATTGAAGGAGCACCACTAAAACAGACCTCATTTTTCTGCAGTTTCCAGTTTCTTCTGTCACATGGTCTCCCAGCCAGGACTTTGAGTTTAACTGCTATGCCTTTAAGTTCCAGCCTGCAAGACAACTTTCTTGCAACTTTGATAGTAATTTCTATCAAAAAGAGATGCTGTAGCACCTGGACCAAGTCATTCAGGAGCCGGTTGCCCTTTTATCTCCTTGCTAAATCTTCTCTCTGTTACCCTGCACCTCTTAAAATTTCTCTAAATCCAGTTTAAAGAGAGGTAAGAAAGCAACAGAGAGGGCACAAAAAAGCCTCAGAGCACAAATACACACTTTATGTTGGCTGTGGACAGTGAAAGTGATAACTGGCTTACATACTCCTATGACAGCTTCTGGCTGCTTGAAAACTGCTGACCAGTTTCCCAATAGTAAACACTGGAATAACTTGCCCAGGAAAGACTGAAGTGTACATCACAAGAAATCCTGAAGGCTAGGTCAAAGAAGCACACTGAGAATATTTAAGATACAAATGATGTTACCTTAGGGTAGAGAGACATTGGGCTAGATCATCTCTCACAAACCTTTCATCCTGTATCATCTTTTAAAGTGCTATCACCTTCTCAGCCTGTATAATAACAGCATCACCTCCTTCAGAACACATTGCAAACCACAGGATTATCCTTCTTCTGTAATTGTCATTTCTGAACACCTGACACATATCTGTCAGGTGGATAGTGCTTGCTGTCCAGGCAGAAGGATTATTTCTAGTAACTTGTGCAAGTGTTCAAACTATGAAAACCAAAAATTAGTACTTCATCCAAAAAACTGCAAAAGAAAACAACAGGCACTGTGGAGCTCCCAAGGAGATTGGATACCAGGTGATTGGAGAGCTGTCTGCACCAGAGAATTTAGAAAGGTACAGAGAGTCAAAAGAAGGACAAGGTCAAGTCTCAATCCTGTCATTCAGGGACTAGAAAATGTTGATTAACACTTAGTATGATAACTGCATTATGAAAGAGTCGCATACATAAGCGAAGAAATAGAATTTGACTGGATAGCACAGCACTGCCAGTTCTTGTTCTTCTATTTGCTCATTAACCACAAATAGTAACATTTAAAGGCTTTCATTCATGCATAGGCAGGATTACAGACTAATTTTACAAACCCTACTGCAGAGCTTAAAAAAAATAAATCTGTGCTAAGCTGAGCCACTACAGCTACTCTATGGGTAGATTTCAAAGGGCATCCCCCTACAGAACTGCAAGCATCTGCCTACCTTCTAGAGGGGATCAGTGTAAAACTTTATGAACTAATTCTGACCAAATACCATACTTGCACTGTCTGCCAAAATCAGAGAACATTGTGCTCATTACTCAGCTCCTGTGTAAGCAAAGCAAATTTCCAAGGAGATGCACCAGGAAAGATGTGAAGACACACATTTTATCATTAGGAATATTCCTTCATGCCAGGCCTTCAGGAGAGAGCTGGCTCCACAAGAGAGACCATCCCACTGAACTCCAGGACTTGGAATAGTTCATACAACTACACCACAGATACTAGCAGGGGTCTGACAATGCTTTCACACCTTGCCTTTCAAAAACAAATTGAAACTAGACCCACCACTGCCTTGCCCACTGGGTCAAGGTGAGTCAGGTAACTCCCTATGACTCCTCTTCTCTCACTCATTTGCCCCCAGTCAGGCAGCTTCATTCTAAATACATTTCCACTTCGGACATAGCTGAACTACATTTGAGGACAGGTTAAAATAACTGTCCTGCCTGAGGCTGCAAAAGAGCAAATGCCACGCTGTCCTGTTTTGTATCACACTCAGTCCCAGCAGGACTCCATGGCAAGGTTAGGACACCTAAGGTATGTCCCAGGCATAGGTGTGGGCACAGTGCCCCAGTGTGGGCACAGGCAGGGCTGAACACTCAGCTGCAGCACCTACAGATACATACTTGGGTAAAGCAGCAGCAACTGGCAACAGGTTCCTCCCACTAGAGCTGTATTCTGAAGGTCCTTTGTCACAGGGAGCTCCCTTCTGCATATTCAAATAACATCTCCAGAAGTGTTTCCATGTAGGTAGAAGAGGATTAGGAATCAGGGCCACAACTTTCAGCTCTTTCCTGTAGACAGAAGACCACTTCACTGAAAGCAGTAAAAAGGCAGTTGTGCTAAAGAAGCTATCTAGAGCCCTACTTGAAAAACTTTAAACCCATTCTTTCCATGTTGTTATTGTTATTCTTAGAACTAATGAGATGTTTAATGTTTATAAGTCTTGATGAAAACCTTTCTGCTGGTAATATTACATAGTTATGGTGAAAAGTGAAGTCTCACTGATTACACTACATTTTCACAAATACGATGTAAACTGAAGTTAGAGTGAGAACCAGGAGTTCCACTGCTCTTACAGCACTGCCATGCAAATAAAAATACTCCCAGCTGTTACAGTACTGAGATAAAATTATACATGAATAGTACTGTCATTCTGCACACACCAAGCCACAAAAGCCATTTAAAGAAACCTATTAAAACCTGTTAAAAACCTATTCTGTTTCATCTCTTACTTTCAAGGCCTAGCTCTGAGGTAATTAATACTTGATAACTAACTGCATGCAGTGCACAGTCCAGGTTTTCCATAGGGATGGTGCCAAGAAAGAAAAAAAATCTGAGGTCAGAGCAGACCATTACAAGAATCAAGTATATCTGGGTACTGAACAAACAGGCCACAGTCTCTGGAATTCGATGTCTCTGACATTTGAGGTTAGAATTTAAGAGCAGAACCACTCTGTCATGGATGAGCCACATTTGTCTCCTTTGAAAGCCCATCAGATACATGAAACATTTGGAGCAGACATGAAGTGGGTGGTGCTCTTTTACACTCTCTTCTCCAGTGACAGTTTTGGTCCTCACCAGAAGAAATAGCCAGGATTTTGCACTGGCCATTGCAGAAAAGGGTGGCACCTCCAGTTTACGCTCAGCCCATTACAGCTACTTCATTTTTCTTTGTACAGATCTTCATAACAGAGAAAATAAACAAGACATCAACAAGTATAATTCCTCATCCACAGAGACTTTACAGTCTCATTTCTCCCTTAATACTGCTCATAATTCTCTCATCCCTTTTTTCCGTCTCAAACAGATAGAGGAAGCATTTAATCTTTAAAGAACCATTTTAATAATGTCAGACAAAAATCAAAGGAAGAAATCACAGATTATGAAAATACTTGATTTGTTCACCTTCTGTTCTTTAAATATCACCATGGAATTTGCATGACTGACACCAAAATCACAAGAATCAAAAAGAAGATTCTGTCTGCAGAAAGTCAGATGTACTGATGGAGTTTGTGCATCTTTGCAAATATCAGGCACTTACAAAGACCATCAGTTTACTGGAACAAAACAGGTGATGTGAATTAATGATCAGAAGAGAAATAAAATTCTTTAACTTAAAGCATTCCACTTCCAAGGTACTGGCCTACGAAAAGCTCCATGACCACTAGGGAAAAAAATGAAATAAAACAAAGCAAACAAACAAAACAAAAAACCCAACCCAAACCAAAAAAATGAAAGTAAAAATTCATCATTTCAAAACCACATTCGGCAGGCAGGTTAGTCAGAGCAGCCTAAATTTCACACATCCTTGTACTTATCAGTTTACTTTAAGTCTTCAGAGATAGCAAGAGGGAAGAAGTAAATTGCCTTTCTAAAAGGGGACAGATGCAGACTCCATGTTACTGCCGTTTGGACCAGCTGGCATTTGAGTGCTCTCTTCTACAGTTTTTCTCACCAATCCTGTAAGAAATCAACTGAAATTTCCCCAAAGTGTCATTTGCATTAAAAATTAGGTCTACTCAATGCTGGCAGTAAGCCAAATGAACTAAAACGATGTTGATACTCTAATAAGGTGATTAAGGAAGCTGAAAGTGTCATGTCTATTGGCAGCTCTGACTTACCAGTCCACTTAAATGAAACCAGCAAGGTAGTGGGGGCTGCACACCCTTTTGTAGGCACCTCTTCAGTTGCAAAGCATGGTAAAAAATAAAAGCATAGGGAGGTTACTATAGTGTAAGCAAAGTACAAGGACTACATTTTTACTAGGCTGATGGAAACATTACCTTCCAGTTGAGTTCAATTTCACAGTCCAAGGCAAATTTCAAAGCTCCAGCTTTTATTTTTAAAAAGAAATTCAATATGTAACTGAGAGATTTTTTAAAAAAAGTCTTTGAAGAATTTAAGTTGTTGTCTCACCTAAACACCTTCCCTTTTTTGGAGATTCAGTGTTAATCAGTGTGGTTTGAAGGAAAGGGAAGCAAAGGGTGGAGGGGGAAAGATAAAGAAATACTCAAATCATTATAGAAGCCTCATCCATAGTTCTCTAATGAAGAGTGGGGGTTTATAAGTTTCATGCTTCAGGGTTGCATTAATATTAGGTTCGTCCACAAATTCTATTTCACACGCCTGGGTGCTGCAAGGAGAACGTTCCAGCTCCAACACTGTTATGTTGTTTGGCGCTGACGCGACAAGTACATTCCTTGGGACATAAAGGGTCAGCTGAGGACCACGGGCTGGCCAGTAACGACCAAGATTAAAGCCATTGATCCAAATTTGCCCCTGTTAAGAGAGAAAGAAGAAATAACTACATTTTAATAAGCTGTCAGAGATTAAATGACAAAAGAGACTTAAGCAGAACATTCTTGATATAGTAACTGACCTCCCTTCACCTTTCAGTTTGATTGAACACAAGGATAGAAAATCTGTACAAGAAAATGCTAATGACAGTCAAAAGAACTTGAATTCCCTGAGCAGTTAAAGACATCATTAATATTTAAAAATAAAGCGGTAAAATACTGCAGTAATTCCAAATATGACAATAATTAGAAAAACAGCTGTAGGCTCCTTGCACTGATTTTTGCCCCAAGTTTAAGAGCAAAACAAATCTGAAAACTGTATTTGCTTAAAGCTAACTGTTAAAAGGAGAATGAAGTCACAGAAGAAAAAAGAAGATCCTAATGCTGTTGTGGTTCTCTGTACAAGTCTAAGACTACACTGCCTTCATAGTCCCTGCTCTGTGACTTTGAGGGCAAGATACAGCTTGTCTAGACACATGAAATTCAGATGTCTCTTTTACTTGTAATAGCTTAGTTGACAAAAGTATTTGTGAAATGACACTGCAAGAAAGTACTGTTGTTGTTGCATGCAATCATTAAAAGCCTTGGGACCTGTTAGTATTATTTTAAGTACAAGGAAATTGTGGCATACAAATTCTTGAAATTTATTTTTATAGTTGAGGTGGTCAGAACCCCTAGCTCAAAATACTGCCCTATCATCATAAATACCTTAAAATAAAAAAATTTTTAAAAATGGGCAAGGAAAACAGGAAAAAAGTCAAAACACTAATTTATCTATAGACACACTGAAGTGACATAAAAGCAGATTTTTCCAAAGTCTATAAATTGGCAGGCTGCAGAATGTTTAGTAAAACTGTAAACTGGCTCCTACTGAGTTGAGCTATGTTGTTTTTTAAGGAAGACAGAGGGAAGATATACTGCTGATTTGCATAAATAATTTGCTTTTACTTCTCCAAAGTGTCCTTTCACTGTATATCAAACAAGAGTTCAATGTCAAAAGAAAGGGATGGGAACAGATAACGGAATCCATGTTTTTACCTCTTGCTTTGGTCTTTAATAATCAAAACATAGAAGAAAACTAGACTCATAGCATGGATGTACACATAATAAAATTGTCTGAATCAGTGGAAAGTAGGACTTTTACTGCATTCAGTGATTTCTAAAGTCGGGATAGCTGAAATCAGAGTATTTTAACATGATTTACAGAAGCACAAATGTAATATAACAAGTATTGCCATTCAAGATGCTTTAGTGGTACTTTTCTAGTGTTTCCTTTCTCAGGTATTTATGAAAACAAATTCTATGAAACTCACAAGAGAAATTTTTTAAGGAGTTAGCAATGTACAAATACAGTTGAGTTATTTCACCTCTGTATCCACTTCCGTGGTACAAGATCCTATCTTGCACTGTTCTGCCAAAGTGTTAATAAACCTTGACCTCAAATGCTTTTTTTTTTAAAATCAAGTTTATCTTTATACAAGCTCACTACTTTCTGTAGTAGGTTTAGAAGAAAACATGGCATGAACACAAATTCCCCACACACAAGATGGATGAGTGAATGCACCCACTAGACAGTAGCCCTCTTCTCACAAAGAATGACAGTAACCTGTGGGAAGTAGGTGTTTACTGTGGGCATCAACTGCACTAGAGTTCTGGTGCAAAGATAAGATCAGACAGGTCTCTGTTTCTGATCTGAATCAGTCACTAGTTGTAACTCCTTTTTCCAAAAAAAAACAAAACCAAAAAAAAAACCAAAAAAAAAAACCAAACCAAACCAAACCAAAAAAAAAAAAAAAAAAACCCCCAAAACCAAAAAAAAAACCAAAAAAAAAACCAAACCAAACCAAACCAAAAAAACAGCTAAGAACTTAAATTTCTTAACTCCAAACTGTATTAACACTGCAGTTTCTAAAGACTCCACACTGAGGAATCTGTATGTGCTAAACAAGCAAATTATGGCATTATATCTACTAATAAATATGCCCTAGACAAAATAAAAGAGAGAGGAACCTCATCTTCACTAGTAAGATTTCCTTTAGCAGGGACAGCAATTATAGCCCATGATTCTACAGAAAACAAGAACAGTCCTGAGTCCAAATCCTCTTTTCTTTTGAAGAAAAAAAGGTCCAATAAATCTAAATATTCATTCAGTGGCATGTATGCTTAAGCGCATCATGATTCCTCATGTGAGGGTGGAGTAAGTTTTATTACTACTGAAGGGTTTAAAAAGCACTGAAGGCAAGCAAGCTAAAACATAGGTCATGATTCTTAATACTGCACCTTTCCTTCCAGGCTGTCCCTCATGCTATATTCCTTGCTTTTGCAAAGGCAGAACAATCATTAGGACTTAAGTTTTCTTGATAAGTGCTGCTTCTGTGTTTTTCAACTACTCAGATAGGTGAGTTTTAACCCCTGCTAAGAATCCCACTCCACACTTAGGCAATTTACACAGTGCCATGTAAGGAACTAAGGCCCACATACAGTGGGACCTGAGTGGAATTTATACCCTTTAAGGTCCTCTGCCTTAAAGGCATTTGCTCATTTCTAAAGTTATCTCAAAGTCTCAGTTTCCAGGTATCTTACTTAAAACTCTCATCCAATCCATATAAAGCTTGAAGGATAAATTCAACAGCCAACTTAAGTTCATCTGGAATTTCTCCCTAGGACTGCCTTACAGGGTATACAAGCTATGTAAAATAGATGTTTCCATAGATCAGAGGAAAAGATTTCTACTAGTACCTAAGAATTCTTGGACTATCTTGCCATTTTAAATATGAGTTTGCCAACTGGCAGGTACAGCCACCTCACTTCATGAAGAAGATTTATGACTGATAGGGTCACAGAATTTACTAAAAAGGTCTAAAATTCCAGTTACCATGAAAACAAGCTATTTTTTGAATTTTATTCAGCGATTGTGTGACATGCATGTATATAGGGACTATATCAGACTTCCTCATTTGAGCTCAGTATCAGCAAAACCAAGAGCATGCAATGAATCACAGCCTTCTGCATATTGTGAAGTGCTTTAACCACTACAATACTGGCAGTGGAGACAGATCAATAGCAGCTCCTTCTCCCACTTTATTTTAAGAGCAGTAAATTGATTGTTTCAGAAAAGAACAATTTTGCTACCTAACACTGCCACAGGCACTTCCCTAAAGCCTGGACTTAAACACTTAGGCTTCCAACAGGAGTAGCACTTCAGTGAAGGCACTCTGCTCCCTGTGCCTCCCACCAGGTAGCTGAGCTGCTCCTCACCTATCCTGCATGCTGGTGGTTTCTAACATGGCACTGTGAAAACAACACTCCTTCCTGCTCTAGCTACACTCCAGCCCTGTGAGAAATTCCCATTGGCAGAGATCTGTCCACAAGCTTCTCATAGCAGTGCTCCCTGATCCATTCAGTCCAGCTAGAGGTAACCTTCTCCATGCATTAAAGCCATATGTGTGGCACACCACCAACCACAGAGTCCAACACTCTTTGTACTTTGCAACACGATCCATAGTTCCTCACACAGCACCTCAAATATGATCCAAAAAAACCCTGCACAACCAAATGCAACATTTCTAAACAGCCTGACAGTTAATCTTTCTCACTGTTGAAAAACCTGGGTGGGTTGGTTCAATTGCTTTGGTTTTGGGGTTTTTTTTGTGATGCTCCACTTTCTAGATCAACACCATGTACCTTTTGAATATATTTCCCTTTTCTTAAGGTTTTATCTCCAGATTTACTTAAAGCAAAGAATCTGTTTCTTAGTAATTTAAATATATTTGAGACACCCACCACTACGACCAATTTCTACCCATCTAACAGAGGTGGACTTTGATTGTCCATAGAAGTTTTGGTTGCTTTCTAAGTGGACTTAGAGGTTTTTACAGCAAAAACTTGTACCTTGGTCCAACCAGGAAAATTGACGTAGGTGTCTTGTGGCAAGTCTGGAATGCCTCCAGGAATTGAAAGAGTGCCAGTGTAAAATGTAGGTACTTCGTAACTCAGTGCTTCAACAGCAGATCTCTCCAGGTGATCAAGGAGATAAAAAATGTCAGAGTTCACTGCTCCGTCTATGTCTAGAGGATAGATTTCCCATCCAACAAGTATATCTTGAGCAAGAGTTAAATTTGAAACTAGACCCTAGGAGGAAGAAGAAAAAACCAACACAAATATATGATTAGCTCATGTTTTTGAAGTTATTTGGCTGCAACTCTAAATCAGTCATGAATAAAAACTGAATCAAAGTAACAGCTTTTCATTCAGTAGAGCTGCCAATCCGTGTATAAAAAAACAAGCATCTGGTCTTCACCAAGTTATAAGCTTTGCTTAAAAATAAAGGGCTTCATTTATTGTCTATGAAAGATCTGTTCCTCTTCAATGTTTTAGGCTTTCGATACACCAGGGGTTTTTTTTCAAATTATTTTCCTGTAACTGGGAAAATTTCCGATTTGCTTTAACACGAACATGATTCCAAAACCTGAGGCTAAATAAATAGGAGAAGCAAGATTAAATATCATTAAGCCTGAGATACTGTCATTTGGTGATACTGAGTCACTAACCCAGGACATTAATTTGCGCAATAGCAGAGAAAGTGGTACTTACTTTCCACAGATCTCCAGATAAGATACAGTATCATAAAGTCAACGCAATTCAGTGAAATACTTTCAGCTTACAGTCAGCTTCAAGCCCATGGAATCCCATCTCATTTCTATAGGACCATATACACAGTGGTTCACAGCACACCGGGGTACTTGCACATTGAATACCAAATCAAGGTAAAGTCATAATTTAACAAGGAAGAAAAAAACATCAAGTTACTCCTGCACACACCCTAATTTTGTTAGAGTAATAGTTCCTAAAGCAGTGTTTCAGTGCAATGCAAAGATTTGGTTTTAACTGCTTGAATAGACCCTGCATAGAAGCTGGTTTTCAGTGCAACACAAGTTATATCACAAACATCACACCTCAAACAGGAACAAGCAAAACAAGTTTCTATGGTTTTGGAGAGCTGATACTATGTTTTGTGTCTGCTGTGATATCTCATAAGCATTGCACTGTCTCCGAAAGGCTCACTATCTGTACGAGCACTAAGTGGTTTTTCTCTTCCTTTAACTAATGTCCACTTTACAGAACAGGAGCTTATTTTGACTATGTCAAAATAAAATATCTACAAGTGTCAAAAGTTAAGTGAGCAAACTTTTCTATATAACCTAGACTCTACTCTGTTTAGCCATCAGCTGAAGTAATGCAACATAACTTTAGGCTGAATCTTCTAACCTGCCTCCCTAAACTCATCTCTAGGCACTTTTAACAGGGTGATTTTTCAAATGATATTAAGTGTCTACTAAACATTCTTAGGTCTGCATAAGAATACACATTCAATGATCCTTATCTGGAGAAGATCTGTAGGAAGTAAATACCACATTCTCTGTGATTGTGCAAGTTAATGTCTTGGGCTAGTGACTCAGTGTACCAAGATGTGGATATAAATTTTCCAAGTAAAACTGAGACATAGGTGGCAGTGTGCATGTCAGAAGACACATAAAAAAACAGAAACCACACTCTTCCTTCCCTTGTGTCCTTTAACAACACGACTTAGATCAACAGGATGTTTTAAAATCAAAATCCTTTCAAGATTTCTACGAAAAAGCTAGATTCCTAGTTCCATTTCAAGCTCAAAAAAATGATAAAACTCCAGCCAAACAAAAACCTGAAAACCTATCCTCTTTGCTAAAAAATGCAAGTCTTCACAAGGCAGGAACCTCTTCCCCTAATTGGATTTTCAAAAGCATATGAATTTTTAAAACCCAAGGTATAATTATACCCAATTTTCAAAATCAATACAAAGGAGAGTGTGAGGGATGGATCCTATATAAAGAAGCAATGCACATAGGCCAAAGCTACGCAGGGAAAGTTGCCTCTTCTACACAGAAAGATTCTGCTTTTAGAGGATTATTTTCACCATGGACATGTCTCTTAAAACTGCTTTCACTCTGAAATTGTTAAAAGGAATAAGGGTGAATTTCAGCTCAACCACAGCAACTGAGCACCTCTTTAACTAAACCTCTAAACCTCCATTCTCTTAATTTAACACTAAGCATATAGGTTTCCTTATAATCTGGCAGTAAATAAATCAATCAATAAATAAATAAAAGCAATGTTTCTGCTGCCTCCACATGAAGGCAAAACACTGGAGTAACAGCTTCCTTCCCCTGCCACTCAGATAAAGCCACAGTATAAAGAGACAGGTAAAGAGACAGTATGAACACAGTTGGGACTACTGCTACCTACTGCATCCTAATAATATCAAAAATCAAAAACGACATGCTGTGAACTGTACACAGCACAAACATAGTACAATACTGACCTCTACAGCACTCCTGTCTTTATCAACTCTCACACAGCACTGAGGATCCCATTAAGTCTAAAACCAGAAAAGTTTACTTTTTGCCCCTGCCCTTCCTAGTGCTACATTAGTGGTACCTCCACAGTATGGGGTTCACATGGCAAGGGTTTTTAGCAAGGGGAGCTGCAGGGAGCTTTTCTGAGAAGATCCCAAAAGCTGGCCCATGTTAGACAAAGACGGTTCCAGCTGACTCTGAAAGAGAAACACTGCTGAGCCCATCAGTGATTCTGGGAGCATCTCTTTGATGACATATTTAAGAATAAATAGAGTTCCCTAAGCTGAATTTGTTTTGAGCATGACAGTAATTTCTGAGTAATCCCCTTGTCCTTATCTTGAACCACAAACACTCAATGGTATTTTCTCTCCCTTTCCTGTTGGTGGAGGAGGAGTGACAGAATGGGCACATGGCTTTGTGGGCACATGGCTACTAGCCAAGGTCAACCCAACCCAGCCACTCATGCATGGAGATGACAATCCTGAAGTGTAGCACACACCCAGAAGCATAGGGAAGCTCTCTGGTAATTATCTCTAACACCTGGTCAGTCTAGGTGAACTGGCACTTTTGCAGCGCTCATGACAGCCTTCCCCAGTCACACTCAAGAGTACTGCAAGGGTACACTGCTGACAAATGAAATGGGAAAGAAGAAAGATACAAAGGTGCATTTATGTACGCATACATACATCCCACCAGCCTCCAAAAGCAATCCCAGGATGCAAAAAGCTCAAAGTGCAATCAAGTTCTGGACCGATTTCCAACCCATTTTTGGAGTTTATAGAAACAATTTTAATATTGTTATCTACAAACTCAACTGAACTGGAAAATCTTGTGGGTGACATTTTGGCTGACAATGTAAGTGAACAAAGTTTAAAAGATGTCTAGCAGCTTTTAATTTAACATTGATTTTACTGACTGGAAAAACTCAGATGGAAACTACTGACTAGTCATATTTTAGGTAAAGTTACAGATGTCTAATCCTGATCTTTTTGCTCTTCCTAATTCACTACCTTCTTTTTAACCTGTACAAAAGATGAAAAGACATCACAATCCAATAACTCAATAGATTTACTCACCTTAAAGTCATTATTGTATCTACCAAAGTTGACTCGGCCCATATTCTCTACCAAGATGTCCAGATTTGCTCCAGCCTGACCAGTTATATTTATCTGAAGTGATTTGTCTCTTTCAAGGACACCCTGAGGTACCTACATGAATTGCAACAAGAAGAACAATAACCACTGAAAACCAAAAATGCACTGTTATTTGTTTTTTCAACTTGCATGAAGAAATTAAAAGTAACAAAGGAAAAAAAGGAAAAAAGGAGTAAAGAAAACCCCTTTCCTCTCTGCCTCCTGCCTGTAAGCACATGCACACACAGAGGGCTTCTACATCAATATTCACATTTCGGTACATCAACTGAATGTGATAGTGGGTTTTGATGCACCTGATTCACAAAAACCAAGTTCCCAAATTTAGTCCAGTGACTGAAAAGATTTTGGCAATATCAGTGTGATTTAATCATTGGCTTCATCTTCCAATTATGTGAGCACCAATATTTAGTTTTATTAATTCCTATTCCCGCAACACAAGGAAAGATGAGCTTGATCTGGACAAAAAGGTAATGAGAGTCAATACGGGTTAAATATTAACTAAAAATGGACCGTAAAATACATGAATTTATATTAATTCTCATTAAGCAAGGCCAAAACCCTGCTTATGGAAAGAAAGACAAAGTTCACATTCTATACAATAAACTTCTTCCTTTTTTTTGAAACTGCGGTTAGGAGCCAGTTTCATAAAGTAAGACGTAGGCTCAGGCTTCCTCCTTCTTCCACCCTCAAAGGAAGAAAAAAGAGAATACTAATAAGGAGATCTTTGCAAATACTGCAGAAAGCCACCAAGTGTATATATATATATATAAGTAACATATTCCATAAACATGCAGGTAAATCCATTCACTAGGTCTTTTATTCACCTTAGTCATGAATATGTATCAACGTTCAAATATGTCAAAAATGGCAAGACAATAGATAGTCATGTTTTCTGAAATACTAATCTGAATATCTGGTATGAATCAAGTATATACTTCCTTATTTTCCTCATGTGATTAAATAAGATCAGGGTTGCTTTGGTGATCTGGAGAAAGGAGGAGAAAAAACAAACCAGTCTGCATCCTCGACTTCCATGAAGGCCACTGATGGCAAAAATTAATACCAGCAAACAACGTTTTTACCCCATTGACAGAGACATAGGCACGATCATGGACTCCATTTAAAGGTGAAGACAGTGGCGTTGGCTCCAGACAGTTCTTTGGAAGTGTAGTTCTATACAGTACATACCCAAAATACTAGGAAAAGGAAAAAAAAAAAGCCAACAGATTAATGAACTAAGTCATTCTGTAGTTTCAATTCAGGTCATGAATTAAAAATATCCTACATTTCTGCCTACATGCCTGCACTGAAATGCTAATTTTCATTCATTTCAGACAGTGACTATCAGACACCATTTCAGATTACAGTTTACTTTGACCTTTAGGCAATGAGTGACCTTTAGGTAAACTGGTGAAACTCTCTTTATAATTTTATATAAAAAACTTTTAACTTCACTTCTAACCCAGTGCCCATAAATTGATATATTCATCAAGTCAAAACTATCTAATTATCCATTAAATACTATATGGTTTACATCAGGAACCTTTTGGAATCATTTTCACTAAGCTCCTCATCAGGAATGGAAAATAGTAAGTCATAGCCATTCTAGAGACCTTAACAGGCTTGAGAGTTGGGTGGAGAGTAACTAACAAACTTCAAAAAAAGGCGAGTGCACAGGGCCCTGCACCTGGGGAATAATAACCCCATGCACCAGCACAGGCTGGGGGCTGATCTGCTGGGAAGCAGCTCTGAGGAGAAGGACCTGGAGGTGCTGGTGGACAACAAGCCGTCCCTGAGCCAGCAGTGCCCTAGTAGCCACAGAGGCCAATGATATTCTGGGGGCATTAGGAAGAGCATGGACAGCAGATCAAGGGAGATGATCCTGCCCCTCTCCTCAGCCCTGGTGAGGCGACATCTGGAGTGTTGTGTCCATTTCTGGGCTCCTCAGGAAAAGAGGACAAAGAACTACTGGACCAGATCCAGCAGAGGGCTATGAAGATGATAAACAAAAAAAAGTCTCTTAAGACCTGAAAATTAATACTTCAGAGAGGAGAGAAATCAAGGTGAAAGCCTAAACAGCACAGATACATCCACAGGAAGAAAACCTCAGGTGCAAAACAGGAGCACTGTAGAATATGAAAAGGCCTCCAATGCAAAATTCCTTGATACCTTTATAATACTATTACTTGCGTGCTAGATAAAGGGTAAGACATGACATAAGAAGAGTAGTACCACAAAGGGTTGCTCAAATAAACTCAAAAAAATTACTGCAAAGTGCCTACTGAAGGAATCCTCACCTGCTTTATCTCAACAAAGGTCAATGGGTAAGTGCTTTTCACTGGTCCAGAAGGTGATAGTCCATCAAGAACCTCCAACACAGTGCTTGCCTGCAGATATATGAAGGTCAGTAAGTTTCAGTCCAAATATAACAGCACATACAGCCATCAAGTTAGTTAGCTCCATGAAAATTTAACAAATTTTTACACCATCCTTGCAGGCACATTTAAAATACAATATAGCAGAGACAACTGATAAACTCTGAAAGCAACATGCCACATGTAGAGCGATGTTTTAATAAAAACAGATGGTCTAATTTTCTATTCGTTCATAAAAATAAAAGTGACCTTTTATTATTTAACTAAGAAGTGCACCAGGAGTTTCTCACAAAAGTTGTATAAACAAACACACCTGTTCTGGATGATTAATACAAAGCAATATGTTATCTAAATTTTGCTCATTACACTTAGAATCAAGCTAGGGAAAATGCCATTGATTCAACTGGTTCCCAGTGAGTTACTCTGGAATCATTCTGAGCTAAGGAGGGATACAGTTTAATTCCATCAAGAGCCATTCAAGATGAATTTACCCTATTTAGTCTTAAATGATTTTAGAAACTCTAAGGCTGTAATTAAGTTGTCATATGTAAGTAGCTAGACTGGTTTTAATGAAACTGGGAGCAAGGTTTAGGCTAGTCACACACATAAATACCTTGCTGAATAAGGACTTAGACGTGTATAATTAAATTGCCTTTTACTGCCATTATGGAATATTCTACCCATCTACGATTCTCTCTCAAACACCACTATCAGTTTTAGATTAGTCAAAGTGCACACAATGTACTTTGTGTCTTACAAGCTCAAAGAACCAATCGCATATGATTTTTCATGTCAGTCTGTTTCCCCAGAATTATCATCACTGTTCAGTGGTAACTACCTATTAGACATGCAAATACATCTCATATACCAGATTTAGATTAAAATGCTTAATAAAAAAAAGAAAAAAATAGGTGTTTAAAATAGTGTAAAACTATATTGTAAGAGTACTCAGCAATACAAACTTCTGAAGGTACTTCAGTAACAGGAATATTGAATTTTTGCAGAACTTACATGGAAGTTGTACTGAAATATTAAAATGTATGTACAGTATTTTGCAGTGATGCAACAGAAGCCAGCATGAATTGTCTATGTACACATAATTAAGTCTGCAGTTTTGGTTGGGATACAGTTAATTTTCTTCACAGTAGTTAGCATGGGGCTGTGTTTTGGATTCTTGCTAAGACTGCTGATAACACAGGGATATTTTGGTCATTGTTAAGCAGGGCTTACACAGAGTCAAGAACTTTTCTGCTTCTCTCACCAGACAGTAGGCTAGGGGTGCACAAGAAACTGGGAGAGAACACAGCCAGGACTGATGACCCCCACTGACCAAAGGGATATCCTGTACCATTTGTGTCATGCTCAGCAAGAAAAGCTGGAGGAAAAAGGAGGAAGGGGAGATGTTTGGCGTGACAGAATTTATCTTGTCGAGCAACCAACACACATGCATTGTTCAAAAGGTGTGTGATGTGGCACTCTGGGACATGGTTTAGTGAAGAACACAGTAGTGGCTGGGTTAATGCTTGGACTCAGTAACCTTAGAGGTTTTTTCCAACATTAATGATTCTGTGATGAAGCCTTGCTTCTCTGGGGAAGGCTGAGCTTTGCAGGCCTCCCTCTGCAAAGGGAGTAGTGAATGAGCTCCTTATTTTGCTTTACTTATGCGTGCAGTTTCTGTTTTACCTACTGAACTGTCCTCATCTCAACCCACAAGTTTTCACACCTCTACCTTTCTGATTCTCTCCCCCACCCTACTGGGGGAGAGAGAGTGAGTGGCTGCATGGTGCTCAGCTACCTACCAGGATTAAACCACAACAATCATGTAGACACAGATCTAAACAGACTTCTGAAATGAGCTTGTCTTACCTCTAGCTAGGAACAAGCAAGTAAAAGGATGCCATAAGTATATAAAAGGTAACACCAACACTATCTAGAGGTTGGGTCACCCTCACTAGCCCACAGCTAAGCATGTTCACTTGGGCAAGAAGACTGCTGGTCACACATGGCTTGCAAAATTTTTATGAAAGCAGTTTGCTCTTATGTTTGCTGTTTAAAAGTTGTACCTAAAATAGCAATCATCTTTCATACAGTAAAATTTCTCAAACATTCTAAATTCCATATGTGGTCCACTCCTTATCTTGTGCTCCCCCAAGGGAGCCAGTAATGTTACAGCGATATCCAGGACTTGCCAGGCCACAGGAGAGATTTAGCTACCAGGCCTTCAACAAGAGCTGTGGAGCAAGAGATGCACAAACACTGACAAAGGTAATTTACAGAATTTAATAATCTTATGGGCATTAATAGTCTTAGGCCTAAGTGGACAGAAAACCAGAAATGAATACAAGCAGCATTAAGACATGGTCTCACTTGAATGAGCAACTAAGTGGCAATGAATACTGTTTTGTGTCTTTACCTGAGTAGTAGCAGCTTGTACATGTGCCTGTTAAGACTTTTTTTTTAAGTCCCTGCTACCAAAGGGGCTTCTATTCTGAATATGGGTCAACCATGCACGATTCACTTAGGGATTCATAGAAGCGTGTTTCTTTGAAACTTCAGTAGTTTGTTTTTGTTCAGCTTTTCAGTCTTTGGTGGTACATACAAAAAAATCTGTCAAGACAAGATCTTGTCTTGCTGGAAATTCCTGTTGACTGCTATTTAATGGACAATCAGTACCACAAGAGAAATTTAGTAGTAAACTTAAAAATTACAAATATTGTCAGGAATTTTTAAAAACAGCCTGTAAAACAGATGACTGCTTAAAAAAAAAGCAATATTTCTTTAATCCTCCAAAGCAAAGTCATCAGAACCCAAGTGTAAGGTCAAGCATGAAAGAAAAAAGAAAGGAAATAGCTCCAACAGAAATATCAACTATAGGCAGCATCCTGTTTGCTTAACCACTTTCCAACCCTAACACACACCAGCACTGCCTGCTACTTGCTATTGCTTGAGCTCTCCACATCCTAAGAACTGAGTACTTCTCCAGAACTTTTAAGTCTGCAGGTTGCTGTGCTAGGGCAAACACTTCCTTGTGACCAAGCACTTCTCAGGGCCCTCCAAGTGCTGACCAGAAACTGCTCACAAGCTTGCACAGCCATTGGAGGAACTAAGATTCGTTTACTTCCCTCTGGAAAGAATGCTTCCCAAGTTCTGGGGCTTAAATCCTTAAATCCTATCATCTTGCTCACACTTCTGGAGCTCATCTACTACCGCAGTTGTGTCTTTGCTTGGCCTCATTCCCCATCTGCAACACGTCTCTTTTGCATCTATGCAACAAGATTTTTTCCTTATCACCTGCTTTCCTGCCTTTGCTCTTACATAGCAATGTCAGTGTTTCCAGCATCTTTTAATAAACCGTATTTTTCCCACCCAGGAGGACTTTCTAAAATAAATCAGTAGCTCAAAATGAACAATTGCCTCTTCAGGGTAGTTGATACTTAAAGACTGAACTGCCACAGAACATCTTGAGGAAAAAAAAAAGAGAGAACAGCCTGCTCTGGTTACATGTACATCTGTAAAGTACTCATATGACCCCTGAAAATACTCCAGAGTCTCCTTTCTCTCATCCTTTCTGCAAAAGTGTCAAGGGAGTTGGTTCACTGGAGTAGATTCAATGCTCTCCATGGCAGACTGACTGCTAACACAGTATCTGTGTTGCACTGACTGTCACTGCAAATGACATAGATAGGAAGTTTACTGTTACCAAAGCTAAGTGCTCTTATTTAGAATATTCCCTCTCTGCTATTCACCAAAATACATTAAGGCTTCTCCACACAACAAGGTGCATTGAAGCTGGTTCCAGTTGAGGTTAGATCAGAGTTGGGAAGGTGGCTTTGGGCTGGCACAGCACAAACCTTCTGTGATTGGAGACTCGTCTTGTGTTGCAGGGTAATCCAGCAGAGCAAACTGCTGCTGAAGTTAAGCAGTGGGTCACAGAGCAAAAGGCCACATTCTTCACAGAGAACAGTTCCAGAGGCTCTCAGTGCAGATGGCAGTATATGTACAGGCATGACAGGAACCTTATATCTGGCAGCTTAGAAATGCCATCTGCATTCCTAAAACTGATGCCTGGAGAGTGAAACATTTCCTCTCAAAAAATCACAAAGTGTAGAAGGTGCAGGTCAGGTCAAAGATGCAGTATTTGAGCAAATTTGGTCATCTGACTCTTTTGTGAGAGTCCAGCAGCATTCATTTCTTGAAGGCATGAAAGAGAAAGTTCTTCATTCTAGTGAAACTGGACAGCCTTATCTGAGAGCCATGACCCATGAAAAGATGGGAGAGTCAATATCTGACAACTGGGCTGCAAATGCTTGCAACCAAAGACAGCCATGGTGGTGGGTGTAGCGATAAGAGCCTATAATTAGTCACACTGAACTGCCAGTTCAGTGAAATCACATATGCCAAGAAGACACTCGAAGGTTGTTGAAAGTGATACAGATCTCTTTCAACTTCACAGGTGAACCACTTTTATGCAAAAAATACTTCTGCCCACCACTTGAGCGGAATGACTTGAAAATGCCTGCAAAGCCTTATCACTACTAAATTTTGCAATGCTTAGCTGCAGAGATGAGATACATCACTAACTGGAAAAAATAACTGTCAAATTGAAACTACAAAGTATAAAATCAAAGCATTAGGAATGACAGTATCCAGCACATCACCACAGTAATCCTCCATCTCAAAACTTGTCTGTGCCCAGCAGAAAGAATATAGCCCAGTTCATACTGCTGTCTCTTCAGTTGCCCATTAAACCATCCACTTCACTCACTGCAGGAACCTAGTTCTCAAACATATCTCACAAAAAAATTGTCCTTGGTCTGAAAATGATGGTGCTGTGGTCAAATCCCAGATACTTGTGAGCTGACCAGCTATGCCACTCTTGTTAGACAGAACATAGCAAGGGTGGGGTTTGAGTGCTTAGTTCTGTGTACTTTTCCCTCAGCAGGAAACTGATTTAATTTGTCTCATCACCTACAGATCTTGTCAGAAACTTTATCAATAAGACTTTCAAACTTACCAAAAATGTTCCACATTCAAAATTTAAATGCCTAGAAGTATTTAAAATACATATATCCTACTTTTCCTTCCACTTTAGAGGCATCACCAGGGACCAAAACACTCTTTGTTGTAAGTCTCCTGGTAACATTCCAATTATCTACATTACTGATGGATGAATTATCTTTAACAACTATGAATCTGTTGTGTTAATAATAAATTCATTTCAGTTTAGCAAAGCTTCAGGCACATACTGCACATTGTAAACACTATCTTTTCACAGCCAGGTAAGATGCATTTGATCATTTTCTAATATGGGCATGATTCCTAACTCCCAAGCTCTGCTTCCTCCTTCCTCAAAGTTTACTTTCAAGGTTTTCCTCTTTATTTTGTAGGATATCTAGAGCTTGTTATGACACTCTTGTAAACATTTTTTATAAAAAGCAAACAGAGAGCATTATGAAAAGATACACCGTGTATTACAGATGTTAATTTACCTTCTGCAAGCGAACCTTCCCATATGCAAATTTGGGTGTTGTTGGAGGGATAAGACCTTCTGGTAACTGCTTATACTAGAAAGAGAAGGAGAAAACACACACACACAAGTTAAATACAAACACACTTTAACTAAATTCTCACTTTACACTTCACAACTTAAAAAATTACTACTTTGGCTTAAAGTAAATAACCTCCCTAAAGCTTACAGCTGCATGTAGTCTTAAGATGGAGATTGATTTTTTAAAAAGAAAAAATCTGACTTGATCACATATGATGAACAATTTTTACTAACTATTCAACAGTAGGTAAAGGTAAAAAGCAAAAATTCATTTAAAAAGTGAACTACCAAAATTCCCAGTGCCCTTGGAGCCCTCCTGTGGCTACAGCCTGAGTTACTGTCTTCCATAGCTTTTCTGCAGTCCTCTCCCCAGTTCATGAGAGCTTGAGTGAACTTTTCCAAATCTGTAGGAGAGTATTTCCACCTGACCCTTTGTCAGCAACACTTCCTCATAGAAATTATTAGCTTCTTGTGCCTTTCCTTTCAGTGTTACGATATTCCACCACCACCACCTGCTATTCCATTACTGCCTAGGCTGGGGTCTTTGAGAAATAAGCCTGGAGACCACAGCTCCATGAACCCCTGAGGTCTCATCTTTAGCTTCCCTCTGTTCCTGTTCTAGACAACTGTGTCACAGGGAAATATGACAAAGAAACACTCTGACCACCCATCTATTTCTGGTTTCTTCTTGTCTTATACTTTTAAGAAGAATCACCTGAAATCAGCAGAGAGAAGGGATGAAGGGCCTCCACTCACTACTTTCCTGGACACCTTTGAGGCGTGGCAGACCAGATAGTGCCTTTCTGCCCAGTACCTTGGCCTTCTCCTTTCTGTGCCTTCTTTTCTCCTTGCCATTATCCCCTTCTCCCTCTCTTGCCATTACTTAATAGCCACTCTTCCCATCTGTTCTTTCATTAACTAGACATAGCCTGTCTGCATATTAGGGAAAAAACTTCTGCAGATGAGATACCCATGTGAACAAGCAATCCAAGCCTACATTTGAATAAACATGCACAAAAGACCACTCTTGTGAAGAGTGTCTCCATCTACAAATTTGGTGACTTTGGAGTGTTTATCTTGTCAGGTTATTTTTAAAATAAATTTGATTAGGGGCTGAAAGGGTTTTTGGTTTAGCTGAGGGGTTTTGTGTTTTGTTTTGAACAGACCACAGCAGCATAATTCCCAATGCTATCCTGTCAAGTCTCAGTTACGGATGGATGAAAGCCTAATTTACATTTCTGGTAAGAAGTTAATTTTTTCTCCTTTGTATTGGAAAACAATCAAGATATCCAGGTTTAAAGAAAGCAAAAGTTGCATTCATCCAAGAGGAGAAGTCAAAAGCAGAAAATTTCAGCCCAAATAGTAAAAATTAAGAGAATGCTGTCAGCAATTGAAAGAAACTGTAGACTGAAAGTCTTCATTACATTTTTTAACAAATGGAAACTAAAAAGGAAGACTTTAATGTTGTCCTTGTAGCACAGCTAACATGTTGAACACAGTCGTTTGTTACAGGCAACTTTATTTTCTTACATCAGCTTCACCTCAAACGGCAACCGAGTAGATCAATTGTTGCAGGTTCAGAATGCACAGCAGTGATAGGAAAACTTCACTGAAAATCTATGGACATGTAAAGTAAGAAACAAACCAACCACACTCAAAAAATGACCCAGAATACCTGAGGTTATAGTGAACATTATGCAGCTAATCAAGGCTCTCTCACTGCACTAGAACATTGCTTACATCTCAGAGAGGGGTCTTGCACCTTGAAGAAAACAGCTCAAAATCAGTTTATGGATTTCTCTGGTGAGAAAAGCTGTATCAAGACAGGAAACTCCCTTTGGAAAGGCCATCAAAATTATCCCATCAATTTATCCCATCAGTCATAGGGATAATGGTGAAATTGAAGAAAAAAAAAAACACAACAGGCCTTCCACAGTTACAGAGATAAAGGCATTCTCAACCCCAGACAAAGTGTAGCACAATTCTGGGACATCTACTCTCAGAATAAAAATGTCTTCTAGTGAATAGGAATGTCACTGGTATGCAACAGGATAGCGACTACAAGCCTGAGCCTTAGGATTCACATGGAACCTGTTTTTAAGCCTCATCTGAACAGCCTCCAATGCAAGGCTATCCAAAACACAGACACAGGTTCCACGGTTTACTTCAATCTCCAGTTTGTGGAGACACTGTGCATTTTTACAGCAAGGCAAAGCTGGTCCCATCCACTAGCTGCAGTTTGTAACAACACAAAACCAAGATGTGTTCTTTTGAGTAAGACCGATCTTTCTCACAGAGGCCCAAAATCTCATCACAAAGCTTGGGACAGACAGCCAAAGCACTAAGCTGCAGCACACATCGGGCTGACATCAGGTCATGAGCCTAAGCTGACTGAATGGCTGACTGATGCTGCAAGGAAAAGGCTCTGTACACTCCTCCTCCATCTACTCCCAGCCAAACTTTTCCCACCTCCCTCTGCTCCCCTTGTGGCAGCACTGGATCTCATCTGACTGAGTGAGCTGATTCACCTTACTGACCTTGAGAGATAACAAATATAGCAAACAAAGGAGAGCTGAACCATGTCAGCATCAGACCTACACCAATATCCTCTCCTCTAAAAGGAAGGAGGAAGTCATCGGGACAGAAAGAATAGCTAGAGAAGTGCAACATCTTTTGCTTTTTGTAATAAGAAGCAGTTAGGTTGGCCTAATTGTCTTGTTCCATTTCACTTACTTCAACTGCAGAAAATACTAAATTGAGGAGTAATTTACACCAACACAAGAACAAGAGAGCTTGGAGTACACCGGGGATGTTTCAAAGAACCATTCCAAAAATGTCCTGATGACACTCACCATACCAATGACTTTTCTCAAAGCAAAATACTTTTCTGTCAGATCTCCTGCCTCACTCAGGGGAGCATCATAGTCATAACTAGTGGGCTGAGGCATGTAAGGCATATTAGCACCTACGGGAAGAGGAAAAAAGAAAAAGCAATACAAACAGTGGAAGAGATGCTTTTTTTCCAAAGGTATCAACTTTCAGAATTCTTTCCGATTACAGCCAGAGTCTGCTACATTTTTAGATTCAGTGTAAGCCTTGGTATTTGGGATTTGGCATAAAAAACTGTTCCTGATGGAGAACAACATCCTTGTGAACTTACACCACTCTGTGAAATATTCTAAAGATAAACACATTTATGTGTTTCAACTGTTTCACAGGACTGAGTGAAGCAGAAGTTGCCTTGGCAAAGACAAATACCATGTGGGTTTAGTACACGTTGGCAATAAACAAAGAACAGCTAGTGCACTCATGTCGTTTGCCATGTGCAAGTAGGCACAGCTTACTCTTTCACAAAATACATTACTATCTAATTCATAAACAGCTCCCCTCCACCACTAGTTTAATTTAAATAATTTCTTACCATTCCAATAGGCAAAGTTAGTCCCACCTATAAACATGTACCTAAAAAGAAAAAAAATCAGGTTTTGCTGAACTGGGAAAAGAAATCCCCCCAAAATTAAGCTGTACTGAACACACACTTACAGGTTAACGTTAGCACCACATGCCAGGATTTCATTAAGTGTTTTAGCTATAGTTTGTGCAGGCACAACAGAATGACGGTGCCCCCAGTGATCCAACCATCCAGTATAAAACTCAGAATTAACCTGAAAGGAGGAAGGGCAAAAGAGGAAGGGAAAACATGAAGAGGGAACAAGATCAGAATGCAATGTGAATTAAGGTTCCTAACTGTAAGAGGGAAGGAAAAAAAGGCACCTTGACTAATTTGAGCCTTTTTTAAACTACTATAAATACAACACAGTACATAATAAATCAGTCCTTTTCAGCAGACTACAAGTCAAAGGAATTGTTTCAATAATTTTACAGGGACACTTTGAAAACAAAGTAAAAATTTCCTGGGAACCTGTCAACAAGTACATGTTTCAGATGCTTGGCATTCAAATAAATGATGGAACCAACATATTCTCTGCAGAATAGCATACACAAACTAGATATAATAAAAAATATTTCAAATTGCTTTCTAAACAACTCTTTAGCACAGAGAATCTCGTACCCTCAGTGGGCCTTCTTCCTTTGTCAAAATGGCTTCCAGTGTTCTCACATCCCACTACGGCTGGTGTAAAACCTCTAGGGTAGCTGAAAACAGGAAGCAACTTCTAATCTGCCCTTTTAATTTTGCTTTTAAGTTCCACCTACACCCATATCTGACTAACTCATCTAACCATCCTTAGTGTTTCCACTGCTTTGTAAACATTTGTCTTAGCAAGGAAAACTACTGAAACAAAATCAATACTTTTTGAGACTAAAATAGCATTTGCAGAGCAGCAGTTAATTTGGATTTGACCAACACACAGAGAAGCTCCTCTATTCACTTTTTCTGACTTGGAAATTATGTTTTCGTCAACAGATGCCTAGAATTGTTCAATGCAGTGCTGTCAACCCCTCTCTGACAACTTCAAGATTAGAAATGATACAAAAAGTTTAAATGAAAAGACATACCAAAGGGCCTTTAGGTTCACTACTCCTTTGAGCTAAGAATGCTGCTGTGACGTTACCACCTACAAACAGAAAAAAATAAAATTGAGTTGCTATATCCATGCCTTTCTGGGTCCGTCATTTTACTGAATTGATGTCTTATCTCTCTTCCAGCCTAGCAAAAATCATGAAAGTTACTCCAGCAAACACAGGAAGCAGTACTTTTGATTCTGATGTTTAATTTGCAAAACTTATTTTAAATATATACATACACATATGCATGCTTGTGTACATGTCTTTGCTTTTGAGATTGATCTTTTGAAAACCCAGCTTTTCTCAGAAATGACATCCTGGCACAAAGAAGTCTCAGATGTGTCAAAATTGCTATTGATCATTGGAAAGTTCAAGTCTGAGGTTACGTTACCAAGGCTACGGGGAAGAACAGAAACCAGGCAATCTCTAAAGAGGTATTTCACTTTTGATAGCTCCTAGTGGCTCAAGCCACAGTAGCTGGAAATAACCACTCTGGTGAGTGGCTCACCATTGCATAAAGGATACACATGAAGACATTCACAATTTCATTCAACTTGCAAGAAAACAGATCCCTGCTAAGCACATGTTTTTGGCTGTAGAGAATAACGTAAAGAAGAGGCCACACAATAAAAAAAAAAAAATAAAAATCTGTCCTGGAGTTTGTTTGTTTGTTTCGTGTGCCTTAAGCCTATTTTGTCAAGTCCATGCAATATAAAAACATTTAAATCCTTAATTCTCCTATCAAAAGAGTACTCTCGGATAACATTACTGATGCTTAGCTATTCTTCAGGCACATATCACAGCAAATTGTAGTAGTGTGCACATTTCTAACTACGATCTTCAACAGTAATTTTTTTTTTCTAATAATCTCTGGCTTAAAAAAATGCATTTGGATGGCTGGATCCCAGGACAGAAGAAGACATAAAAAAACCCCAACACTAAAAAAGAATATTAAAAAATACAAGGAACCAATGCCAACTATTATTGCTAATTTTTAGGAGATATGTGCTATGAGCAGTGTAAATTGGTTATCCATGATTTCAAGAAGCAAGGAAGTGATTACGACTTTCTAGCTGGGTGCTTATGGGTGATTCTTGTATGTTTAAGAGTTCGTCAAATACACATAAATGCCTGTTACCCCATTTAAACAAAGCAGGCAGGTCTGGCAAGCAGCCAAGTCACTTTGTCCTGCTAGAAACACACAGAATTCAGAATTTCTGGAATGAAACAGCAGTCTCCAACCTGGAGCAAAGTCCACTGTTGCATAAAGACCCTGGAGAGCCCCACATTTCAAGTGAAACTGGCTTGCACCATCAGTTGTGAAGAGCACCACCTCATCCCCAAGATGCATGCGAAAGAGCTTCAGAAGGAAGCGCAGGTAGTTGTAGTCGCAAGCGAAGTAACTCCCATACTCGTTCTCTACCTGCAGAGCAAAAGCAAGTCAGCAAAGCCATAGCCAATTCAGTCTACATCTGATAACAAAACAGAAAGCACAAATCAAACCCTCTTCTTCCTTTGACAGCAATGTTGAAAACGTTATTTTAACTCCAGATGTGAGGACAAGGAAAAGACAAGACTCATTCCTCTCACTTGTATTTTACAAGGGAACCATCACTGTGCAGAGCTAAGCCATTTTCCTGCAAAATTCCACCCCCTCAAAGTATCTACTTAGCTACAGTGATCATAATACAGTCTCTATTAAAATTTGAGATCTATAAGTCACCTCGTGAGCAGACCAATAAAACCACAGAACAGGTTGTGAAATGATCAAAAATGGACTTTCAGAACAGAGAAATCTACAAAGGGCTCACATGAACCACAAAGCCCTACAATGGACTCAAAATGACTTAAGGGAGGACAACTCTGCTACTACTGGGAGGAACACATCTTGTTCCTTTTCCAAGTAGATGAACTTTTCAGCTCCAGATCCAATAGGTTCCAATCCTGAAGGTTATTTCTGAAAATCCTGTTATAAGCATCTTACTTCTGCCAAAGAATAATTTTGCCCAGTGCTTCTGCTCAACAGACGAAATACATTACAGGAAAGGTTTCTTATCTCATCCTGTGCCAGTCAGGGAGTTTGAAGAAATCGAAATAAAGCTTTATTATGATCAAATACTACAAATATAGGATAATCACTCCCACATATCTAGAAGGAGTTTAGGACAGAAGCTATCCACCATGAACATACAAAATTGTGTCCTGAAACATTTACAACTTAAGTTAGGTGCCAAATTAGGCTTACTCCACACTGCTTTTGCTTCTATCTAAGGGTATTCTTATTCTCCTTTTTTCCTGTCAGACTGTTTCAGGTAACTGTAATGTATTTTGGCTGCATGTGAGAATTGCCACAAACCTCGGATCTAAAAAGCTGCACAAGTTCCCTCTATTGCTTTATACAGCTGTGGGAAACAACTTTGACAGAGCAGATGAATGTTCTCTGAGTTCTAGAAACAGTGGATTCTGTTCTTTAGGATAAGGTATTCATCAGAATCTTGCAGCTACCTGAAACTTAAGAAATACCTGTGACACCACCACCCAAGACCCATGGAGTATCTACAAGAGATGTAAAAGCATTCATGCTGCTTGGGTTCATCTGATTTTCACAAAGTTACCTGCACCATAATGATTGGACCTCCATTTTGATAGAGGTAAGGCCTCATCTTTGGCAAAAGGACACCCATCCATCTCTCTACCGCTTCCAGGTAATCTGTGATACACAAAGTAAAAATATTTCAACTTTTCGGCCTTTTTCTACTTTTGTTTAAATTACATATGGGTCGTCTTTATGTAGTGTTCTAATTATGTAAATTACAAACAGCATTTAATGAACAGATTGCTCTTATACTTGAACAAATGTACTCTTCTACTTGTTCATAAATGCTTCCAGAACAGTTTACTAAAAAATAAAACATTTAAATACTGACAAACTTGGAAAATTATCAAAGGGACTTCATAATGCCTCACAGGTTGTCCTAATACATACCATCAGGAAGACAAATTCAACTGTTGATATAGATACTATTTTTTGAAAGAGATAATTTAACCACAATCAGCAGAACTTAGGTTGGATATGATAACTATATATTCATCCCCTACATGCACTCCAATAAACACTTTAGTCTCCTGTCTCATCTTATTCTTCCATGTCTGGTCCATTACCTGGAGCACATGAGAATCTTGAAACTCATTCTGGACTGCACACTGACCAGCCAAGAAGGATCCCCATTACGAGTAGCTGTGGCAAACCCAGAAACCTCAAAGCTGAAGCTACCTGTCTTTTTCTCAATGGTGACAATGATTCCCCTCTTGGCACCAACTTGACAATACCTCGGAAACCTTCTCCCATACTCTGTTTGTTCTGCACACTTTTTGAACGCACACTTCTAACTAAAAGTACTGAACATTTTACTCACAAGAAAATTTGAGCTGAAATATGAATTGTCTAGTAATGGCCTCAAACAGAAAGTTGCCTTGCTGCTACAGTGCATTTTTAATGGCCTTCTTTGATGCCTCTACCTGAATCAGAAGACCTGAGAACAATAGATTTCTTTTCCAACAGCCATGCAGGAAGACCTCCCTGGGAAAAGAAAGAGAAACATTCAGTAACATTTTTAGGAAACCTAAGAAGAATTTAGCCTTTTATCAAGAAATATACTGACACAGGACAACTGATTTTCTACAAGAAAGTAGTAATTCCTAACGAAAAAAAACAAATACAGAGTAAGTTTGTATTGTAAGAAGTCACTTAGGATGCATGGATTTTAACACACTAAACCAAGACTCTTGTCCAAGGATACACTAAGTAAGTCAGTCTACTTTAAGAAATATTTGCACTAGATTTACCCTAGAAGTGAGCTGTTACAAAAAGGTTGTATACCATGTCCCATTCTGCACAGATGTAAGGTCCAGCTCTCAGGATAACAAGCAATCCAGTGTCATTGGCAAGCTGCAGGAAATACTCTAGATCTTTGCCACCAAAAAAGTCATAGGTTCCCATGTGGGGTTCGTGGTAGTTCCATGGGACATACCTATTAAGAGAGAAAATCGCCTTCCATTATGAAACTGAGACTAAACCAGAATTCTGAGACACAACTATTTGCACTACATACCCCAGAGATCAGTAATGCTGCTGATCCTTCAGATCAGTAAAAGACAGGAGTACCTGTACGGCCTTTCTTCTGTCAGATATTTCATATGGCAGAAGGCATTTAAATTAATACTGAAATTCGAGTTATGTCTGCGGGAGTCCCTGTCAGAGCAAGAACAGGTTCTGGTAGTGCCATTTTGAAACCATGATGTCTGTTTCAAAATTAAATAAACAGTTTTGAAGCTGGCAAGGCAGCTGGCAGCTGCATAGTGGTGGGAGGCTGATAAGGAGATGAATGTGCTAAACCACTCGTGAAGGAGGAGGCCAGGAATGAGCTTGCCCAAAACAGCACATGACCCTTCATGAATGGATCACCCACCTTGCACAAGGAGCACCAACCAGGCTGACAGATTCTATGCTGCTGCCATTCCAAAGAACTTGAAAAACACCTAAGCCTCAAATAATACTGCATCTAAGTCCTGAAAGTTTTCATTGACCAGGAACAATGCAAGTTCTGGAAAACCACCACTGAAAGAACAATTAAGCTGAGAGATGTTAAGGTGCCCAAGAGCTTGGACAAAGAAAAGCTTAATTTCAACTGAGTAATAAAGACACCAAACAGGCAGATCACCATTTGAAAGAATATCTCTCTCCTACCTCCAGGACTTAGGAGACCACAACCTCAACACAAAATATCTCACAGAAATAAAAAAAAATACACTTGGTTGCAAGACAACAAAGAAACAGTAATCCACCAAATACCCTGAGTAGTGTTGTAGCTGATGATCCCTGCTTGACGACTGTAAATGTTTTGTCATGGTACTAAGCAGCAGTCTAGCACACACAGACTAAAATTAGGGATGAGTACAACCTGAGGAAGGATTCAAGGGAATGCAAAGACTCACTCTTCTAAAATTCCTGAAATTCACAAAACTCTGCCTAGTCAAGCAAAAATCCTCTCAGGCAACACTTTTCTTACTGCCTGCGTTTGTTAGTATGTTCCACATTTAATTTTGTAAAAAACTAACCAAGAGGGAAAGAATGTCCCTAAACCAATGCTTTCAATAAGGAAGAAAAACAGGAAACCTCTCATGAGCACACTAATAAAATGGCCATATACAGACAGATATACACATGAACATCAAATACCAAAATTATAATCTTTCAACCTTTGTGATTATAGCCTCTCAAATGCCAAGATTTTAAGCCTCTCTTTGAAGAGATGAAGCTTAAAATTTGTGTGCCAGGATGGAGTCAAAGTAATGTACTCATTTAAGAGTTTTATGAATTTGTTCAGAAACAAGTCTTATGGTTTAAACACACTCAATACTTTCTGAGGTGAGGATGAAAGGGTTTCTCCAGCTCCCTTATGCTCAAGATGGAAGAAGATAAAAAAATTCTCCCAGAAATAGTTTTCATTTATATCACATACCTGACCACAACACTGGAAAAAAAGCAGATTCTAGTGGAGAAAAAGGGAAGAAGAATAAGAAAAAAACTTACTTGAAAATGCTGTTTTACAGAATGAATCATGATAAAAATTTATTTTAAACACTGGGCTAAAAGTTGTTACTAAGACATTTTAATCATCCAATATACTTTCTACAGCTAGTGATGGTCTCAAATGAAATCATTTTACTTTGAAATTGTTGTTACCTTTAATGAGTATATTGTTACATATCATCGTCAAAATTTGCAGTCAGTTCTTAATTCTGTACTGCTTTAGTTACAGAAAAATGAATTTATAAAGAAAACTCTCATCCCTTTTCAAACTCGAAATATAGTACTTTTTCTGTATTTGGGTATACTTTCCATTTCCACACAATTTCTGAGCTTCATGCTATAACCGTCCCTTCTTTAGAAGTCACAACTTTCCTCTCCTATTTCAAAGATCATCAACAGGCAAAAAATCACACTTTAACTTTCTTAATGTACAAGGTAATTCTCTCTGTAATAGCAGGGTGGGATTTTTTTAATAGTATAAAATTAAATAAACTGTACTACTTTCATAAATGAGCATGCTAGTTAAATTACTCATATATGATTTTTTAGAAACAGTAATTTGTGTTTAAATTTTAAATATTCCATGTTCTAAACAGCAGCTCCTTCATAGAAGGACTTTGTACAGGTTTACAGCTTTCTGCTCATTAGTATAATAGAGTAAATACAAAGTAAATAGAGTAAAACAAAGAAAATGCTCAACATTCTTTAATTTTCTATGAGCCTATAAAGGTACTGCATATTCTTCCAGGAAGCATTTCCACTGATCAGTAAATTCTGTCTATATCTTCAGCCCCATCTAGTGGGTAGTTGTTTATCTGCTCCGTGCAAAAGAAACCCCAAACTTTCCGTGCTTTCCAGATACCTTTGTCAGGCAGCACCCATTTCCAGTTGGCAGATGCAGTTCCGAAACTGAAAACAAGGACAGTTACCTGTGTGACCAGACAGCTTTGCTGAGGTGGGCAGTGAGCTCCTCAGCAGCTTCCTCCACCACCTTCTGGGATGTCACACCAACCACAACATTCAATTTAATCCTGCTCTTTAAAAGGGGTAGGCCTTGATCTCTTAGGCTTTAATGTAAGACCAAGCTTACTATCCTCTATTTTCTCATGTTCTCTTATTGCTTAAGATGTTACCACGTGCAGACAGTTATATTCATGTACTGACATCACCTATTCCAGAGTCCAGGAGGAGCTGCTGCCTCAGTCATGAGCTGAATATGCATCTAGGTATAGAGAGCCTTTTGGAAAAAAGGCTGCAGAGAACAAGAAGGAGAACAAGTGTGGTTGGCTTTTTCCACAAGGCATTTACAAGCTTAATCCCATAATATAAGCATCTTGTTTCCCTTGAAGTGGTAAACCTCACTGGGAATGCCTTGGTAAGAACATGAAAGGCTCCCATATTTCAAATTATAGCAAGACCATTCCATCTTATGGAAAAATATCCCAAGCAGCAAAATCACAGTCTTCAGAGGAGGCCTCAAGATTGGGAGTCCAACTACCACATTCTGCCAGAAAGTCTGGCAGTGCTGCTGCCCATTCATTCCAGAATGACTTCATACAATTTGTATCTCTGTCTCTTGCTAGTAGTATTACTGATCCAGGAAAGAGTAAGCAGAAGAAGAGAAAACAAAAACCCAATCACATAGACCAATTTTCATTTTTTACCAAAATCACACAAAATCACAGATGACTTCTTTGGGGTAATATGAATATTTATAGCTTTTATCTCAAATAATCAAGAGAAGTAAGACTTGATTATTGGCAAACTTAAAAAAAAAAAAAAAAGCAAACGGGGTTTTTAGCATCAGGACAGAGAGTGATTAGTCTCAAATGGAAAGATGCATGGATTTGATTCTTGTAGAAAATGCAAGGCACAGGAGCACTTTCTGTTTTTAAAGTACACTTTTAGATTTATCTTTCACCATAGTAGAAAACTTCCAGAGGTGAGCAATAATGGGAGAGAAAGTCAAGGAATCTCAGTCTGGTCTTAGAAAAACAAAAGGAGACTAATGAAGCTGTTATGATGTGATCCAGCAATAACACCTAAAACCACAGGTGCCATAACCACTTGCCAGCTGCACAGCACCTTCAGTGCCAAAACAGACACAGCTCAGCTCTCCCAAGGCCAGCAGAGATCAATTGGCACCAGCAAAATAAATCTTCACTCCTTCCTGCACAGCAGAAAGACACTAATGCAAAACAGTAAAGCAGAGTAAGAGATTTCAACAAGGGAAAAAAGCAGAAAAGAAAGAAGGAAAAAACAAATGAAGAGGGAGAAAGCAACAAGAAAAAACCCAAACTGGCCCTGCAGCAATTTTGCCATTGAGCAATGGTCACGAGGGGAATGGAAAAAAAAATTCCTATCTCAAAATGTCAGATGCAGCAGAGAAATTAAAAGGCAATTAAAAAAAAAAAGGGACTGTTTGAAAAAAATGGAAATTAACAAAGGGCACTGAAAACACATGGGTGTTGGGAGGAGGAGGAAAATTAATCAAGAGACATAAGGGAAGTGTGAGATACTATGGATCACAGGAGTCACAGAGCCACTGTCTGGACTCAGGCTGACCTTCAAGCCAGACACGAAAAGGTATAATTTTCAGGTCCACTTTAAATTACTTTTATTTCAGCAAAAGGTAGTTACTTGCAAAAATTCAGCAATCTGGACCAGAGCAAGTGCATTACTTAATTCCATTGCTCTTATTAATGTAAGCAAAGACAGAACTTGATTCTTTAATAGAAAACAACAAAAACAGCCATAAAAAACACTCACCGGAGAGTGACTGCATCATCCCAACACGAGAAAGAGTCTTAAAGTATGCAAAAAAATAGAGAACCCTAAATTTGGAAAAATTCAACTTTTTTTTCTTTCCCTGCTGTCTGTTCTTCACATACCAACTCTGTCTCATCCCCAAGTTTACAAAGCAACCATGCAACCTGCAGGTCCAACAACAATACAGATTTCAGGTGTGAGAAAGGAGAGGTGGTACAACACTCCCACTGAGCCTAAAGGCTCTGCACTGTCAGAACCTGCACTTTTTATAGCACAAAAGCAGGTGGTTTCAAAGAGAAGCTCTAAACCTTGCAATGAGTTAAGAAAACAAACCTATTTGAGAATTGCAACCAGTGTCTGAAAAGACTGTGCTTTACACATCTCTGCCACTCTCCATGTCAAGAAAGCTATAGCAAAAATAAGAGTAAGTTGATTTTTTTTTTTAATCTGTGTCTCATCTGTTGAATTAAGTACACAACCAGCTAGAAAAGACAAGAAAAATGGACTAAGGGTTTTGTACACACACACACACACACACACAAAACTGAAAGCTGTTTAAGCATTTTTTTTTAAAGAAGAAGGCCTAGTTCCCCATCCATTTATCTAAATTTAAATGCTCCTGGTGAAATAGCTTGAAATAGCTTTTAAATGTTACTGCAGTCTTCACCAACATTTTCAAGGCTTCGGGTGGATACCAACCCAGTCTGTATTAACAGGTTATCGTCTCCTCTCACCTAGTCTGCCTTTTGGCCAGACAGTACAATGTCCCTGGCAGAGGCAGAGTGTGTACAATTGTTCCACAGTTGCCAAAGTTCACAGTCCAACAATTTATTTCAGGTCATATTTGCACCTTGGGTTGTGAAGCAAGAAGTGTAGCCTATCATAAGGAAAACAGACTGCTGCTTACAACCTGCCCAGCTACCCTCATTTATGTGATTAAAGGTCATCCTGTACCACCTTTCACTTCTCCAGAGCTTCCTCACCTATTACTGGAAAAATAATAAACAAACAACAATGGCAGCATTCCCCTTAATGACTTCCCATACAGCTCTCAGAATAACAAATTACTTGGAAAGTCAACAGCTACTCACGTTTGAATGGCATCAAGCCCTGCCATCTTCATCTTCAACAGGCGGTCTTTCCAGTAATACGAGGGCACCCGCGAGTAGTGAATGCTACCGGAGATGTAACGGAAAGGTTTCCCATCCTTAACAAAGCAGTTGGAATCATAATCAATCCCAAAACTTCTCCCAGGTACATTCTGTACACAAAAACAACAACAAAAAAAAGACACAGTGTAATTTTTTTATGCCTTAATAAAAAACAAAGAGAACAGGCTATACATTTGTGGGTTGTCTCCAATAGAAGATACAATGGTTCTAAAATAAGAGATGGTGAATGATTTTTCTGTAGCTATCTATAGCCCTAGCCCACCTGAGTCTTAGCACAACAAATCAGCAAAAGGGAATCAGTGTAATGTGTCACAGGATAAAAGAACATGGAAACTAGCAGATATAGTTCAAAGAAAACACACTCTTTTCTGAAAACTGGAGGACCAAATTGCTAAGTCAATATGCCTATCTGTAGATCGTCATTAAACAGAGCAACTGAGATAACACTTTACAATAATTTCAAGACTACAGACTTCAAGGAGGAAGACAACAGCATGTTCCATCTGCAACAAAGGCATTATTTCATAGAAAACTTAGAAAACGTTGTGGAAAATGTCCTAGATTCAATTCAAAGCATTCTGCCAATAGTGAACAAGTGAAATTGTGTGGTGGATGTGCAATAACAGATGTGAGAGGATACAGCAAGGAGCTGACAGGGAAAAGGAAAAGCAAGAGGCTGCCAAGTGCTGCACAGCAGAGGCTCTTAATGCTCTGTTTCCACAAACAATAACCCATTCTTAAGATTACTTAACTTTATTAAGATAAATAAATCTTGACCCAAAAAAGGTATGGACATGTCCTCTGCAAAATCAGGACCACACAGAGTTTGGAAATAAAAACCAACTGCTCTGGAACTGTAACTCAAACGTTGGGATTCTCCATAAGAAATTATGAGGGTGTAGTAACTCCAGGCTGTTAGACCTCAAGCAAACTATTGCTGCAGAGGATGCACGGGTATGTACAGCTGCTTACTTCCACTTCAATTTAAATGCATGTAACTTTTTCCTGATCTTTCATTTATAACCTGCATCTTGATGGCTGGGCATGCTGCACTAGGATGGAATTGTTCTGTGTGTACCCATGAAGGAAACTATTCACCCTTAGAGAAACCAAGCAGATGTTTCACATTCTTCAAAGAAGAAACCAAAAAAAAAGCATCACTATGGATAGAAGCACCTTACACATTAAAAGCCCTATTATCCCTGGAAATAAGGAGAGGCAAAATAAATTGCTGTAGTGTCTCTCTGCAAGACGATTTTAGCCCCCTCATTCAGACTAACCACATCAAGAGGCCTATGGAAGACACTTGTTCTATTCATGGCAGGGAACTTTGAGATGATGAATGTTGAAAAAACTGTTTACACATCCTCAGCGACAGACACTTCTGGCAGAGAGCCATGGCTATCTTAAAACAGTTAAAAGGAGGTATTAATTATGAAAGTAGTTATCATTGAACCAGCCACCATTTAGAAGTCAGGTTTTTAAAGCTGTGACCATAGCTGTAAATCATCTTCCCAAATCATATACTTCCTGACAGTGTTACTACGTGGGTGAGGAGAGGGACGAAGCTACCAGAACACTTCGAATTCACCTCACTCATCATTCATTGTAAACAGACTTCTTTCATGATCAATTCCTCAGTATTACTTCATTGTGACCTGGATGATCCAGGGCTTGCAACAAAAACAAGAGAGTTGTCCTCATGAATTTATATGTGGCTCTGCCAATACCATATAGTCACTGCTCTGAATATTCAGGGAATTTGTTCCCAGTTTGTCTCCCTAGAAGATGGGGTAGTGGGTCTCTTCATTTGGTAAGCAACACAAACTAACAGCACTGTTTGGAGTGTCAGTTCTTTCATACTAAACCGTATCAGTGCCTAGCTGAAAATTCAGACCCTTACAGGCAATGGTACCATGTTGTTACATCTTCAGAGCATACTCTCATGGAAAAAAGAAGAACTAAAGAATTTGTCCTTGCTTAAATCAAGTAAGAGTTTATTTTTGCAACCTTACTGCTATTTCAACATTTTACAATGTGCATCTCTCTCAACATAAGATTTTTCTTCCCCATCTTCAACACACAGAACTGTTTAACAGTGGCAAAAATCTCTCATTTTCCAAATTTACAAAACAGAGGGCTTTTTTCTTATTTAGAAAACAAACAAATATGGGTACAAATCCTCCATCACTGACGATTGTTAGCCTCTCTTAGACCAATCACAGAACACCTCTTTCTCAACCTCAAATCTTAAGTATCAAAATTGAGAACCACAAATCACTCATTTTCTTCCGTTCCTTCCAAAAAATTCTCTTAGTAACCTTTCTCTGCCCTCTCAGTGGTCCTTTTCTCTGCATCACATCCTCACCCCTGATGTCTGCACCTTCCTCTCCTAGTAGGCTTTAGGAAAATGCAGTAGTAGCCTTGCCTTTCCCACTTTCCACCATGCCTCATTTAGCAGCAGAGGTGTAAGAGTTTCCAAAACTAGTCAGGTTTATTTTGGTAGTTTTTTGTTGGTAAATAAAATGAGTGTGTTAAAACTATTCAGCACAAACACTACAATGCATACTGGTACAAAATAAAAGGTCATTAGAGGCCTCATGTTTGATTATAAGAATAAAGTTTTATTAAATCTCAACATTTAAAGCATTTGTTATACCACAATTTACATATTTTCCAATCCATTCAATAGTAATTATATAATAAGTATAATTTTCACAAAGTAATGATACTATTATATTCTGCTATTAATTCTGACATTAATTAACTCCTCCTCCGCCCCCAATGAACTGGCCTTTTATAGGATGAAGTATATATTAATTTAGTTAAGTTCTCCAGATTAAATATATAACACACACACACATAAAATTTACAAAAAAAAAAATACAAATTAAGCAGCACAGCAATTTTTCTTCATCTGAAATACTGAACACAGGTCTGCATTGTGCATGTTCAAATAAAACTGAAAAAAGTGTAAAAAGAACCTTGAAGGTCAGAGATTGCTAATTAAGATTACAGAAACGATTCATTCCTTTTATAAAACAGAAAGTTGATCTAGGATACTTTCCATTCATAATTAAAAAGCAAAATAAAAAAAGGCTATGAAGTCTTTTGGCACAGAAAGAAAACATTTTAAGTAATAAGTAATCACCAAGCAAACAACCTTTCAGAGGGAGAGATACAAAAAAAATGGGCAAGAACTAAATTACATCAGGAAAACTCAATAAATTTATGAAATGACAATATGACCACTCCTAAAAGGCTGCATATCTGCTTCTGAAAGGATACATAATTATCTTCTAAGAGAGGCACATACAAAGTAATGAAGAAATAAATAAAAAGGGCAGGGAAAAAAAGTAAACAATATTAACAACTGACACGGTCTAAAAATAGTCCCACAAATGCCTCATGTTGAGGAAACTGGCTTAACAATTAGCCTTCTTAACATGGTAAGAACATTCAGTGCAACAAGTGTAAAAATCCTCCTGGACTACTGGCCAGACAAGAATACTCTGCACCACTAAACCCAGAACACAGCTCTTAACTGAAGGCATGCTGACAAGTAACCAGAGGGTTACATGCTATCAAAATTCCTTCCTCGTAAGACCATCTGACACTATGTCACTGACTGCAAAAAGCCTCAGATGGATCCCACATGGACAGTGGACAGTGTTGAATACATTCAGGATACTTAAGCAGATATTATCACACAATCATAAAAAAAGTTTACAAAATTTTAAGTGGTGGGAAACAGAAATTAAATAATTTGGCAAGCAGAAAGCATGGCTGGTAAGGTATTCGGTTTCCAGACTGAAAGAGGACTGACTCCTCCAACAATACCACTAACCTTTTTGACACATTTACAGTATTTCTCATTATTCCTGAGTAAAAATGTAAGATGTTTGTACAGAGGAGCAGGATACAAAACCAGCACAGGAATTAGAAACTCTGGCTGAGAGACGTCTGGAGTGGATGAAGTCAAACCTCAAAATTTAACTTAGAAAAACCTTCAACTTTACAATGACTACAGCATTTTTCCAACACACCCCTACGTATCTCTTTCAATATGAGAACAGGTGAAGAAAGAAACCAAGTGTTTATGGTTGGTTCAGGATCACACAGGAAGGTAGGAAAAGACTGAACACCACAGCTCTGGTCTTCCATCCTCAGTCTCCTGGATAAGAACTGCTCTCTTTTGCCTCATGCTGTGGGTCTGCCTGAGAGGAACACAGGCACTGGTGGCCAGAAAGGCAGAGCAAGGGAAACCCTGTGGATACAGCTGCAGACTACACAGGTAAGATTCCCAGGCTCCAACTGTTTGTGATGTTTCATGCAGCAACAATGAGTGGGAGAGGAGGAGGGAGAAGATGTACAAGAAGCAGTGTTTCATCAGCCTGGACAAAAGTCACACATTATTTTACATCCTGGCTTTCTTACAAAGATATAGAAACAAGAATGTTTGTATCAATTATTCTCCGATACCTCAAATTTCCCATAATTATGTTAATTTATAATAAGCCCTTCTTTGAAAGATGGGAAGAAATCCTCCATCCCTCATTGTCCTGTAGCAGTTACTCTGCTATATGCTCATCAGGCAGCCAGGGCACTGACATGCAAATGCTCTTAGGGAAAGTCACCTGCTGTAGAGTTTAGTCTCATTAAAAGAGGCCATAATTTACTTAAGTATTAAAGCCTTTAACAAATTTCAAGCATTAACTAATTTGCATTGTTTTCAAATAGCACCTACTTACTCTTACAAAAGAAAAATAATGAAAAAGAAACTAGGCAGAAAGAAAAAAATACAGAATGAAGAAAAAAGACACTGAGTACTTCAGCTTTGGAATCAGTGCTTTATATAAAGAGGTACTATATGCTCAGACAGCAACAGAAGTTAATTTTCGAATTTTCCTCATTTGCTTTTATTAGAGCTATTTTCAGTAAGCAATTACTGGACGCCCAGCTATTCTGGGGAAAATGCCTGAGAAAGACAGCTACTTTCAACTTTTGGTGTCAGTCTCACCAACTTTTTAACTGGACAAAACTGAATTTCAGAACTGATGCCTGGCTACTTACAGCACTAGAAAGAAGTACAGACTGGAAGCCCTGGTGCATGCTGCAGACAGCTAGCAGAATAAAGATATCCAGCCTCAACTTAAAAAAATCCCTAAAACATTCCTTTCCTGTAACAACTCTAGCATAAGCCTCCTAGACTTTACATGCTCAGTGCACACTCCTGCAGGCTCTTCTGCAAAACATTCATAAGTGACTTCACTGCACAAGCTTAGAACTTCACCTGCTTGAGATTTGATATGGCCTGATGGATACCAAAGAGTAGAACACGAAGTAGCTGCAGGCCACAGGTATTACTAAACATGCACAGGACACACATTATAGCCATGACATCAGTGTTATCTTTAAATGCAGAACCTCAACGATAATAAACTCAAAGATCCAATTTCTTCAGTAATTTAATATGTCCCAGTTCTGTTCATAGGCCCAAGATACAGTTAGTGTTTTCTCCTCCAACTTAAGAAGCCCAACATATCTTCTCTGGCTTTCCTGAAAAAAGATTCGCTTTCATAGTAGAAGAGCCAATGCTGGCCAAAAAAAAAAAAAATTAGAAGTCTGTCAAATGAAAAATTCCTCAAGGAGAACGTAGAATAATCTCTGTTATTTCAGCTCTGCTGCCCAGCCTCATAGGTATTCCATAGTACATTGTCCCTGGGCTGACGTAGACAAAGGTATTCTGCCCAACTTGGTACAAGCCAACAAAGAATGGATTCAGAAGATAAGCTCCAGCATTTAGAGGGAAAATCTGCCCTCCATGAGTATGGCCAGAGAGAATTAAATTTATGTCTGGTCTCTCCTGAAGGGCCCACTTTGCAGCAATTGGCTGATGAGCTAAGAGCACTATTGCATGATCACTGCTACAACCTCTGAGAGCTTTTTTCAAATCCATGCCATGTCCTGAATAGCGCAACACATCTGCTTCAATATCATCCACACCAGCCAGGCAGAACCAGTCGGAAGTGCTCTTTGGTGAAACAATCTTCACATTCTCGTTATGCAATGGCTGAATGTTAAACGATTTTAACAGCTCAAACCAGTTGCTAACATCTGAAGTGTAGTACTCATGGTTTCCTGTGACAAAGTAAGTCCCCAAAGGGGAATCAAGTTCTCCAAGAGGCTCAACAGCAGGTCGTATGATCTTTGCCTCAGCATCAGATAGGTCCCCAACAATCACAGTGATATCTGGTTTTAAAGCCTTAACCATTCTCACTATCATGGCAAGCTTGGTCTTCCCAACTGTAGGCCCCAGATGGATATCTGAAAGCAACACCACTTTCAGGTTATTCATTGTTGAGGGCAGCTTGTGAACTGGAATCTCCACCGAATTCACAGTAGGAGGCTGGGAAGCATTTAACAGCCCAACAACAGTCAGCACAACAGTCAGCAAGACTGCCAGAACTGGTTTCAGTGCTGTTCTGTTCTTGTTGCCATTGCCTGCCTTAGAGCCTCTCCCAGCCAAGAACTTGTATGCCTGCTCTACAGAGCCTAGAGTGAAGAGGAAAAAGATTAGAATAATATAAGCCCCCAAGCAAGTGTAGGCAGCTAAAGAAAAGAAATAGGGCTCTTCTGCAACAAGAAATAGCAATGTAAAGAAGCTTGAATGAGCCAAAGCGAGAAACATGAACACAGCCATTTTCCACAGCATGAAACAGGAACTGGCAGCTGAAGACCTGGTGAACGTGGTGACTGTACTTCTCCAAACATGGAGAGACCCCATCAACATGAGTGTATTAGCAAATAGTGCCATTTGCAGCCTTAGAAGCCAGCGTCGCGTCCTGAAATCGAGTTTTTCCGCCAGGTAACTCCGTGATAGCATCATGGAGAAGAAAACCACTCCTGCAGCCACTGCAGCCTTTGCTTCAATGGGCAGTTGCTTGAAGGAGATCATCTTTGCTTCCTGACTGTTCCCTTCTGTTCTGCAGAAGTCTCCAGCAGTCAATAATGTGGTTATGAAGGGATGCCTTGGGTCAACAAAGCCTGCAACCAGGAACCAGTATGAGCCGCTTTAAAATATTACACACATTCCCTTTTTCCCAGACTGCAATAAAGGACTGCTACTCTACATACACAAGATGCTGGGTCATGCAGAATCACTGTCATAAAGACACAAAGGAGATGTCCTAAAGTGGAGTAAGTTGGACAACAGAAAAGACTGGATGCTGGAAGTCCCCTTCCAAGCTCCCGGTTTGCCTCCCTCAATCATTTCTCCCCCACACCCCCTTTTCTTTTAAATGCTTTTTTCTCATCAAGATTTCCTAGCAGTAGATGGCAATACATCACAACAGGGATGCAATGAGTCCTAGCGCACCATTACAGCATTTATAAATCCCATACACGTTCTAGGACTAAGTTGCTTCTGATATTAATACATGATTTCTGTTCTTCTTGCCAAGCAGTTGGCTCCATCTGAAAAGCAGGCATCACCCTACACCATTCTTACCAAATGCAAGAGGTTCTACTAACACATGCTACAGCAGCAGTGAAATCCCCACTGGAACAGATGCAACTGTGATCCCAGAAACTGCAGATGATCAGCAGATATCCTTGCCTGCCGTTGTGAATCAGATTTCTCCAAAGCCCTGAAAATCACCGGGATCAGTGAAACTTATGCTGTGTTTTGCTACTCACTTCCAGCTCACTTCCACTACATGTAGAGTTTTTCAAGACTCAACACCCATTCTAGTATATCCTGGTCTAACAGGATACAACCAAGTTGAAAAGGGATTAAAGTACCACACCCTGCTCCTTTAGAGAGGAGCACAGAATCTATTGCATGTCTGCTCAGAGACTGAAAACAAACAAGCAAGCATCAGTTATGTTTGAATGGCAGCAGAATTCCTTGGTTTGCTCTGTATTTTGCTCAGTCACGGTGTTTCTATTAATGCTCAGGTTGCACATTTCTATTTAGAAGAAACCTATTGTTTTATTTTAATCATAGATGAAAAAACGTTTGCATAATCTTTCATAACATAAAATAGAGACCATGTCTGACATAATAGTCCCATAACAGCATACTTATTTTCAAAACGTTTCCTGTCTCTCAATCCACACTTAGATAGAGAAAGTAAGCAATCATTACAGCCAAAAATATCTCAGAACTAGGGCACAAAAGCAGCACTGTAGTGAGCCTGAGCCCAGAAGCCTGCGAACTCCAGTTTGCCAGGTTGCTTACCTGCTGCATATGCCTTCTCAAGCTAATTTAAAAGAACATTAGCATATCTGTGATGACAGGACCCTAATATACTTTGAGGGCTAGATCAAGCTTTAAAAAGACCCCTTCCCTCATTGATAAGGGAAATCGTGCCTGCCAGCCTCAGCTCCTCAAGCCCTCTCAGTTGTTACTAAGCTACTCTTAAGAAGCAGTGCTATTTACACATGTATCTCTACAGAAAACACACAAAGCTAGAAAGATAAGAGTGTAAGGTAAGATAAGAAACGCCCTACTAATTCAAGTCCACAGGTCCTCTAGGCACCATGCAATAATCTGGACAACAGCAGTAAGAAATGCTGTTTAAAGAAACGACAGGACCCTGGCCACAGTCTGTGGTCTGCTCCCTCATACTCCTTCAGCTAACAAAGCTGCTACACTAGGGATGTTAGAAGGCAAATCCTTGCACAGTCATTTCTGGATGTTGTTTATGAACTGGATATATTTAAATTTGACAAATCCTTTTTCTTTCTTTTAAATCTGTTAAGTACTGTTTGGTTCTACAACCTCCCATAGCAGCAAATTCTCAAAACTATGCATTTTTACAGTACTTTATCTGTTTGAAACTAACCTATTAAATCCCCCCCAAAATGCTAATATTACCAGGATTGAAGATTATATTTGTTCTCCATTCCTCTTGCCTGCCACATTCAAAATTTTGGAAGGCTCAACCACAACCTCAGACTCAGAGACCACACTAACTGTGCGTCCCAGTCTTCCCTTCCAGAAGGTCTCACGTGATGCTGTTCTGCTTTTCATACATCTTTAACCACCTGTGCCTCATCCAGCTACAGCATCTACCAAGGTAATAGTGACACTGCCTCAAACTTCAGGCATTAAACCACGAGAACTGCGGAGCTTGAGGATTCGTCCTTAGCCTGTGGTATTGTGTCCCCCGCAGCAAGGCGGCTACAGCAGAAGCTATGAAGAACAGGAAAAACCCCTTTCCCTCCTCTCACACGCCACAGGATGAGCAGGTTTTCCCTCGGGATCTACCAGCAGTGTCGGTACCGGTTCCCCCACGGCCCCGGGCCGCCCAGCGAGGCCTCCACGATTCCTGGGCGCGCAGGGAGCCCCGGCGCCGGCAGTCCCGCTCCGGCCGGGCGGCCACAGCGGCCGTCACCCCCGGAGGGCGGCTCCGGCAGCCCTTCCTCAGCTCCAGCGAGCCAGCCTGCCCGGGAGAAGGGCACGGACCCCCCCCGCCCCGGCTCCGGGATCTCGGAGCAGCCACAAGCCCGGCACTCGCGCCCTGTGGGCCGCCCATGATGATGGTTTAAAAAAGGACCGAGGCGAAGCGCCTTCCTCCAGCGGCGGGAGGAGGCCCCTGCCGGCCCTCCCTCGGCCACGGCGGCCCCCCGCGCCCCTCAGAGCCGCCCCCCGCTGCCCCGGGTGTCCCCGGGGGAGGCGAGGCGGGCACTCACCGCCGCCCGCAGGAGCGCGGCCAGGGCAGCCAGCGGGAGCAGGAGCCGCAGCATGGCGGGCGGCAGCCAGGAAACGGCGGCGTCAGCTGACGGCTCCGCCGGGAAACGGCCGGCGCAGGACGGGCATCCCTCCTCCTCCTCCTCCTCCTCCCTCTCCTCCTCCCTCTCCCTCCCCACCGGCACCACGGCAGCGGCGCTCCACCCCTGCGAGCCCGGCCTACTCTTCCCTCACCTCTCCCCTGCGTCGCCCATCGTGTGCGCCTGAGGCTTGGCAGCTTGGTAGGCTGCTTCCCGAGTTAGAGCACTGCCGTGCAGTGTCAGGAACTCACAAGAGACTTTTGGGTAAAACCTCCGAAACTGAATATATCCAAGGATTTCTCCCACACAGGAGCTTCTAAGACGGAAAGGTCTTGCTGACTTTTATCTCCCCTGGGCAGCCCTTACATAAAGCACTGGGCCTGGGCGCTCTCCTTCCCATGTTAAAGCACTACCCTCCTTCGAGAGCCCTACACTGAAGTCAAGAGATAACCCCCAGTGCTGAACACATCTCCAAAGATTGCTCCCACACAAAAGATGCCAGGACAGAAAGCTGATTCTGGCCTTTACCTCCATGGTCAGACCATCTTCTGCAGCACCACACACACTCCAGCCGGCCTAAGGCCAAGGACTTGCCGCAGCTTCCCAGAGGAATGAGAGAACATCTGCCTCTGCCGCCTTGGCTGGGCAGAAAGAGGCATTTTCCCAGGGGACCTCATTAGCTAGTTCCCAGAGCGCCCTGAATTTTGCTCACTTCATATCCGGAGTTGAAGTTTGGCTGGCACTTTTCCTCCTGTCAGCAGAGATTTTAAACTTGATTGCTTCATGGTTGCTCTGGCAAAGGAAGTCACAAATCATCACTGAAGTCACAAATCATCACTTTGCCCACAAGTCCCTCTCTGTTAACAAGCAACAAATAGGAGGGCACCTTTCCCAAACAGTTCTCATAGTACCTGTACCAAGCGGTATAGGTATTTCAGGAATCTTATGGACTTGTTTTATCAGCTACATTGATTTACAGGTACTTCTTAGTTGCTTAAAGATTAATTTGTTGGTGTTGTCATCCTGGCTGGGTGGCCTTTAGTAGACTCCCACAATCACACCCGCTTTATTTGTTTGTCCTTTAATCCTTACCTGGAGGCTCACTTATGCTACTGACTGTACGTCTCTGGGGCTGAGCCAAGGCTTCTAAGCTCCTCTTGCTTGTTCCTCATGCTATGTGTAGAAGCACTTCAAATGCAGTTCTTTGTAATCAGTGCCTCATGTAGCCAACTAAGGATTTCACTGGTGTGCAGTTTCTCAGTCTTTGGTGTGCTATTCCTTTGCTCATCTCTGGCGAGCCTCGTTTTATCCCTTTGCCCTGCACACTTCTGCTGGGATAACTCAGGAGTTAAAAGTCACAGTATGAACCAGTCTGCAGCGTGAGTAACAAAGCCTGTGGTTCTCCTAAAATACGAATTGCACCTGAGATCTGTAAAGTTTTTATATCCCTTGAGAAAAGATGCAGCGAAAACAATGTTTACTCTAAAATGGGAACTCCAAACTAGGCAAGCAGGCACAGGCAACTCCCAGTTTAATTAAGAATACACAGCACAGGAATATGAAGACCTGACAGGAATGAGAACATTTAATACCAGCCTTTGGGGTCTGGTTTGTCTGTCCCTCTTTGCCAAGTGCTCTGTAAAAGGAGTTGCTGGTGACATGGCTCTGCACAGGAATTGCTAAAACATCCCTTTCTAGCAAACAGGAACTGGGTTCACAGAAATACGTATATATATATTTTGTGGTAGAAACTGGATAACTGTGTATCTTCAGTACCTAGACTTTAAACCTGTCCTATTTTTGTGGAGGAAAAGTGTTGCTACACTTAGGGTAATGTAAATAATATTTTTTTCCTTCAAGCTCTGCGTTTGTAACCTATCCTTACAGCCAAAACTGTTATTTCAGTTGTTGTTAGGAGCTTACCTGTGCAGGCCTGGTCTGATACATTTTTGTGATGGGTATTCTAATTGCCAGGGCCTTTCAGAGAATTTTCAAGCTGTTTTTTTTACTTTAACTCTCCACCTTTCTGAAGAGAAGGAAAAATTTAATGGCTGTGTTCTCATGCTGGAACAAGAAGACCCTTTTGTTTGCTCATTATGGAAATCCCCAGAGACCGCTGTGTGTAATCTACATAAGCAAGTAACTTGTCTGGAATTGCAATCAGAGGCACTGATCTCACTGACTGCAAATATCCTCCTCATAGAGGACAGTGAATTGCAGCCACAGCCTTTCCCCTAAACAGACCATCTGAGGAGTTCTTGAACCTCTCAAACAACCTGCTTGGAATGAAGCCAGCTTAATGTCCTCCTTTTACCTAAGGAAAGGAAAATAGGCTTGTTAAAAGATAGATTTACTGCAAACACTGCTCAGTTTTCATGTGAAAAAAGGAAACTTCTTGGTCAAGCTCTGCAGAGGATATAACCCTAAGTTTTGTTCTGTTTCTGCAAAATCTTTCCAGCATCTGATCAACACATTAAGCTAAGTACTTCTCTGCCTATAGTACCTGCAATAAATGAAGAGCTTTAAAAATCATCCCCAAATTATGCTTAAGCACCCGAAGTTAAAAAGAAGACATAGAAGAAATGCTGGTGGTTTTAATTTTCTCAGTTAAAACAAAAACCAGTGTTTCACTTGCAAATGCTCTTGATTAACATGAAAGCTATATATTTGTAAGGAAAACGGAGATGCTTAGTTTTGCATCAATAAGAGCTGAAGGGAAATCACAAGTTATCTCACAGTGCATGCTGGTATTGCAAGAACTGACTGCCTTGTTTCTGGTTTTGCTTGAAAGGATTTCACTGTGGATGCCATTGAGTGAGGATACAAATCAGTAACCAGTTTGGCAGAAATTTGATAAGAGGACTAATATGCACACTGGTCTGCTTCGGTTCCCATTCTTGGTGGAAAAAAGCTGCTGTTGTCAGCAGCACTCACTTAACAAATGTCATGTGGCAGGAAAGTAATGAACAGGATGAGCAGCTGCCCTTGTTCTGGTCTGCAGGTTTATCTACCCTGTGGGCTTTTAGTACAGTGGGACTGGGTCTGTAAAGTGGTGGGTTAAATTAAACTTATTACTTTGCTTCCAGGGACAATTAAACTAAGTCGGATTAAAGTCACTTAAATCCTGAACATGTGGGCTCAGATTCATGAAGGAGAGACCAAAGGATGTGAAGATCCTTTGCATCAGAGGCTTTTCTCATGGGCATGCCTTTACCCTACTGCAGTTAATGTAGCTCTCCCAGTGATGAATCAGCTTGCATTATACCTAGGGCCAAACTAGCTTGAATTAAAGATAATTACTGTGGATCCACTGTCAGGCAGCCATTTGCAAACTCAGAGTAACTCTTCCCTAATCCCAGAGACTATGCCTGTGCTTTCAGATGTGCTTTCCTTAGCAGGTGCCCTGGGGTTTGGCTGAGATCTACTCCCTCTCTTCTGTTTATCTACAGGATGGCCCAGGAGGTGGAAGAGGCCAAGTCCTGTACAGTGGTATCATCATACAGACCTATGCCTGTTTCATGAAGAGTTTCAAGATGACAACCACTTATTAGAGATAAGCAGACACCTTATGGGAGATTTTGCTGTTCAGTGTGGAATATCCTGGGCTCTTTCCACTTGGAAGGAGATGCTCTGTGCCTGACATGAGCATGGTGCCAAGTAACCGCAGAGCCCAACCCAAAACCTAGCCAGAATCACTGTTTTCTCCATAACTGGAACTGAGCCCAAACTGCAATTTGGAAATTTCCTTGAAGTGTGAGTCCAACGAGCAATGGTCACAGCTGAGCACCATCATTAAAGCCAGACCCCGTGGTGCTCAGACTTCCTGCAGAGAGAGGAACTTAAATCAGCATTATTTGCATGCCAGCTTACTGGAAAGAAGACATAAGATTTGCAAGTTAATAGTTTTATTAACCACTTCTCACTGCCTTCCTTTTCAAAGTCTTCCCTGCCACACTCTTCTGGATGGTTGTCACATAAAGATGTGCCACCAGTAGAGACATTATGGGACTGCCTGCCGTCCTGCCCTGGGTCTCCCCACTTTCTGCAGCAGGAATAGCCTGGCCTTTCCTCTTGAGGGTGGCATACTTTTGTTTTGCTCCATTTTGCTGTTGTTTGCAAAGCACTTGGTGTTGCAGGGCATGAGGGAGACCCTGTGATCTTGGCTCCTGCCTGCTGACAGCCTTGGCAGGCAGCAGTGGGAAGTTGTGACTGTGGGTCAACGTGGAGCACGCAGGACTAGACCCGACTCTTCATTCCTGTCCCAGCCTCCCAAAAAAGCACTGGAAGCTGCCCAAAGGTACCCAGTTCTTGTTCAAGACTATTTTTCCTCCCCAGTGAAAGTGTTTTGCAGCAGGACACAGCCTAGGAGCTGCTTCTGATTTGCCCTGTGCTAGATGATACACATGAGCAGAAAATCAATGGTATGAGACATTGTCCTTTTGGTATTGAAAGAGCTTACCAGAAAAAAAAAAAAAAAAGAAAATAAAAGAACGAAAAGATTGCCACCTGTATTTGAGCCACGTGAAACATGAAAAACACAGAGTAAACAGTCTGTGACAGGTCTAATCAGGCTGAGGCCCCACGAGCACACACTCACCTCAGCCTACAAAAAGGTTAATTGTGGTGTAAAGAGCAAACATGACATGCAGACTGTGACTCCCATATGCCACATCCAGGCTGGACCCCTGCAGCAACTGTGCTTATGAGTTCCCTTACTCTTCCACTATTCATGTCTTTCTTTCCCACGAGCAGCCTCTATGAAAAATAAACTGAATTACAGATCACTTTTTTCCCCCCCAGCAAACCGGCCCAGTTACAATAATCTTTTTGTTTGCATTTAAGGTAGGTCTGACAGCTAGAAGAAAACAACATGAAAAAGCTCCCTGGGGATACACAGCTCTGCAACCTTCACCAGATGCTGCAATGACATATTGGAAGGGAGTTCTAGGGAGAAATCAGGAGCTCACTGATTGCCTGATGCCAGCCACAGGTGCTTTTAGTCAGCCCACAGTGAGCAGTCAGAGGGAAGTCAAAGCATGAACATGGGCCATTTCCCCATGGAAGAGGTTTGGCTCCATCCACTTCTGCTATGGTCTCTGCAAGGCCACCTCTTAGTTACATGAGCTGCTTTTGAAGGGGTCTGGAGGAAAGGTCTGTGCTAGTTGAAGGTCCCCAGTAGCACTGTTCCATCTTGTGTTGTCATCAGGCTTCATCCCTAGGCATTATTCTGGACAAGCCGGTGCAGAACATGTGGAATACTTAGGTGCATTTGTCTTGCATTGAGCCCACCAGGCTCAGCTACCTTTTGTGATGGTGGACTGACTAGAACAGCAATCTGCAGCAGAAAAAGCCCAATATTTTTTAGTTTACTGGGGCTTAATGATCAGCTTTGCAGGCCAACAGCAATGAGCACTATGCCTAAACTCACAGGTAAGAAAGAGAAATTGCAGGCAGAGATTAATCACTTGCTGCAGAGGATGCAAATATTTAAGACTGCAAAGTAATACTAAAGCCAGGTACTTTTCCTTCTTAGTTGCTAGATAATTTAAGAGGAGCATTTCAATTTTTCTCATGAATCTTTTGCAAGATACAATGCTTTTCAGATTACTTTTTATATGTGCACACTGGGGAATCTATAGCTTGTTAAAAATGAGATTGCGGTGACTGTAGTACATAAAAAGGCATAATCAGCACAGTGCCATAGAGAAGCTGAAGACCTAATATAGGCTAAATGTAAATTTTTTTAATGGAAGTAACTAAATAATTCAAATCAGCGACATCAATTTCTGTGTGGTTTGCTCACCTTCCGGCCAGAATTGTTGCTGAGAGTTGAGGTTTTTATTAAAGGTAGAAGAAGAAGAAGTACAAGGAAGCGAGTCACAGTCCTGCTTCAGAGTTGTTTCAAAGCAGTTGTTTTCCCCCATCTTTCCTCTCCAGGCTACAGAGCTTCCCTCAGGACTGAGAAGCGATCTGGCTGAAGATGGCAGCTGCAAGTGTAGTGAGTATACAGCTATGTCACTGTTCATCTCCTTTTCCTTCCCTCCCCTCTTTGTCTCCGTCAGTTTTCTGCCTCTTTCGAGCCACTGGTACCATCCCAGCATAGCAGTAACACAAAGACTTCTTCTCAACATCTTTCCAAGTTGAGCATTTTGCCTTTTGTTATGTATTTGAAGCCAAGTAAACCATGTTTTGAGTTATCTGACAGAGATAATGCTTTTACCACCTGCCATTTTAATAACTGAAGTTGGCTCGATATCGTAAACTGCTCTTTTGTAAGTTTTTCACTCAATGGGTCATTTTTATAAATCTCTGCTGTGTTGCACACTTCAAGAAATCTGAAATGACCTGTTTCACTGGCAGCCTTTGCACTTTCTCATTTAAATGAAATACATTAGGCATCTTCAATTGCATCTGATGGAGAGGGGCAAATGTATGCTTTACTGAGCCTCTCAACACAAATTTACTAGATATCCTATTGCAGGTCACACATCCTGGCAAGAGTAGCCTGGATTACTACAGGAATGACAGCATGGTGCTGTCCCTGTGTGAAAACCCAGTGAACAGCACAGACTTCATGTGTGACAAGAGGCAGGTCAGGCAGTTTGCTCAAGCCTTCCTGCCAGTGTTTTTCTGGCTCATCTTCACTGTGGGCACAGTGGGGAACACCTTGGTTGTGCTTGTCTATTGCAAACACCATTTCAGGAAGAACATGATGGATCGGTACATGCTGCACCTGGCCATCGCCGACCTCCTGCTCCTTTTCACCTTCCCCTTCTGGGCCAAGGCTGCTTCCGATGGATGGATCTTTGAGGACTTCATGTGCAAAGTTGTCAACAGCATGTATAAGATCAACTTCTATGGCTGCAGCTTGCTTCTAACCTGCATCAGCTTTGAGAGGTACATCACTATAGTCCAAGCGATGAAAGCTAAAACTTGTAAGCGAAGGTGGCTCCTGCGCAGCAGGCTCATGTGCCTGGCAGTCTGGCTGACATCTGTGAGCCTGTGCATCCCAGAAATCATTTACAGCCAGAGCACACAGGTGGGAGACGTAACAGTTTGCAAAATTATGTACTCATCAAATGTCAGTGTGGTCTTCAGAGTTATGGTCCTGGCCTTGAAAGTCATCATAGGATTCTTCCTCCCTCTCTTTGTCATGGTGATTTGTTATGCCCTTATCATCAACACCCTCCTACAAGCCAAAAGATCCCAAAAGCAGAAGTCGCTGAGGATCATCATCATGATTATCACTGCTTTCCTCCTCTCCCAGTTCCCGTACAATATTGTTTTGCTGGTCGAAGCCATCAACACCTACACCGGGGTGGTGCACAGTTGTCAGGCTGCCAACCAGCTGGACATCGGGCTGCAGATCACCCAGAGCATTGCCTTCCTCCACAGCTGCCTCAACCCCTTCCTCTATGTCTTTGCTGGCGAGCGGTTCAGGATGGCGCTGGGCAGGATGATGCAAAGCTGTGGCTGCTGCTGGAGCAGGGGCCAGGAGCACTCCTCTGCCTGTGATAGCCAGGAGAACAGCTCAAACTGGTCCTTTGCCATGCTGGGGAGGCGGCGGGTCAGGAACTCCCTGATCCTCAACACTCACTGGACCTCCTCTGTTACCTCCCCTCCTTGCAAAGTCATACTGTAAGTTAGTCCTCACCTTCTCCTCTCTAGAGAAGCACCAAGCTCTTTGAAACAATCTGTACACCCCAGAGATTATCCTGGAGGGGCAGAAAGGGTTGGGGGCTTGTCCTTGACGTGCAGGACCCAACTGAGGGTTGCTTGCTGAGAGAACAGGAAACCTTTGGCAGATGGGGGCAAAATGGAGCCATACTTACTATAAACAGAACTGATAGATGTCAAAAACTACCTTTGTGACAGCTGGCCCATCTACAGCTTAGACCACAACCTGACATAACAAGTCTCACAGCAGGTGATAAACCCAGCTATGGCAGCAATAGAGGCAGATGAAGCATTCTGTCCATAGGAAGGAGGGGGTTCAGCCTTCATTTTCTGTCATACCAGGTTCCCCTGTGAAGGTGGCCTGACTTGGGAGCCCTGCCAGATTCCTACACCAGATCCCATCCCGTGTAAAGGAGAATGGCCTTTAGCTCTCACAGTGGTTTGTTGCAGTGAGCAAATGCTGCTCTGTGCCTGGGCAAATGCAACTCTGGCTGCATAGGTGGTTTTTCTTGCAAAGAAAAGCTGGTTGTTCATGTACATAAAGGGAGCATTGCAGAGTGTGCAGATCTGTCTTTCTCCTGTATTTTAGCTGTGTGATGTCAGGTACGATGGCTCCTGTTTTGATACTGGAAACAAATCACCCCTCACAATAAAAAATTAAGGGCTTCAGAAACATTGAGCTGTCTGTCCCAGGAATATTTGCTGTGTGGTGCAAAGCTGTCATAAATCAGAATACAAAAACCAAACCCATGGTTCAACTGACTGCCAGTTATGCACCAATATCTTTGGAAAATATATTTAACCTAGCAATATATTTATATATATAAATATATTTAACCAGCAAGAGAGCCAGCAACTGAATGTCAAACCTAATGAAATTTGGAATGAGACATCAATTTGTGGAGGCTGCCATTCCCAGAAGTGGTGTGCTGTATTGCACCCCAAAACCTGAGCCCACAGGGCATCATTTATCTGTTCCCCCTTGCTCATCCCCTCACAGGGACATGGCCTCGCCTGTCCTGCCTGACTGCAGACTGCACCTCCTACTCTTCAATTGCAGGATGTAGTGGCTCAGGAGGCTTTGTTTTAAATAGTATAATTTAACCTAGTTCGTCTTCTGGTACTTAGCTTTTCCAGGGAAAATGCGTTTTCGTTGCATTTATCATTATGTTGGTAAACAAGAGCTTTCTGCAAAGTATGGTGCTGTTTTTCTAGCTAATAGGATACACCTGAGCAGATGGAGTTCAAGTTTCATATACATTTATTAGGATTTTTTTTTTTTACCTTTTCCTTAGGAAGAAAAATAGCCAAAGATGTACATATTTTTTACTATATGTGTAGGAAGGGTGTGGGGGGGGGTTTTGTGATTCGTGCTCAGCAAACAGAAGCCAAAATTAAATAAAGGCACTGCCACATACACCAAGGGGATGAACTGGTTGTTTCTTGCCCAAACATCCTTCCCAGTTCAGATCCATATACATAACCTATTTGCAATCACAGTATTTACCCCTCTCAAAAGAGGCCAAAAGAAAACTCTGCTTAGAGGGTTTATTTCAATTATCTAACCCTTGTGTGGAAGCTGCAGCTGAGAACCCTGCAGGCACACCTGCTCCTGAGGCGAGGGCTGGGGTGCAGTCTGGGGAGGCAGGGCAGGGGAGGAGGGAGCACATTGGGGGCAGATGTTTCTCCACAGCAGCTCAGCCCCACTACCCCTTCCTGAGGCTGGGGGTGATGGTGCTCTTACACAGAGGGTCCTCCTGGCCCCCAAAGAGCCCTTGAGTTATGCAAACAAGTAAGTGTGCAAACCTTAGCTACTGCAAGCTCCTCTTCCCTGCACTACATCTCACCAGACCTAGAAACTTGAACTTTGTGGCCATCTCACAGAAAGTAAAGCTTCTTCAGTCCCCAAAACGCAGTGGGAAATATTCATGCTCGATCAGCAGGGGAAACTGCTGAGGATGGTGAAATGTCAATGAACTTACAGTGGTTTGGGTGACAGGGTTGTCTCTGGGTCATGCACATCCTGCTCTGAATCAGGCTGCTCCCATCTCTTTGCCAGGGGAAGTTGGGGACCAACCTCCATGGGGGTGGTTTTCGTTCTTGGGGTTTGTTCCACCACGGCTGCCTGCAGTCCAGCAGCTGTTGGTGGCTTCCCAAGCTGCTCCCACCACACAAACTTGGGGGGAAGCTGCCTCCCAGCATCCCTCTGGCTGCAGCCTCATCATCAATCCTTCCTGTTGGTCAGCACACAGCACGGACTCAGTCATGGAGATGTTTTCTGCCATTACTCCCTCTTGCATCTGCTGTGGGCCTCTGTCTGCCAGCAGCACAGCTCCTTGTGGTCAAACCCTTCTTGGGCTCCTCTGTCCCTCTGCCCTGATATTTTACTTGGATTTATCTTGCCACAATCTATCTTGGGCTGACTAGGGTGACCCCAGCCTTCACCTGATGCTCTCTTCCAGGATGGGAGGTTTCCTCACAGGCAAAGAGTATTGCCTCCCTTGTCCCATGAGCAGTCCCAGGGGACTCCGCTCATGCTTTACACAAAGCTCTAGCAGGATGGGCACCAAGTAGTTACTGGAAGTCCTAGGAGAGGCCCAAGATCTTCCATAGCTTGGGTCCCGTCCCTTCTCTTTAAGGGCATTTAGATGTTACCAGTTTTGGGCTGTAGTCCCCTATGCTGTTGCTCTTCTGTGAAGAGGCAGCTGGACTCGTCCCTGCCCAAGTGCTGCATTGTCACCATGATGCAGGCAGTCATGTAGCGTGGCACCAGCCTGCTTGTGGTACAAGGGGAGGAAGCTGGGAGACCCCATGAGAAACTTTCACTCTCTGCAGGCAAATCTACCTACCCGATGCCTGCTCTGCCTGAAACAGAGATGTCTTTATAGAAGCACCTCATCCAGAGAGCAAGGAAGTGATGGAAGGGCGTGAAAGTATAGGAATTATTACTATATTTGGACTTCCACTTCAAGGACTAATGCAGAGGATACCACAACCTTGCGGCAGCTTCACATGGTCAGAAGAAATGACCATGTTTTCTTCCACAGAAAAATGTTATCCTGTGTGTGCCAAGGCCTTGTGGTACCTTGGTGTTCTTGGGGCACAGACCAAGAAATATAAGGCAGAAGTAGTGTTGGGAGAGCCCCTTTCCCCTAACCCCGAGGGAGGGGGTATTACCCAGTACAGATAAAAATGCATTACTGGAGATGGACACAAAGACTTTCAACAGCATTTCCCTGCAGAGCTGAGGTACATCAAGGTATGGTCACTTACACATGTAGTGGCTATATGTAAAACTCACTCTTTGCAGCTCCCTCATACTCCAGATTAGGCTTTCCTGGAGCCTCTCCTAGAGGAGCCAGGACTCCAGATGCCTCTGGAGATGCTCTGAAACTTCTATTGGTAATTGTAGCCTTGAAATGAGGGGATGGTACAATATAAATTTCATAAAACCCCCAAGTAGATTATACAATCATCAGATTTATCTTCCACACAAAGCTATCTTTACAAAGCAAAAAGGGACAAACATTCGCAATGATAAAGAATTTTATTCTTAAATTCCTGAGGTTAAAAGAGGAAAAAAAAAAGCATCAAGAAAAACATTCCAACACAACCGTTTACATTTCAGTAACTGTACAGACACTGGTATACATGATTTTCCCCATATCTGGATCAGGAAGTTTGATGTGAACAGGGCTTGCAATTCTTTGGCAGTTAAGACCAAAAGATGCTTCTGAACAAGTTACAACCTCAGTGATTGAGCATAATTAAAACTATAGTGCAATTTCAGTTTTAGGAAAGAAGTCAGGCTTTTGTAGCTTTGCTATTTTGTAACTCTTGTACAATAGCTCTTTTATTTTTCATAAAGAAACATTGAGTAATGTTGAGTAAAGGAACACTGTCATTTTCTTGAAGAAACTACATTCTTTCCTTTGCATAAACCTCTTTGTAACAAAAAATCTTACCCTCCATATCTCTTTACCCTTTCCAGCCCCCAGAAAAACATCTAATTGCTTATGCTGACCACTTTTTGTCCGATGAATGTGACATCTCCTTCAATTAATTTCATGATCAATTTAAAATATTTTCGTCTTTATTGCATTCCTGCAGATAATAAAAAGTCCAATTCAACAGATCACCTGAGCACCTATAAATAAACAGATTTTTCAGCATTGCTGGCATAGCTCACACGAGCAAGCATTTTATGAATGGAAAAATTAGGTGCTTGAATGAAATCATCTCTTGCACAATAAAATAATCTCTTGCACAAGCCTGCCCTTGTTCAAAGTCCTTTACTGATTCCAGTAATGAACTGCCTAGGACATTTAAACAAAAGGTCTCTACTAATGTCAGGTTCTTGACCGTCTCTGTGTTGCTGTTTTGGTATATAGTTAGCTATAGAACGGCAGTAAAAAAACACACAGCAGCACGGTCCCCTTTCAAGATAGGAAAGGGACACTTGATTGTAACACCACCTTCCTTAAGTACACTCACTCGTTAACCCAAGAACAGAATACAGAGCATTGGTCAGAGCGAGCAACACCTCTTGCACAGATGTTTTCATTACATACAACAGAGTTCTCAAAATACACACTGTAAACAGTAGCAGGTGCCTTTGTTTGTTCCTGGGAAAACCTCTGCCCCCAGGCCAGTCCTTGGGAAAGCCCCGTGTTCTCACACAGCTTTCCCAAGGGCTACTGTGCCTCCACATCTCTGGACAGCCTCTTCCGGCTGTTATGATGGGATTACTGCTCCTGGGAAGCTTCTTTGAACAGCTGCACTCCTGTCCACTTGCAACCTTACCAGCCTGTTATTTCATAATTTGAAACTTTTTCTCCTTAAGTACTTTGGTCTTTGGTCAGAAGCAAACATTTTCTTTTAATCTTTAAACTAGAGGTTCTGACTCCCACTCTTAGTCCTCTTTCAAAGAGAGACAAAAAAAAGTCATAAAATTACTCTCAAAGGGCAGGAAAACCTGAAGAGAAGGGGTCATAAAGTCTCAAAAGCTAAATGAGAACAATCCAGTGGATTTACTTCCCTTGTCCTAAACACAGGTTTCAGCCAGTCTCAGGACTATCTACATAAGAGACCTCCAGAGAAACATCTGGCTTACTACATGGAGACTATTATTTCAAGAGCTACAATGAACAGGGGCTTATAAATATTTGTCACAGGATAAAAAAAGTCAAGAAGTGGATGTGGAGAGGAAACCAAAAGGCAAGGCTGTCAAATTTTTATTAGAAAGACTTCAAATATTTTTTAACAGAGATGTCATATTTTGGCTGAAGATACTTGACAGTGTCCCTTTACCTTACATTTGGCATTTTAAGAAAGATATCCCAGTAAAATTAGTATTCTAAGTAAACAACAGCAAAATGTTTTAAAAAAGCACACCTAAAAGCTTAAAACTGCAGCAGACTTCAGTAACAGCTCCGTGAAATTGCATAGCATATGGTATACAGTACTCAATTTTTAAGCAATAAATAATCTCTTCTTGCCTAATTAAATATAAAACATAGCTTCAAGACTGAAATATACTGTAATTCATGAATGGATCCGCGCCATTTATTGCTTTTTATTACCCATGTCAGTCTCTCTTCCATCTCATTTTCATGCACACAACCAGGTCAGGGCTTAACTACACTGCAGCCTTCAGGAGCTTGCACCTTCCACTGACCACTCTGCCTGGCAGAGGGTTGGGAGCACACCACTACCAAGGGGCAAAAGGCTGCTGAAGGCAAGGGAACACTATCAATGAGCCAGACCTAAATCCTAGGTGCTCCATGAAAAGTAGTAATTCTTTCATAATCTTTTTCAAGATCGCTGTATTATATATTGTTAACAACTGGAACAATTCATGATGATGAGAATAATGAGAAACCTTTAGCTTTAACTGCAATTATTTTATTTTCTATGATCATAAATTTCCCTCTGCCTCAGCTGTTCCTATGTAAATGTCCAACACTTGGTTTGTGATCTCCTGCTTTTAAACAACCAGTCTTTTGGGGTGAGAGATTGCTTATGGGTATTGGACTGGACCAGCAAAACAAACACTAGCTGGCCTCTCCTGACCACCTTCCCTAGCTGAGCTCATTCCTCCAATTCCTGCTCTCTGCTTTTACATTTACAGGTTTGCCCCTTTCCTCTCCCCAAACCATTTGCTTCAGTTTATGCTTGCCCTTTTTTCTTCTTTCCCCTCATGCTTTATTTTCTGTCTCCCATTGTGACCCCTGCATGCCAGCTACAGCTTCCAGGGTTCCCCAGAGGTTGTGCTGGTCTTCTACCAACTGCTGCACTAAAACTCTCCAGGTTTGAGGTTTCCTTGGGAGAACAGTAACATGAGAAATCAGACACTTAAATTATGAGGAGGGCTGGTTGGGAGAAAGAGCTTTTCTTCTTTCTCCTGCCAAATGTTTTGCCATTCTATTGGAAGACAGGTTGGGTTTTTTAATACAGAAAAATCCACTTTCAGGTATTTTGACAAAAAGCTGAAATTCTATACAGAAAGCAGATAGTTTGCATAGAAATTGTGTAAAAGTGAGAACCCAGTCTTCCTTTAAAAAGCAGTGTTAACAGCCCTCAAATCTGAGATGGAAAGTTAGCAGTTGGATAGGGCAACTGCAAGGCTTAGGAAAGGGACAGAATACACTAACCACCACTGGGTGGAGAGCTCGCCAGGCCTGGATATGCATTCCATTTTGGATGGACGTTTCGAGACCAGTTCAAACATTATTGCTGCCTTCCACATGGTCTAGAGAGAGAGAGACGCTGCTGATTTCCTCAGAAACTGTGCTTTCCTGTGAATGCTAAGGTGCTAAGGCAGGAAAGGCAGGAAAAGGAATGCTCCTCTTCCCAAGATCACCCAGTGAGCAGTACTTTATGCCACAGGGGATGTTCCGAGTTCTGCCACTGCTACTCACCATAGGAACTTGGTTTCAGTGGGCCAACATACAGAGTATGGTGTGCCAAAGTGAAAGGAGTTGCTGCTTCATGGTTATTATTTTGTAACTGATATTCAGTGCCAAACATTGGAAAAAGCCAGTTAAGACTTAACAAATCTTAGCCCAAAAGGTATAGAACTCCTATGGTTTGCTGCTTATAAAACTTGGAAAAGATAAAAAATTCTAGATGGATTACAGTATTTGCCTGTGAAGACTGAAGTATTGCATAATTGCTGCTCTGACTGTGAGAGCAGTACAGCAGAACAGAGATGATTATGTTTACACCTCAGTGAAGAAGTCAAACATAGGCATTTTTCTTTATATTTCCTTTTGAAGGATATTTTTGGAAGAAAAATAACTCAATTTTCAGCAGAGAATTTCAGTTTGCATTTAGACACCCCCACACTTATTTTTCTCCCCATTGAAACAATGTCGGTTATTATTGACCTGTTAAAGCAAACAACATGGCTTTTCAGCAATCTGTACACAGTACAGAACCATTAGTGTTCCTGAAAAGGCTTCCGTTTTTAGTGTACACATCTCCTCTTAAGTGCATTAGAACTATTGCATAGTTTCAAAGTCTTCAAACACAGTGGTAATCAGAATGCTTACACATGTGCATAAATAATAGCATGTCTTAAAAATTTAATTAAAAATACACAGTATAGTAAAGGCTATGGAAAATCACTTCCATCATAGATGACAGGTCGCTCAACAGCCAAGTGATAAAACACTCTTTTTGAGATAAACCTGTCAAGGAAAGAAAGAAAGCAAAAAGATCACATTAGCTGAAGCCAACAAGAGAAGAAGCCTTAAAAGTGTATTAAGTCTTTCAGTTTACACTTGGGCAAAAAATTCATTGTTGTCAAAAAGAAGTATGCCTGTGCAAGGGCGGTCAGGTTTGTTGTTAAAAAAGATGACAATCCTGACTAAACTGTCTTGGAATGAGTCACAAATTATTTGCTTACTTCTGTTAACCCTCCCTGAGGTTCAGAAAGAAGAGTGGAATTCTGCTGTGGGGGTAGGAAAAAAACCCAAACAAGAACAAGAACCAAAACTCAGTCTTGAAGACCTCTTGGCAAGCAAGAAAAAAATTATAATACTTACTTCTGAATAGCAGAATAATGGTACATCTGATAAATTCCAGTCTGTAAAACCAAGCTTATTTCACCTTTTATGCCTGGCTAGGACCTACCTAGAGAATGTGTTGTCAAATATCAGGGTGTAGATTCCAGCATTTCTGACTTTCACCTGTCCTCTGATAGTTTCCTTATGAGAGTTGCAGCGAGTCATAGGGATAAGAACCTGGAATTCAATACAAATCAAAATTAAATTTGCTATTTGCCCTATAAATTCGCATTTTCTTTCAGAAAACCTTGATTTCAGCCGCCTTGAAACTCCCAAAGTGCAGCTATGCCTGCAAAACTAATTACTCTAACTGATTAGTATTAAAAACTCACCCAAACTAAAATCTCACAGTAAGACATCTGTTTTCTTTTGGTTATATCTTTACAGCACTAACCTATAGACTATTCATCTCTGCTTTAGAGATAGAATCAAATCCTGAATTTTTAAATGTTAATCTAAGAAATTTTAGGAAGTGGTACATTAAATCCATATATCCAAGAGCAGGATTTAGCTAAATATATCTTTTAATATATGTTTTTATACTCCCTGTGTTATAAAATAAGCTTTCTTAGCAAATCTTAATTGTTTATCTGAGCTTACAGCAAAAGTGTGTGTATCTGTGGTTCTTTGTGTGTCTTGCTGTAAAACCCTAGCACAGCTGTCAGAAGAGCAGCTGACATAGATCAAGGATGACCCTACAAAATACAAAGTTTTACCAAAGAAATATATCAACACAAAAGCAGCATTCACACTTCATTCAGCTTTCAGATTAAGAAAAAGAGATATTTTACATGGAGTTAATAACTGTGTAGTAAATTAACACAAGTTATATAAATGTTTTATTCCCCCAGTAAATCACAAGCATAGAGTTCCCCCTAGCATGCTGGACTAAACCAACAGCTGCTTTCTCTTCAGCAAAACTTTGCAATTAGTTGAGTAAAATAGATTAATTTAATCTGAAATATGGACAGCACATACAAAACCAGGTACCTTGGGCACTGGCAAAGATATTTTGCACACCATCAAGGCACTTAAGTATATGCTTCATTGTAAGGAATGTAAGTAAACCAAAAAATGTATCTGTTTCCCTGTGACTTCTACTCAAGAGCCTGGAAAAGCCTGCCTTAAAGATTTTACCAACTAAGTGAAATTGAGAAAAAAAAAGAATTTTGCAGACTTAGACATTTAATTTTGCTTAATAATACTGGGCGAGTTTCAGATGCAACAAATAGAAGCTACAGGGCTTTTCAACTCAACTTTTGCAGGCAACATTAAAGATACAGCTTTGCCTTTAGCAGAACTGCAGCTTAACTGGAGAAACAAATCCTCAGTGCAATAACAACTGGCATTCTGGTGAAAGACCTCCTAACAATATTTGTCAATTCCTGTAGGCTGGATTACTACAACCTCTAAAGTAGTAGGGAGGCAAAGGCCTTACTTTGCACTGATCCAGGGGCGTGTCTTCAGACTCTTGGTAGACAACACTGAAGGATATGCTTTTGGGGTCCGATGAGAAAATCCAGCTAATTGTTAGCCCCATCTCTGTAACAGTGATGGGAATGACACTGTAGGTGCTCGATTTGATGAACAGCTCTCTGTTGCTTTCTCCAAAATTCATAATCTCTTCTACTGTAAGGGGTAATTTCATCCTGTGAGGAAGAAATATACAAGTACTTGAAGAGATCCAATCCACTTACTCAGACAAATCCACTAATCATCGATTTTTACTTTCCATCTATTTCAGGTAGACTCCACAAAATATTTAGGACAGGTCCACAAGATGCATGAAAATTCAGCCTCAGATGAAAGTAAAAACAACAAAAAAGCTGAGTGATACCAGGAATCTTCACTGCTCTGTCATGAGTGGATTTTCTTCACTTATTTATTTCATTCAACTAAAGAAAACCAGTGCTGGAATCAAGCTTTTTAGAGTTACTACAAATAAAAAAGGAGTGCTGCCCTCTACTGTCCTTTTAAAACAGAAAGCAAGTTACCTGGTTTATTCACATTCCTAGGTGAATATAAAAATTTGCACAGGAAACAGGAGGGATCAGGAGTACAGAGGGGACAGGTGGATGGAATGTGAACAGCAGCTCTGTTCTGAAGTGCTTAATGCTACATCTGGGTCTGTTTTACCCAACCATGCTGCAAAAAAACTGACTCAAAACACTTCCAGTCAAAAAGGAAATTCTTAGCATCTAGATGATGCAGAGTCCTACAGCATTAGATGAGCTGATTTCATTCTGGTGTCTATTTAAGACTGTGAACAGTGAGGCCCTGAAGCAGAAGAACACTGGTTACTTTCTTTAGAGGAAACCAGTAATTTCTAAGATCTGTGGAATCTCACCTACATTACCCTAACTAAAATTAATCTCATCTGTCACTCTTAAGGGCAAACTGTTTGCAAATCAATGAGATCAGAGTAAACCACAGTCCTGTCGTGTCTCAGCTGATCTTTGATTTTAACAAACTAAATATCATTCTTGGTTTTGCTTTACATCCCAACTATAATTCTAGTTACTGCTTTGTTTACCTTGATCTCTGAACAGCAGCAACGATTTGGACTGATTTATCTCCTTGCAGTCTAAATTTAAAACTTTTAACCTTTAACTAAGGCAAAATTTCAAAGCTAGGTTTAAGGGGACAGTGACCAAAGGTGAATTTCTCTAAGTCATGTGCGTTTCCACACATTGGATTCCCTTCTTGGCTGTGCAAGTGACATGCTGTATCACTACTGCATGTAACTAGGAATTTCACAGCAGACACATGCAGAGAATTGTGCACACACAGTACACACAGAACGTGAGCTGAGGCTTAGATGAACATTTTATGCTATGGCATGTATCAACCAAAGCAGGCAAAACAGATTCTGGGAAGCCACCAATAAATAACACATACATGCTCCAAAAGGCCATTCATTCCCTCCCTTTGGCAAAGGTCCAACTAGAGCTGCAATCCCTGACTTGCCCTTGCAGTTTCTTTCAGAGACTGTTAGAACTGCACAGCCTTCTCTTTAAACCCCCTTCATGTCGACAGTGATTCCTGCAATAAAAGTAGGAAATGTTTTCTCATGTGATGTGGACCTACATCTTTCCTTCTATTCTCCAGTTGCACTGAAGTTTTCTAGGACTGAAGAGAGAGGACCTGGCTCATTGCTGCTGCTCTGCATGGTTGAGTTACACCCTCTTGTCCTCCTCTGTGGGATTCCACTGTGGGATACAAGTAAGCAGCTCTTCCAGGAGCCTGCAAGGCTTGTGCTCACTTAGCTCAGCCTTTATGCTTTCACCTATAGCAATGAAATTGTTCTGCTTACATAATTTCTCCTGACTTCAACAAGCATATCTCAGCATCTTGAGCAACTTGCCAGTCTTCGGATTCATCAAAGGTTGAAGAATTACACGTGCTGTTTCTAGAACAAGGAAAAGAAGGAAAATCATGACTCTCTGAGTAGTATGTGATCAAATATGACCTGCATGCTGATGCCTTCCTAAAATAGAAATGTTTTAACTTGCTATCCACTTCTTACCCCAAAAAAGGTGTATGCTCTGGGTGAACACCAGGTATGAATTACAGGACTGGACACAGAGAGAAGGATGACTTTGAGAGTCAGGAAACAAATGCTGATCGTTTCCAAGTAAGTTAGAGCTTCTCTGACTGATTCTTGTTTTGTTTCTCTGCATTCCAGCAGTTTGAGACAATTAAGCTGTCATTCCCATAAAACAGGGAACCAGCTGGTTGGTTCCTTCCAAAAACCAGCGGCATCTAATAAAATGTAATACCATATGTGCTTCTGAACCACCAAGTGCAGTAATTCCCCAAGAGACCATAACTGCCACACTTGCTGTAGACCAACTCTCAACACCAATGCACAGTCAAGCATTTTCTTTTAATCCAATGGGATATTGCTCTACAAGCAGTACTGATGAGCAGAGGGGCAGGAGAAAGTATCTCCTTCAGGTAGTCACAAGCAGCATCTGAATATACTGTGTCAACACAGGCAATTACATGTCAGTTTAGTGCAGTGGCATAATTGTTTGGAAACAGGACGAATTTACTGTTATGACTGCAAATTAAGCTGCACCCACTATTGATACATTTACTGAACTGTTATCTCAATATTCTCTGCTTTTATTCTTGCAGCCTCTTGAATGACTCTTGACTTCTTCAGAGTCACACCACTACTGTTAATACCCTAGAGAGACAGCTGGGATGTGACTGGGGGATTCAAAGTTGTAATTAAGTGCCAAAACCTGAGCTGTAACCAGACACTAGGAATGTAGGAATGAAGTACTTACTACGTGTTGGTCCATAAAGATTAGTACAACATCTGTGCAAACACTTACTGATACAAATAATTTCATTAAGTATCTCTATACAACCAAACAAAGAAACTGATTCTGAAAAAAAACCAAAAACAAACAACAAAACAACAAACTAGAAAACTAAACTATAGCTTGTAAACCTACACATACATTTTGCTTGCACAGTGGGAACAGCAACCGGCTTCATGCTGCAATCTACATAAGTCTCCCCTCCCACCAGGTTAGCTACACAGCTTTAATTTCACAGTCTTGAATTCATGCAGAGAAAGAGAACTACACAATTACAGGCTTTCCAGAAGTGTCAAACTCCATTATTTACTACACAATGCCATTAGAGTTGTTGATTTAATCCATTAATTTCACCTTTCATTTGGAAACCTAAAGTGTAAATTAAATCCCAGGACCAATATATGCTCTGTGTTCTCCTTGAACACACAATTTTCCTTATTCCTGCTGCTGCAACCCAGTACATGGTTAGGTCGTTAGCTTGGCACTTAGCTGTTCCACCCAATACATTCACCACACATCTAAGGCTAAGGGAATGCTAAGTCTCCTAATTTGTGTATTAAATCAAAGTGCCTTATAACCACAAAGAAAATCCTTCTTCTCTTTACGATATCTCACTGAGTCTAACAGTCTAAACTAAAGTCTGGTAGGTGTAATATAAGAAATAGTATCAGGATTTAACTGAAGCATTTTTCCCCTGACAGGAGAATTTATTCTTGTATGACCCATTCACCCTTTGTGTCAGCACCAAGGATGTTCCTGCAGCTTGCCAGGTCCCCAGACTATGAATATGCACCCTCTGGTGTATCTATTTAAACAGTCTGTATTTTTTCCCCTTCTTTTTCTTTTTAAAAGTGAAATGAAGTGGGGCTAAAAGCAGAAAGAACTGAAACATGGAAAAGACACTACAGCAAGAAGAGAATAGCTCTGATTCAGAAAAGGCTCAAGACACAGATTGTTGGAAGCTGATGGAGCATTTTGAAGAATTATTGCTTCATGCTTGTCTTATTCCTATGCACTTCCTCTGGCACCTGCTGTTGGTCCCCATCCCTAAGGTGGATAGTCTGGTCTGGTGTGCCTGTTCATTTTTTACAAACGATACTAAAAATACTGTGGCCAACATCATAAATGGCTTGGAGAGTTAAAAGTTAGAAGTCACTTCTAGAATTAAAACCTGAAAAAAGCTGATTCAAATCTGGACTCGGAAATTTTCTGTTTTATTAAACACCTGAGCTCTGACAGCTGTAGCTATGTGTCTGAGGTGTCTTCATGTGGCTGAGCAGTGAAATCACAGAAGCCATCTGCCTGTCAGCAGTGCAGTGATTTTTGGAGAGAACTTCTGTCATCCAAGTGCAAGTCTTACCGAATTGTGTGAAAGGCAGAAACCTGAAACGGAGACTGGAGGCTGTACAGAGCCCCTAACAGCTGCTTAGCCCAGCAAACACATCTGAAAATGCAAAGAAACAATCAAAGGCATTATGCTGAAGTGCACCAATGATTCCCTGGGCCTGCTGTTATCTAGCAGGTCAGACCCACCCCAGGCACCCTAACTTAGTTATTAGCCTTCCTCTCCAACCCAACAAAGGGCAGAAAAAATAGAAAGAGGACAGTAAAGGATCAGAAGAAAGGGTACCACAGACAGCCCTTAACATGGGCAAGAGAAGAGGCATGATTTGGGATGGAGCAAGGGGGATACAGAGCTCACTGAGTTTCTAACAGGGTGCAAGACAGTGTCTTACATGAAGGTGTATGGGTGGGAAAGGGGTACAAGTGTTAAGGGCAAACCCTGGCATATGTTGAGATGGTTAAGCATCATACAGACAACTGCAAAACTACACACAAAAAGATAGATGGACTTGAAGATCCATCACTGGGTGCAATGGGTGAGCTGCTTACTGCTATAAAGGAAATTCCAGCTATTTCTTAAAAAAGTATACATAACTTAGCTATGCTACATCCTGTATGAAACAAAGGAAAACAACCAACAAACAATACAAAAGGACTCCTCAGCCTTAAAACTTGTCACACTCTATCTTCAAGATAAGAGACAATACAGAGAAAGCAAGCCAGGGAAACAATCATGACAAAGGAATATTTCTGTGCTGCAGGGGACAATGTGCAAAAATTTTTTTTTAAGTTTCTTTTTCTATTGTGATAGGGAAGAGGTTTGGCAAAGGCTCTGAGATGAAGACAGCTTTCAAACATTGCATTTGCAAAATGTTCAGAACAAGCAATTAGGGATTACCAGAGTGCTTTCAAGTCCCTTTTCCAGCAGGAGGCAGCAAACACACAACTGGAAATCAACACTAAAAATACTGACATACTGCTGCCAGTATAGCCCAAATACTGCAGCCCGTAGGTCACCAAGGCTACAGCCACCTCTGTGAGGTAACACTAGTTTAGATACCTTTGAATTTTCTTTTCACACAGTTCTTTAGAGGCTATTAAGGGAAACTGAAGCAGAATTATAGGAGAGATACAGAAGAAGCAGTTTCTGGCCTGAGTTTACACCAGTATTCACCAGGAGCCCCAGGTCCTTTCAGCAGAACTGCTGCCCAGCCCTCCCTGCCCAGCCTGTACCTCCACAGAGGATGCTCCATCCTTGAGCCTACAGGTTCCCTGCAGCCAGGGTGGTTTCTGCACCCAGGGTCATTCACAGCTTTACAATCAAATATTCTTCAGACTGACACATCCAGGAGTGACAACTACTCTCTCAGCCCACTCCCTATAGGGGATAAATTCACACAATCCATATGTTACCAAACAGCTTAGCCACTGCTGTGTCATCCTCATACCTTATTCTGCACCTGAAAATAACTGATAAAAGCAGGTGGTTATCACAACCTATTGCTCCCCTGTTTGACAGGAACAGTTTGTGAATATTTAGTACCTTGCTCCCAGTTAGTTTCTCAGAGGCAGAGAAATTGCTATCACATACAATGAAGCACAAGTGAGACCTCAGTTTTTAAAGAGCATTACACAGCCTTACATTTCTTGTGTCAATAATGTTCTCACAATAAATGATGCTGCAGAAATAAGTCAAATTTGGTGCTGTTTTTCTTTATATACATTTGCAGGTACCAAACTTAAGTAGTCAGAGATACAAGCTCACTGCTCTACAAGTCAGAGTCTGCCTGCATGGGCTCATTTCTCTCAATAGTGTTTCCCTCTCTTGCAGAACCAAGGGATGCTCAAACTGCTGTACATTAGCACTCACTGAGTGAGGTCTTTCAGCCAATTTTAAGGATTCAGAGGTGAGTTCTGCTAATCTACTAGTAATATCTTGTAGTAGGATTAATCTCACAGAAACATGGTTTTTGTAGCTCGAGAGAGGGCACTTAGCTTTTGGGCTAAATCTTTAAAAAGCCAATAAACCTATCTCACAAAAGACTTAACTGACCAGGCAAACAGCTTGCAAAGATTGCTAGTCTTAGGGCTGTTACTTTTATGTGCTGGCAACAGCCCTGATTGCAAGGCTGTTGAGTTAAGGAGAGGCTTAAGGAGTTAAGCCTCTCCTTAACTTGGAGGGCTGACACTGCAAAACCCCATCAACACTTGAGAGGGAGTGTGATGGAAGGGGCTGACAGAGAATTGGTCACTCCTCCCTCTGAGTAACACAAATGTAGTACATTAACGAAAATCCTTTGTTTCAGTAAGTCACTTGAAATGGGGAAAGGAAGTAGTGCTGCCATCTGATGATGTGACTCACATCTAAAGAACAAGATAAGGTTTAACTGAACCACAGGTTCTGAAGTACTCATTAAGACTCAAACCCTGCCTTTTGGGACAAGTCCAACCCAAGCCAAACAACTCTGATGCTCAAAACATGCAACCTGAGCCTAAATGGTAAATCTGGCAAAACAAATTCTATTTCTCTCATGGGTTTCCCCAGAAACCCTCAATCCAAGCACTGAATCACTGATATATTAGAAAGCTTAATCCTTATACTTTTCAGAAGCCTCTTTGTAATTGTCTTTTGAGTATGCTTTTGAGTCCCCATCAGTATAAATCTGGTAACAGATGAAGTATTCAAATCCACCAGCTGTTATGTTTGGGCCTTGACTGTCAAGACAATCCTCTTCAGCAAATAAATGGATTTGTTTTTGTCTGTCATGGATGCTTTACTACAGCTCTTATCTGTTAGTGCTTAGGATTTTGTCTGTCTCCTGGATGCATTAGGATTTAATTATTTGCTGACTAAAAAAATCTCAATATGTCTCCTTCCAGGCTGCCCTTAAAAAGAAGGCAACATGGCAACTATAGATACTAACTTTTATTATAACTCCTCCATCACTGATCCCTATGAAAACAGAAATGAGAATTTTCATATTAATAAGAGTCTTCCTGCCACATATGTGTTTTGTTGTTTTCATCCTTGGCCTAGCCAGAAATGCACTGGTCTTTGTCATACTAAGTTTCTATATGAAACTGAAGATTCTGGCAGAAACTGACAGTACTTCTGCTAAATGTGGCTATAGCTGACTGGGTTTTTCTTTGGATGCTGCCACTCGGGGTATACTCTGCTGCTCAGGAATGGACTTCAGGCACTGTGGCATGTCATATTACATGGGGCTTGTATACACTTCACTGTTAACTCTAATGTCTATCACCTCTGATCAGCTTATTGCTGTTACTTTTGCCACCAAAGCCCATGCGTCAAACCAAACGAATGACACAGGACAAATTAATCTCTGTCTTGATCTGGGTGATCTCACAAGCATTTGCTGCACCATACTTTGTTTTTTAGGAGATGTTAGTTTTGATAAGGCAATATGTCAGGAAGAATTCTCAAACTATCACACAGAACTGGTTCTTGACGTGATCCAAGTGACTCTTGCTTATTTTATTCCCATGCTAGCCCTGATCACCTGCTACTCACTAATAATTAAAATTGTACTGTGTGCTAAAAGTCTTGAAAAGAAAAAAATCTATAAAAATATTTCCTATAGTTGTCTTGTTTATTCTTATACAGATACCCTATACTTTCTTCAGATTCATAAAGATCATACATTGGAGCTTTAAACTGAATAGCAGCTTTGAATATGCAATTACCGTAACAAAAACTCTTGCTTATTTTTATGGCCGTCTTAACCCTCTATTTCTTCACGGGAATGAAAATCAGGAAGTACTAACACAAAATTATTAAAAAATCAAGATCTGCCAAATGACAAGTTACAGCTCAACAGTGGCAAACCACTGAAGAGGAAGACTCTTAACCTTTTACTGCTTTATATAGTGCAGATGCCACAAGCATGTACCCACTATAAAACTAAAAAATCTGGCAACTATTTTTCAGCTTCTTTTTTCTGTTTGTTTTGTTTGTAAATACTGATGTAGGGAGCTTGAGTGAAAGAGGAAATACAATACCATGAGTAAAAACACTGTGATCACCTTAGAACCAACTTATTTTCATCATATTTCATTGCTTCTTGCTTTTTTAGTCCAAGCTGGTACTGAGTTAACAGTGCAGAAGATCTTCAAAAAGTATAAAAAAACAATGAGATAAAACTCAATTTTTCATGACATAAAGATAATTTGAATTTCCTGACTCCCAAACCTCTGGCCTGCTGCTTTTCCATGAATGGTGTTTGTTAATGAAAGCTTTTCTGATTTGTTTCAAATATATTACATATTTTAGTTCAGCCCATTCATTTAATGAGAATTCCTGGATTAAAAACATATATATCTCAGTCTTCATGCTGGGTTTCATGTGTGGTTGGGTTCTATTGGATGTTATGGGGTTTTTTTTTCCATCTAGGACAAGCTCAGTACATAAAATCTTTAGCATTCATCTAAAATTTCTGCAACAAAGCAGCATTTTCATGTGCCATTCATCTAATATCAGATTAACGATCTAAATGTCCCATACACATCTTTGCATTTTATACCTGATAACACAGCTCATGCTGCTGGATTACCAGGCCCCTTGTAAACACCAGGGATATCATATCACACACGTGGCCTCCATCACTCAGCAGTGTTTGTGTAGATACAAACTCTGATTCCCCACACATTCTTTGCATCATAACATCTTCCCAGTCTATTTTTCCTGGCACCTTGGTTCCCTTGTTCATGAAACTGTTCCTTAGCTGCTTTCCAACCTTGTTTTCCACCTCTGGTCTTTTCCCTTCCCAGCTGGAAGCAAAAAGATGTGCAGGGGGCAGAAAAGTGTGCAAAAGCTCTTGCAGAAAGTAGTAGGAAAGGTGTGGAGACTGGAATAGGGAAATGAAATAAGGGCTGTTTCAGAGGAGCAAAGGGAGGACTTTATGCAGCTGTGGGCTGCTTGCAATAAAGGCAGGGTTGGGTCTGGCCCAAAGGGTCAAAGTCCTTTACATTACAGCTTTGAAATACCAGTTTTAACTGCTTCAACCATTCTTGCAAAAACCACATTCTCTGGATGCTCCTTTACTCCCCATTAATACCCAGGCCTTCCTATCAGAGCTGCAGCTCAGAGGAACCTGACTCTTTCTGGCAGCAGTGCTCCCATCTCACCACTTTTCCCCTCAGGAAACAGCTGTTTAGGCAATCCTTTCCTTACTACACAATCTCCTGTTTCCTAAAAAGCAAAGCTATGAAGGAATGTGGTGTGACTACATGTGTAAAGATGCCATCTCAACACACAACTGCAATGCAGGCTTTGCCAGCATAGGATAGCAAGAGCTGTTTCTGTGCCCTCTCCTTCCTGGCTAGTTCTGCACTGGGTAGGGAATGCTTCAGACCACATTCACTTCCCCCTTTTGGTTACACCACACCCTGCCCAGCCACTTAGGTTAGCAAAGAGTGTTATGAGTCATCAAGAAAAAAAAAATAATCCAAAGCAAAGCAACCACTGTGCAGACAGGGTAAGATGGTCTTTCTACCACTACCAAAGTGTGAATAAATTCTTTGTTCCTGTATCAGACTAGCGGCAACTTTGGGGTTCTTTCACTCTTTTGCTGTCTATGATCTTGATTTTGCTGCTGCAACATTTATTGCAGGCATGTCATGCCTACAACACATAAAAATGGAAACACAGTGCACTGGTTTATCCTGGGGCCCTTTGTTTTTAGAACACAATATGCAAATGTGAATGCTTTAGAAATAAGAGTTTAAAAATACAACACTTCAAAAGAAAACCCATGAGCCTTGAAGTAGCAGGATGTATCACAATCGCACAATTAATCTTAGTTTCTCACATTTAAGATTTTGATCAGGTTGGTCCAAACACACATAACAAACCTGAAAGGATGAAGTAACTGCTGCTCAATCCTAATCTTTAGCCAAGAGCTACTTCAAGGTCAGCCAGAGTTATGCTAGTAGAATCATCTCTCTTACCCTGCCACACACCTCTGCAGTTGATGACCAAGGTGAGTTTTAATTGATTCTCAACTAACCTGTACCAATAAAGGCAGACTCTCAAAATTTGCTGTTATGAAATAATTTTGTTGTAATTGTTTCACGTCACTTCAAGAAAAGAACAACAGTGGCAGGGTTAAGTGAAGAGACCAAGTGAAAAATAGAGTAAAAGTACAGTAGGCACCAAAAGGGGAACAAATAGGAACAGGAATGTCCTTTAAGGTAATTCACTGCTTTGAGGACCAACTTGCATTTTCAGTCCAGCAAGGACTCACATGTAGTATTCTAGGTGTGGTCAGTGTGAAAATCTCTGCTGTCAGCCAGAGTGAGATCATAAGAAACTATGTAAAGAGAGCATGTCAATAGCAGATCTTCTGTTTGGACAGCAAGCCTCCCTTCTCTTTCCTTCCCTGGATGCTCATCTCTTTCATTTTTAGAACTCCACCAGCCGGTTCAAATCTCCTTGCTATTTGGCAAAACCAAAATAGCTTGGACTATTTTCAGCAGATCTCAATAAAGAAATTTAGCCTGAAAACTGACTTATTTGTATGCCTTCCTAAGACCTGCATCTAGCAACCACAGTCTTGGATCCTTTGTGTGTTCCTCAGACACTGTATCTAAGCAAACTCTACTCAAAATATTCAATGTCATGCAAAGATAACATTATTGGAATGCCAGTGGAGACTATGTGAAGTTTCCCCCCAGAAATTAGGCCTCATTTAGCTGGACACTTTAGAAAGAAAAAGAATAAAGATGGTAAGTCTACATGAAGTTCAGGGTGGTCAGCCCAGCACAGCCAAGAAATCTGCAGCAGTCAAACCAGTAGCTCAGAAAGTCACTGAACTGCAGGTCCTTGAACTGTGGGAGAAAACACAGTGGAAAATTTTCAGTACATCTCTCATGGTCTGCTGTCAAAGATAGGACAGAGGGTCGGCAGAACCTTTGCTCATACTCAATACAGTGGCTCTGGCACATTTACTCACAAACAACCAAAGTATCTCATGCTGCACTTCCTGCACCTGTGCTAAGTGACACTCAAGCTTTGGGTACACTTGTACTCCTCACCACAGAAACAAGTGAGAAAACCTGTGTGCCGTCACAATCAGCACTGTGCCCTGCTATTTTTCTTTAACATGCACCACAGGTACCACACCATCATCTGACTCACATATCAATTTCTAGATCTTTCCCACAACACAAACCCACAATCAACATGAGATGCTCAAGTCATCTGCAATGCAAGAAGGCCATTCTCCTCCCCAGTGCTCAGGCTAATGAGACCTTCCAAACATTACAGGTGTCATGGAAAAGGCCAGATTTGTGTTCTCTGCAAAGAATGTCTCAAGTTCAAAGTACAACCACAGTAGGACTCTCACCTGCTCATGAAACTGCTAACAAAAATCAACAGAGGATAAAGCAATATTTTCTGGGTATCCTACTTACAATCTAACAACAAGGGAAGCTGGACAACTTTTAAAAGTTTGCATGATGCAAGTAAGTTGCTCCATGGGTGCTCTTCAAGAATAGTATCCCCTTGTTAGTGGCAATCCTTCCTTTCTGCCTGAATACTTTGTCAGAGAAGATGAATTTAAACCAATGTTGAATTAAAACAAATGGTGACCCACACTTATTTCTCTTCTCTGGTTGTTTTCTCCAGAGCTAACTCACCTGTAATATACCTGCTGCAGATAGCATGAATTAAAAGAAGTAGCACACTTCACTTATTTCTTCATAAAACAAATAAACAAAAATTCCCCACCACAAATTGTCCTTTTGCAAAACAAAGGCAACACTAAATTCACAGGGTCACTGTGAAGCTCAGTTCATTCATGTGTGCCCAGCATATGCTAAGCAGGAATATATTGTCAGTCTTAACTGTATACAAAGTAGGTAGAATACATTTAAGGTATTTACCAGGAAACAAATATGTAGAATTTTGAAAAGTTTTATTACCAAATAAACAAGTCTGTACTGTCTGTCTTCAACTCAAACTGCAAGTCATTGTGGTTTATACCAGAAATGGGTCTGCTGAGTGCAAAGGAGTCTAGTTCTGCTTTCACATCAGCAGACTATTTACTCTGTGACTATTTTCAGTTCAGCATTTAGATTTATCCTGTCTATTTCTCTGCTTGGAAGAAAAGCAAGTACATAATTTAGGTGAAATGGCTCTTTTTTGTTTTTCTTCTCTAAAGACAATATATTTTTACAGAACAGAATTTCTGTAAAACATTTGAAAATATCTGAACAATAATAAAAAAATATTTTGCCTAAAAATGGATACACATTAAACTATAATACTACAATATAATTTGCAAACCAAGTATTTGGATATTCAGATGTCCTTAAATCCTTTTCATTGTAATTTATGTAGAAATAGATGTCAAAAAATTACTGAAATCTGCACTCACTCCCGTTTTCCTAAGAAAGAAAAGAACAAACTTGTGTCAGATGTAGCTACACAATTTTTCTTTTCTGTAAGCTGTCATCTCTAAGGTAGTAAGGAAGTCTGCAGACACAGAGAGCCTGAATGCTGACTTTAGTGGTGACAGCTGGCCTGATGACAGCACAGAGCTGGGACTACTCCCCTGTGATGTGGTGAAGGAGGTGGAGAGAGAGCATGGAGTGGCTTAGATTTACTAGATTGAATGCAGACTGTGCAAATAGACAAAAATTATCTTGTGTTGTTCTAATGAACATGTGGCCTGGGAACAGAGGTCTTAACTTTATGCAGAGGTTGACTCCTCTCACTAAATAGGGGAAAAAAAAGAAAAAAATTCTAAAGCAAATCCCAAAGAGGCCTCTCTTTGAGAAGCAGTGTTTACTCACAGATCTGTCACACTTTGATCCAGAGAGTCTCTTTCCATCTGACTTTCATTGTGGAGAGAGTCTGATTCTTGTACTTGGCACAGCTCTTCATCAGTGATTATATCAAAAGCTGCATCATCTGGTGGTTTAGAGGCTTCACTTGCAACTGTGCCAAAAAAGAGAAAAAACATAAACATTATTAGCTGGTTGTCTGGAAAACAAACAGGCAAAACTCTTAAGGGGGGAGCATGGGCCATTCCTTTTCATTTACAGAAGCATTAAATAACGATTAGAACTAATGAAAAATCTTGGCCTGACTGACATTCATTTAATATACATGAGCATTTCTCTCAATACCAATCAAATTCAAAGACAGGATCAGTCCCACCCTGAAAACATTCCATGACCTCCTGCAAGTTATTGGAGCAGGAGGTGACCATGTGATTTCTTGCAGACTGTCGAAGAACCCTACTTATTTCTCCACAGCATGCAAATCATAAACTAACCAAAAGCCCTCTCAGATGGTGACATAGGTGATTCCAATGAAGCTGGTGATCCTTCCTGGTTGGCACTGGATCCAGAGTCATCTGTACTGTCCACAATTACTCTAGGCTTATTAAAGCAAGCTCTGCAGCAACGCTCCTTTTTTCCACCAAGCTTGGTCACCATGTAGTTGTTGCAGCAGTAGTAGCAGAAAATGCGGCCACACATTCTAGAAATGATTCAAAACCAAAGGTGTTAGAAAAGTACCACACACGGCTGGAACATATCTCTGTGACAGAGTTTGGAGCTCTCTCATAATGGTCTTGTTTTCTGCAAAAGCATGAAAGCTACACCCACTGGCAGAACACATAACAAACCACGCTCCTTTCTGAAGTGAAGCAAGTCTTCTTGACAAGCACAGGACAAAAATTCACATTCACACTTTGCTACCTTAATAAACAGGTAAAATAGAAAAAACTAAAAATACCAAAAAAGTTAAATATAAAGATATGAACCAATCAAAGTCCACAAATATACAATGCAAATAAATAATATTTACATTAAGTACATAATAAGAAAATGAACTTAATACTACACAGCCAAATCTCACAGATGGGTAGAACAAAACCTGATTTGATTTTAAGGACTTTAAAAACACATCTGTATGTCCCTGCTTCATAACGACCCATCTTTCCTTCAGAAAGGAAAAACATCCAGTATTGGACACATATGAGTACATTCATCCCTCCTACCCTCTCCACTCTGAAGTCTCACAGTATTAAACTTGTCGACTACTTTTTAATATTCATGTTGAGATTTTCATGAAGAAAAGTATCCATCACGGATGACTGCTACTCAGGAAATTTTAATGGTTTTGTTTTTCTTAATCATTTAAATCATTACAGGGTGAAGACACAAGCAGCTTTCAGAGACCTTAGCAGAAATTAGTAATTTGGAAGTTGTTACCCAAAATGACTTCATCATTCACTAATCCCTATAGAATGTTGTTTACATTCACGTGAAATGGAAACTATTCCAGTGCTTCCTTCTTTCCTTACATGACAAATCAGGTCATGAGGATAAGGAACAGTAAAGAGTCAAACCAAATATGTTACTAGGGCCCTGAAATGTATCCATTTAAATACTTTTTAATAAATCTATATTGGATAGCTAATACTAACTGTTGGGGAAATAATTTAATATCCACTTTAAAAAAAGAGATTACTCTGCAATAGTTAATTATCTCTGAACACATCTAGTGTAAATAAACAAATTTATAATTGCACAGCATGTTGAAACTTGTTCTGGAATACTTCCATCAAAGTAGCAAAGCCATCCTAGTTAATATTGTTTAGAGCAAGAAGAGAGAAATGCACAGTCCTTCAAAGAAACACACTATATAGGGTATGATTATCTTTGTTTCCAGAAATGTGAAACTAACAGACTCCCCAAGTCAGAGTTGCATCTAGATCTTTGTCTTAATATATTTCAGGGGATCTTTCCAATAATGTCTTATGTGTGTTCTTTCAGCCTCTACAACATCACGTATCAACAATTTTGATCACTGAACTGTGAACATTAAGGAATATTTCCTCCACGCAGATGATCATACTGAGTTTTACTTTTGAACAGTGCAATACAGCTCAACAACTGACCTGCAGTGGTGTCGGCGCACCATCCATGAGAACTCTCGCTGGCAGTCCAGACAGTGATTAACTTCTGTGTCCCCCTGCCACCTCTGCTCTGCACTAAGCTTCTGCTGGAACTCCAGAGCATCAGATTTCTGCCACAAAGCATCCTTATCTCTGCAGTGACACAGTTAAAAGAAAGAAAAACACATAGAAGTTGTCAGTGCTGGTTTACTGTTAGTCAACCTCAACTGCAATGCTGGTAAAAACTTCATAGTAAAAATTCTTTTGCTCCTAAAATTCTGAGGAGCTTTCAGATGTAAAGATAGATAAGAAAACCTACTGAAGCGTCTCCAAAGACAGGGAGAAGAACACATGCCATGCAGAGAACTACATATTTTTTCAAAACAAACATCAAATTAAGGAGATATTGAGTGTTACATTTTTTGACTATATTATGGAAATGCAAAATTTCAACTGCTAATGGATTTGGCCTTTACTTGCATCTTCAATTTGGGAATATAAGCCTGGATGACTTAAGAAGTATCCTTGAACATCCTATGCAAGGATTTTAATTTCTGCTTGTTGTTTATTTTTATGCCAACCTGATAAGTTCTATCAAACGTTCTTCAAGGAACTGCTTTGTTCTTGTCAGGTCATCCAGTTCAGCAAATAACTTCTGGTCACTGCTATCTTTGTCTGCTGCCACCTTGCTGAGCTTCTCAGTGTAATCCAGGATCTTCTCTTTTGCTTCATCAGCCTCTTTTTGGATCCTGATCAAACAGAAAGGCAATGTAAATTAGCTCATGTAAATTCAAGTCTTTCCTGTGGAAGGAAGGGCTCCTCCACCCTGATAAACAGGTAGTTTCAGTGAAATTTTTCTCAGTGTGCATATTTTTTAGAGGTAGACAGAATCTCCCCAGTTTTCTACATCACCAAAATGCACATAGATCCATTATCTAGTGAACACAGCCAGCCACCAGCAATTTCGTGGATGCCCTGCTTATAGTAAAGCTTATGATGGCTACCAATTAGAAATAATAAAGATAACATCAGCACAAAGATATAAAAATACATAGGCTTTTGGTTATTAGACTCTGTGTGAGCCCACGCCTCATGAAGGTCTATTTCTGACTGCTAGCTTATCCACACCACACAGGCCCGCATTACAGACCTCGAAAACACATCCTATGTTAGATTATTAAAGCTGATAAGAAACCTGACAAAGACATGCAGGATGTGGTCCCATTCAGATCATTCTTACTGATTCTCTGAAACTTCACGAAGTGGAGACAAAAAACAAACTGTCCAAAAGAACAAATTTTCCATTCCTTACCAAAAAAAACCCCAGTATTGTTTTAATTTTGTGTTTAACCTATAAGGTAAAAAGAAGTTATAAAAATGTCTTTCATTAATTTATATCAGCTAAATTAACAGTAACAATTAGCAAGTAACTGTGCATTCACACGTGCTGGATAATTTCCATGTTTCTCATCTGAAGTGTCAATCCGATATTCCCTGCCAGTGCCCATGTGCTATTTGTTCTATATAAACCCTGTGACATATGGTACTTCGTAAACCATGGCGATTTGCAATGTTTCAATTACTGTTCCCTCGCTTGGCCTACAAATTAAGAGCTTCTCTAAAGAACACAAACTCTCACCTTTCCAAGAGTTCTCTAAGAGAAGTCACTTCCTCTTCCTTCTGCAGCCGAGCAGATTCTGATTCTGATAGCTGTTCTCTTGCTTCATCCAGCTTTCTACACAAACTCGTGTTTGCAGCCTAGTAAAATGAATGACTGTATTTCCTTACACATAAAAACACTTTACCATGAACAGAACAATTATCAAGACAGCTAACAAAGTTTTAAAAGAATCAGTTACAGCCAAACAACCAATTAAGATATTATTGTATAAGCAGGCAGTAATTAGTTGTGTACTAGCAACTGATTACTTCTGTCACACTGAGTAAGGGATGCATGCTAAAGTAAGACAGTGTTAAGCCTGTAATTCTTGTTAGTCCATGTCATGTTGAGTTTTTGCCTCCTTATCAAGAAAAATCTCTCATAAATAATGGCAAAAGAATTCACTCTGAGAGCTTTGTCACCACCCAAAAGCTTCAAAAGAGAAAAATTAAACAGGAGGAAAATGTTGTTTATTAAAGCCCATATGGAATATGAAGAAGAATCAAAAATAACCCAACTTCTTTCACAGCTAGACTCTCCAGAGAAGTCTGCCAAACCTGGAGTCCTCAAGGAACATACCTAATTGCATTTAAAGGTGCATTTTTCTCTTAGCAGGCAAGGCCACATCCAGTAATCTTAACTTTCTTCTTTCTGGATTCCTTAAAACTCAGTATGACCCTTATAACTCAATTGTTTCATAAACTTATTGCAAAAATTCTGTTTTTTTTCTGGCTGGATTCTTTCTCAGCCACATTCATTCTCTAATTCAATGTCTTTTGCCACCTGCAAATAGATGGATCTACACGTGGCTGTACGGGAATGCAGGGCCTAAGAAAGACATCTTAAAACTGCACTGCCATTTAAGAAGAGAACACGCAGTCAGGTCTTATGTAAAACCTGGCCAGCTTTCAAGGCAGGACAAATCCTAAGTGACATCATGTTTTTCAGAATCTCTGCTTCAGTGGCTGTCAGCTGCCCAGTATTTTGTCTGCAGCACCTGATTCTACACAGGGGCATTCTCAGACTCACAGCCAGTCATCAGAAATGCTGCTTGCCTTCCCAGTTGTAACACTAATACCTGTTGACACAAACACCTCTGGTTTTAATTCAGATCAAGCACCTACTTGTAATTCTGTAATCTCTTCCTCCGCTGCATGCTGTTGTCGCTTCTGCTCCTCAAGTTGCTCTCTTACTTTCCCACACTCCTCACTGACAGCCTGGCAGAGAGATTGAGCCACTAGTTAATAATCCTCCAGCAGCCACCCCTTCACCTACAGAATTCCCAGCTGTGAATTATGAGTGCTCTTACTGCCATGCATGGGATAAATGCAGCACCACTGGCTCATGAAAGACTGCTAAAAAGACATTCAACTCTTGGAATCAAGCAAACTCACTTTATGGTGGCACATGAACTGTGTTTTACTTTGCATAGGCTGTTACAATTCTTAAGAAAAAGAAGGTCAAACCCATGCAATGGCATAAGACTCTGATCAACCACCAATCTTAGAAATTTTATCAGAATGGCAAAGCAAACACAATGCAATCTTCAGCCTTTAGGTGTGCTGTGTCATATACACAGGGCTGACTCATGCTTTTTTGGAAGCAAAACTTTGATCTTCCCAGCTGCTACCTGGAGCAGCTGAAAGCAAAAATACATGAGGGAATTAAATGCAACAGCAACTGGTCTCAGTCTAAGCTCCCTTTCATCAAAATCAGTTCTTAGGAGAAGCAGTGTTACAGGTGTGAGGAACAGGTCTTGAAATGTTCCTACAAAAAAAGAAAACAATCATATCTGTGACCAGAGGGACTGCAGATGCCACCTTCAGTGCCAATGTGAGAAATCATCACCCTCATGAGTACTGACTTGCTTTTCCGTATCACCTGGCCTCTCCACTGTACTTCAATGTCCATAAAACTCTGAAGAGTTATTTTACCTCAGATAGGCCTAGGTCATGAGCACAGAGACATTCTCAGATTCCCAGGCTAAGACTAGTTGCATGTTAGTCTCAGAGCCTGATCCACACAAACCTTAGGATTTCATGCAGAAATTGCTGCAGCAAATGGTAAAGCAGCTCCCTCAGCTATAATAATTACATTAATTTACCTTGAATTTTGTCTGATAATTTAGAATCTCTGTGCTCATTTGAAATTTTATTGCAGACAGCTCTTCTTGGCTGGTCTCTTGGAAACTCTGTGCCTGTTTCTTTATTGTCTCCAGCTGCAATTGCAGACTTGGGACAGCTGCAGCACACATTCGAGCCTCCTCTAGTTTCTCTTGCAGGCTCTTGTTCTCCTCTCTGAGATTAGAGATGTCAAGATTTAGCTTCTCCTGTTGCTCTGCTGCCTGTTCTTCCAGCTCTTTGAACCTTTCTGTGGCCTGGGCCAACTGCTCTTCTGCATCCACCTTCTCAGAGGTCAAGGCACAAATCTGAATACCGAGTTCAGCCATATCAGTGTTGGTCCTGTGGAGGAGATCTTTATTTTCTTCATTTTCCACTCTAGCATTTTCCAAATACCGCTTAACCTTAGACAGCTCTTCCTTTAGGTTCATCAAATTATTTTCCAGCTCAGCATTTTGATGGGCTGTTCTCTCCTGCTCTTTTTCCAGCTTTTCTTCCCTTTCTTTACATTGCACCAGTTCTTGCACATGATTTCTGTTGAGAGACTCACTCTGCTCTTTCAGCTGCTGGACAAGCATCTTCTGCTCACTCAATACAGTCTCAGCGACTGCCAGTTCACCTCTCATCCTCTCTCTCTCATCAGTGGCCTGCTGAAGCTTGACCCGAAGATCGAGGACTTCTGCCTGCAGCCTGGACACTTCACCTCGGTTGACCTCCAGCTGCTCTTCACTCATGGTCAGTCTCAAGGCCAGTTCTTTTGCCTCCTTCTCCAAGGATGCCGCCTGCTGTAGTTGCTGTTTTTCCACTGATTCCTTTTCTGATGTGAGAGATTCTGTAAGTTTTGTCTGATGAAGGCATGTCTTTTCAACACTGAGCTTTTCTATCTCAAGAGTTTCTGCTTTCTTCCTGTATCTTTCAGCTTCTGCTCTTAGCTGCTGACATTGGCTCTCCAAGCCTTGCAGTTCTACTTCCTTCTCTGTGAGCTGTGACTGGATACACTCTTTGCTTTCCTTCAAAGCGTCCAAGCTTTTTTCCATTTGTAAATTATGCTGTTTGGCATTCTTCAGCTGTGTTTCAAGTGAAGCATAAAACTCCTTGGAGGTCTCTTCTCTTTGCTTTAGTTCTTCATATACTGAGTGTAGAGCCTCCAGTCTCTCCTCTAGAATTTGGCTTTGCCTCCTAGCATTCTGCAAGTCCTCATCCAGCTGTTTGTTCTCACCCCGGAGCTTCTTCTCTTTTTCATCAACTGACACCAGGGCATCATCTATCTCACTCTGAAGTTGTTTCTCAGAGGCTCTCAACCTGGCTACCTCGGCTTCTAGGGAAGCTTCAGAAGCTTCCAGATTTTTCAGCTTCTCTTCCATCTTCTTCTTAGATTGCTGCAAATTCTCCTTCTCTGCTTTCAGTTTCCTGCTCTCCTCATCCAACTCACTCACTGAAGAGTTTTGCTGCTCCATCTGCTCCTCCAACTCCTTGACTTTCTGCCTGAGATTCTCCTTCTCAGACATGAGTTTCCAGTTTTGCTCCTGAAGGCTACACACAGTCTGACTCACCTTTGTTAAGTGACCCTCCTGTAGTTGAAGTTGCTCTGCTTGAGACTGGGATTCCTCCTTCAGTGCTCCTTCCCTCCTACCATACTCCTCCTCAAGTTTTTCTTTTTCCTTCCTGGCTTCCTCAAGATTTTTTTCCAGTGAACCCACCTGAGCCAGCGACCCCATTACCTGGGTCTGCAGCTCAGCCATCTCCTTTCCTTTCAAAGTCAGGGCCTTCTGAAGTGCATCCTTTTCCTTTGCCATGGTCTCCAGGCTCCCAATTAGCTTTCCACTCTCTTCTTTGGAGTTAGCAGTGAGACTACTATATCTGGATTCCAGTTCCTTCTGTGCCTGTTCTTTCAGCAGCAGCTCCTCCCTTGCTGCTTTCAGCTGAGATGCATGTTCATCACTGAGTCTTTGCATATCTGCCTTTTCCTTTTCCATCTCTTGAAGCTTCTCTAACAGTGCCCGGATTTGTAGGGCAAAGTCATACTGGACTGTGGCTTGCTGTCCCTTTTCCTCTGAGGCAGCATCAACTTTTGCAAGGAGGTTGAGGTTCTTCTGTTCTGTGGAATTCAGCTTGGCTTTGAGCTCATCAATGCAAAGATCCTTCACAGCAATCAAAGCCCTGGAGGTCTCCAGCTCCTGATTTGAAACCTGCAATTTTGAGGCACAATCTTCCTTGCTGGTCAACAGCTGCTCCAGCTTTGTTGAGTGTTCCTTCTGCTGCTCCACTGCACTCAGTTCCAGTGACTGTAGGCACTTCTGCAGGTCATGGACAGTGCTCTGAGTGGAGCGTGAGACCTCACACTGCTTCTGTAACTCTGTGATCATCTTTGTCAGTCGGGAGTTTTCCTCACTGTAGTTATTGCTCTTCTCCTTTTCTACCTGTACTTGCTCTTTTTGAAGGCTAACAGCTGCCTGGAGCTCCTGGTTTTCAATTTCTAGCTGGTGAATACGATCTTGAAGTTCCCTTTGCCTCAGCTCAGCCTGGTCAAGTTCTAAACGCATCTCTTCGTAGCCCTCAAGGTGTTCAACATTTAGTGAGTTATTTACATCAGGGCTGGAAGGAAACTCTTGTGCCTAAATGAACAGAAGGGGAAAATCAGAAAGTTTAAGCAGCACTAAACATTCATTTAAATGGTGTGCTCAAATGAGAGCAAGTTCAGATTCTTAATGTACAGTGACATTGTGTGTTGCCTTCATAGCACTACAAGATATCAACTTGTAGGAAATGGGGCTTGTTTTCCGAAAAGATAAATAAAAACATTCCTATCTGCAGGCAGTCTTCTGAACTCTTTTTTTTCCCTACAAGATTTGCATGCTAAGTTGAAGCAGCTGACAGATTAACTCCCTTTACTTTTAATTAAAAGTGCTTTTTGCAGTTTAGATTGTAAGACTCATAACCATCATAAAACCATTAAGTTCTCTGGAACTATGTTAACCAAAGACCTATCATGACATAAACATTTATTTGCAATTTGCTTACCTGCAAATAATTGCTCACTAAACTGCTCATGCTGGAACTGCGACTTGGGGGCTTCCATAAATATGCTGAAGATCCAAGTGAGGATAGAGTCCTCCTGTTGATCACACAGAGAAACAATATCTAAGTCTAAGCACATAAATGCGTGTCTTTCTACTTGTATATGTAAGATTTATCTAGTGGTAACTACCACATAAAAAAAAGACGTAACTTCACCTGCTGTCTCAGCCAGCAACCACTGAAGTCGATGAAAAATAAGATAGGGATATCCAAGGCACCTACAAAAGGTGATGGGGCTGGTAGCTGTCACTTCCCTCACCCACAAGAACCAAGTCAGCCTTGCTCTGAGGAATTGTATTGCTGTGTGGCGGCAGCTCAACCAGATGGTGGCAGCAAAGAGCCCTGGGAAACCCCCATTGATACAAATGGATCTGGACCAGACCCGGTAGTTTTTGTTAGCCCTCACTTGTAGGTGGGATCACCATGGCTGCAAATGAAGCACACTTCATTGCACTTCACACTGCTTGGTTGTGCAGCCACCCATATGACTACATGTCTCAGCTCTTGAAACAGAGGAAGTTAAGAAGATTTCTTCTTGTGTGCATATAGATGAGAATAGCTTGGGATTTGGGCTTAAACTGCAGCTACTGGAAGTGCCATATTACAGAGCATCATCTCTGATTGCCAGTGTTCAGTATACTGAAGGAGAAACAGGACAATTTGGTCATGGATTGATGACATGGAAAAAAGCGTATACCTGCTCAAACACAAAGCTTTTATAGACACTTCAGCAAACAAGGTATTTTTTGTACTTGTTAATACAAAATTACAATGTGGCTCCATCTTACCTGGCAAATGCTGGCCAAGCAGCATCTAAATCATAGCCTCTTGATGCCAAGTCAAACTGAACATCAGTGAGCTCATAGAGTTGACCCACAATGTCAGAACTCATTTTGGAATTCAGAAATGGACTTCTTGCATAGTACCAGTCACTTGAAAACAAATAAAAGAGAAGTAATACTCATTCATAAGCAAAAGGGAAGCAGCAGTTTCTCTTACAAAAAAAACCCCTATATCATTATTCACTCCACCTCAGAAAAACTATGATACAGTATTCTAATCAGACTCACCAAACAATATCCCATCCCTCCGATGTAAATGAAATTAAACAAATGTAATTAATTCCACATAAATATCTTTAAAGGAGTCGCTGTACAAAATATTTTTTCCTCTAGTGCTTGGGCAAATCACTGACAATACAAAATAATTGTTATACAGTGGATAATCACACAGTAAATACCTAAAGCACACATTTAATACATCAAAAATGAGGAACAGAAAGCAGCATCCAGAGTTAAATACATCGTGAAAATAGCTGGCTTTTTCTTAAAGCCCTAGTAGTGTCCCTCCAACCAAATACAAACTACCTTTGGAATTTTTTGGCCAAGGGCAAGTTGTTCCTTTGTGTGACTATCCACAGATATATGCAAATACCTTCTGGGACTTTGTGCAACACATCCAAATTAATCCTCTCTCATGACAAATAGCCCATCAAACCCAAGATCTTCAATACTTATAAATCACCTCGAAACTGACGTATAGAAGCATCAGCACAACACACTCCACACATATTAAGCTGTAATAACCTTCAATCTTTACAAGCCCAAGATAGGTATGAACCAGTGACTCAGGCCAAAAGGTCTATGATCCTGCATATCCTATTACCAGCTCTCTAAGCCAAACGTTTGGAAGCATTTCAATTTCTTTCAATAGCAACTAGGTGATGTTGCTTGATCACACTGAACAAACATCCATTAGTTTAAAAAGCACTTTGCTATTCACCTGGTCACTTTGGTGTTCATAAAACATTGCTGCAAGGTGTCTGCTAGCCTTTGGTGAACCAGGGAATAACGAAGAAATGCTCTTCCTTTTCCAAGAGAGGTTCGTAGCTGAAAGGGAGAAACCACAAGAAAAGAAAGTTAAATATCATTTGTGATCATGTAGAGACATGGCCAGAACAGCCTATAAAGCAACACAAAAATACAATAAGCCATTGTAAAAGAAAAGTTGTAAAGGAAGCCAGTATGAACTGCCACTGAGAAACACTTTTTCCTAAGTCGGTCATTGGGTGGAATCTTTACAGAATGATGAATTTGTTTCTACAGCTGGCTGTTGTCCACTTTATAATAATATAAAAGGCATCACAGGACCAATGAATCATCTAATATATGGAATACCTGAACACAGACTATGTTAAGGACAATTCAAAATATAAGGCAAATCTCAATGTGCCCAGCAAAGGCAGAAGTGACTGCTTAAGTTAACTGAAGATGTATATGGCCACAGCTGGAAGAGCTTTAGGATAGATTTAGTCATAGAACAAAGACGTACACATATACAAATATACACCCCCATGGACACAGTAACTCCAGACAGTGCAAAAAACCTTTCTTAATACTTAGCCGTTAAGTTGATTAAAATATAATTCTTTCTTCAGACCAAGAACAGCTGCATGACCAAAATTAATAGATCTTTTTATGAAGACAGCTGTTAAATCAACATAAGGGGGATCACAAAGCTCAGTACTGAATTTTTTTATAGCCATTGACTTGAAAAATTGATACTTTATTTGTACATCTGAACCGTTTTCTTTCCTGCAAAATAGTGAAAGACTGAATAGTTGTTTCATTTCTTCTTTCCATCCAAGTCAGCAATCACTTTAGAAATGGAAAAGGAGTGTGATGAAAGAATTTCTCACCTAACTGCTCATCCAACTAACAAAGCAAGGACATTTATGATTTATAATAGAACACAAGACAAATATGAGAGGCTGAGGCACAAGTTAGTAGGTTACTGTAAACTTTGCTTGAAAGGTTAGTGTGATAGAAGGCTCAAAGGCCACAGAAGCTTTCTTTCCCACCGATCAATATTCCACTGTAGTGAAGTGAGAGCAATACCCCCAGCTTCCCTGTTTTTGCTGTTACTGGGCTTCTGCTCTGAAGGAAGATAGGTTCTTCATTTAGCTCAGTAACCCACTACATACAAAAATGTTCCTTATAAATGCAACCTGAATGAAATGTGAAGCAAAAAAAGTAACACTTTTGACTCATTTTTCGTTTGAATTCTACAGGATACGAAGTGCAAAGTATCACGGTCCCTAAGCATCCCAGAAACAGCAAATTTAATTTACCACCTGATTTTCACCCTCATTCACCCTGCAGATATCTGAACATTTCTTCAGGGAGATGCTATCCCTACTCTCTTCACAGAAGCATACAAGTATTTTTTCCTAACTAGGCATATTTAGTGAGTATTTTAAGAACACTCAAAAAAACCCCCAAACCCTGGAAGCCACAGAATTAATCCTATCCTTACTCCCATTGGTTAATCAATTTATATTGTGATACTTTCTGTAAGCAGAATGGAGAGACCAGAAAAAATGTACATTATGAGAACCAAAGGAAAATATTTACATATATGCAGCTACAGGTACCTAAAGACTATTTGACTAAGAAACCAAATCATGCCACCTCCTGCTCGAGCCTTGCTAGAAATCAGGGAGGAAGTGTTGACAACAAACACTGTAGCTAAGGTGCGGTATATGGCTGTAAAGACTTGAAAAGATGTGTATTCAGTGTAATTACCTTTTGAAAAGGAAAGGGGAATGACCAGAACTCACTGCTCACCTACTGCTCTAAGAATAAGGCCGTCTGTTTAATTAACAGATAACTTAATTTCCAGGGTACTATTTGCTTCCTTGGTCCACCTCTCTAGCATATTATGCACCCTAATGTTAGAAGCATTGCAAGCAGAGCAGAAAAGGCATTTATGCTGCTGAATGTTTGACCATTCTTTAAGTTAACTGCTGTTACTCTTTCCTTTTTGTTCATTTCCACGTTTCAAAGTCAACTAGTATTGTTCAGTAAGCAAATAAAGGACATTTGGAAACCTTTATGTTCTATCCAGCCAGGTTCAAAAATTTGCTGCTGATTTCTACCTTTAATGAAGGGGAATAACAAATATATATTTGTGGCATGTGTCATTTAATTTCGGGGTCCAAGTCTGCCAGCTTAGTTACCTGAAACAGACCACTGATTCTTTTTTTTAAGAGTTTATATTTCTAAACTACAAGTTAATAAAGATTAAAGATGCTTTCCACAAGCTAATTTCTATGACTGCACATAAATTGAAGTAGAAAATATCCTGCTTCCAAGCTGTAATTTCTGATACTAATAGATCAGCTAACAATTTAACAGCCAGGGGTACTGAAGAAGGAAAAAGCAGTCCAGTCTTTACATGTGGCAATATGTAGGTAATACCTACAGACTGCTGAAGACCACAGCACAGCCACTTTTGCAGAGAAATATGAGTGGCTTCTGCTACTGAGAATTTAGGGGCCACCATCTACAGCCAAAGGATTTTTTCCAGCAGAAGCAGCTACTGTCCTTACTTCTCCAGCTGTCCTGTAGTGGGACATCCAACCCAAATTCCTTTGCCTCTCCCCTCTTTTCCTTCCCAATGGTAAAACAAACTGGAGTCCTTCCTTGGATTGTTCACCTTGGAACATCAAAATTCAACACTGTCAAGGTTGAAAAGAGAAGAAAGAAAGGTAGGGAGCCTGCCTCTGCTACAGTACCATGGCTCTCTTTCAGATGGATCAAAACAACATTATCTAGAGCTGCTGAGGAAGAATTCCCAAGAGAATAGGAAAATCTGCTGTAAAAAGTAGCTTGCCAATGCAAGTTGGTACTGCTCACAGATAATGGAAGTGAGCATCAGGACAATGCTGGCCAGCACCACCATACCACTGCCTCTTTTACCCACTAGGAAAATCTTCTTCAAACGATTCTAAAGACTCAGACAGGATCAACACAGAAAGCTTCTCACAGCTTTTATTTCACCCACTCATTGAGCTGAAGATATAACATGGTTTTTACAAGATTAAGCTTTTATTACTAATCTAAATCTAAAAGGAACAAGGCTTTTTATGCTGTTCTTGACTGCTTACCCAAGAGAATAATGACAATCATCCTTAGTCTTTCACACAGAGGAACAGAGTTCAGACAGAAGATTAAATTGCTGCTATCAGTCAGTACTCCTCAACTCTATGGACCAGTTAAAAAAGTCTTAAGAAAAGTCCAATATGGCGAACCTTTCACCTTACACTTAGAGCCAGATCCTGCCATAAGTTTTGCTGAAGATGACATGCTCTACCTTAACTTAATTTTTCATCTCTTTTTAGAGAAAATGGCACTAAGTTTATGAAAAGGCAGGGCACAACCAGAGACAAACCAGTCCATTCACTTGTGTTAGTGGTCTTTGAAACAGGAATCAGGCTTTCTAATCCTACATTATTCACTGCCTTAGTAAAAGGTCATATTGCATTTTTTTATATTTTACGTGAAAATTAGAAAAAAAAATCCCTAAGTTTTTTGCTGTATATTAAAAGCAGCGTATTTTTTTTTGTTTGTTTGTTGCTACTGCTCTCTGAAAAGCATGGCAAAACATAAACCACATATTCTGATATACCACATACTCTTATCTGATATACTTACTTCTGTAATAGACTTGACAAAGCGGATTCCATCATTAGCTCCTTTGATTTTTGCCAGACAGTCGCAGAAATAATCCCAGTAGTCTTTTCTGTTCCCCAGCAATGTGCTTTTTTCTTTCTGGTCAAACTTAAACCAGGAAAACAAAATACAATGAGCAAAATTTAAACAGAAATATACTTATATTCAGCTGCTTGGAATCCTGTTCTTCTCACAGCAGCATGTGCTTTCATGACTCCTCTTAGCTTTCGCCAATGCATTCACAGAGGAAAGAGACACTGCACTGATGCAATCCAGCAGTTACAAAAGCCACTTAACTGACATCGAGAGATAATAATGTTCTGGGTCTCTTTAAAGTACAGACATCCATTCAAAACTCCTGAGACAAAGACTGACAGCAGATTCAGCAGCTGTTCAAGAGCAAGGCACTAACAACCAGTTGCTGAGAGACCTGCAATTAAGTGTGGCAGTAGCACACGTGTATATACCAGAAAAACCTACTCTAGCTAAATCATGTTCAAGGGTTCAGTGCATCAAGGGTACGGTACGGACTGCACCTTGGGCCATTAAAATTCCAAAGGATTTTTTAGTTTCTGCTCTGCAATCTCATTAAAACTCCCTTACCTAGATTTAGGCTAGATTAGCATTTGTTGTAAATTAGTGTTTGTTGCAATCAGTAACATGATTACAGTATATGTGGACACCACACTATACAAACTGAATTTGTTTGCCCAGCAGCATCCTCTTTTACTTAAGGTTTAAGGGCGGACAAAAAGCAGAACTTCAGATTAAAAATCAGCCTTTTGCCTTAAGCCTTCCATACAACAAAAAAATATTTTCCAAACCAAAATTGCTGAAAATTCTATAAATTACTCACATCCAGTATTTATTTTGCATTAAAATGTCAAGATATCATTACCACATTTTTAAGGGTAATTTAGCAAGATATATCTTTAAAATGAAGTTCAGATCTTTCAGATCAAAAAAGAAATGCCTTACATTCCTCAAACTTCCAGCACCGCACTTAGATTACATTTATTTTCACCTGAAGTAAGTACAATAGGCAGCACATATTTTAGTCCTCTTATTACACACACCAAAATTAAACAGAAAGAGAGATTCAACTGGGTATTTATAATTATTTGAGTTGAACCCCACGTACTGAAGAGTCAGCAAGATAAAATAAAGCCGAGCTTTGCTGGTGGATTACAAATGACACAAATCACTTTTTACCTGTAAAAGGTACTCAAGCTTGTAGGAGAATTTCTGCAAGTTGACACTATCATCTGTGATCGGTTCACCTCCTTCTTTAAATTCTTTACTTAATTCAGTCACTGCATCTTTAAAACAAGACACCAATATAGTTAACTAATGCAAAGAACATATAGCACTGAATTCATAAACAACGAAAATGCTTTCTTCATGTGCACTCTGCATTTGGACTTATTTTCTTTTAGCTGAAATGTCGTACAAAATCCATGACTGATAAGCTTGCAATTTGAGACCACCTATAAGAAAACAGGAGTTCAAACTGTGTCAATCTGTTGTATGGATTATTTCTTCTTAAATACACACCTAGCACTTCTGACACTTAGCAAAACCTGCTAACAGAAAATTGCCAATTGCTACCTCAGCAGAGGGAAGAGAAATAACTTTTTGCTGTCTCATGTGCACATTAAGGTACTGCCACAGGACAAACAGAATTCTGATTAGAAAGGACAAAGCGTGTAATCTGCTAAAGGGGATCAGTAACACGAGAACAGTCGTTCAGTCAGCACATTTATCTTCTCCATGCTTTATTCAGGAAGGTTCAGTTTGTGCTGGTTACAAACACAAATGAAAGAATAATTTGCATAAAAAATAAGCATACAGCAACTCCTCTTCCCTGAGACATACACCCAGAGCGGGTGAGGAAATCTCAAGTCAAAATACACTCAATTGCCCTCCTGGACACTCCAGCCCCAAAAGGATGTACTTCACAGCATCAGAAATTAGTGATTTTGAGCTTGCTTTCCCCTTGGTCTTACACTTATTTCAGGTGACTGAGTGAGCTTTAACTCCCAGTCCCACTCAATAACCCTTTGCAAATTAAATTTCTTCTTGTTAGTAGTCACACAGATCTCCTTTATTCTGTTATTCTGTTAGATTTTCAGCTTTGGTGCATATACCTTTTATTTAATAAAAATTTGAAGGAAAAATATCAGAATCTTGGTATAGGCAGCTGATTAGGACAGAAAGAGAACAGAAAATCTGTTATGGATTTTGATAGAATTCTGCCTGCAACAGAAACTTTTGAAAATGAGGTTGGCTACTTCTAGTGGAAGACACGTTCCACTGCAGTGAGAACAGCAGGTGTAATTCTCCAGCACCCTTCCTCTAGGTCTCCTTTCCCAGCCAGGTTTGGTTTCTTCCCTTCCTACATTAGCAACAACTCCACACCAGCTTCCCATTAAGGAAGGCTGAGTTTTAGGCCCTTTCTCCTTATTTCACATGAACACTTGTAGCAGCACAGCTCTGTGCATGCCAATGAAGTACCAGATCACAATGCACACCTCACACACACCTCTCTTCAAATTGTAAAACTTATGTCTTGTCTTGTATGTTTAAATTTACAGGATTTAAGAATTCAGGATCCTGCAGAATGTACAGCACTTGTCTCACAAAAAAATCAGTCACACTGCACATCTTGAATTATGTTGCTACAATGCTGCAGCAAAGAGTTACACAATTGAAAACACAACTCCTACTCTTTGTTATCTAAATCCTGGAGGATGCAATCCAGCTCCAGAACATATCTGTCAGCATGGCACTCACTCTACCTTGCAGGTCTCTGATAATCCGCTGCAGCTGGCTTTCACCACTAGTTGCTGCCATCTTGGAAACAAAAGGAACTCCCCTTCTGGGCTGTTAACCTTTTCATCCATCTAGATAAAAACAGCAGAGTTCATATCCTTGGCGACCATTGGGTTGATGCTGATTATTTTTCTCTCTGACACCTGCAATTGCAAAAGTCAAAAATAAAATGAAAGTCTTTATCAGCTCAAAAGAGTAGAAGAGAGGTGCTTCGGCATTTTAGATCCTGTTGAGTAATGAATTCCAAGGCCAACCCTTTTCCAGGAATCTCCTTAATATTTCCTTCTAGTTATCGCTTTCAATTTCAGTTATTTCTTCAGTTGTATCTTTCAAAACTACTAAGCAAACCTCAGAGAGCAATTTTCTCCAGCTGGAGTTACAACACAGTTGGTAGTACAGCTCAGCTCTGGCTGGCATTTCACTCAATCTACCTTGTGACTCTGAGGGAGGTTCCAATGACACGTGATTTTCCCTCCCCAAACCCTCTGCCAGATCTTCCCTACAGGCTGTAAAGCAGAAAGATAAGACAACTTTTCCATTTCAGAAAGACTTCAAAGATACAGAGTAGGCATGGGCCAAGAAGTCAAAAATGATGCATGCTTGACTCTCTGACACCAGAACATATATTTAATGGGCAAAAGCTATCAAAATCTTTAGTACTGGAGTGTGATTTTCTCAACCCCTTCTCAGAACCCACTGTTCCCTATACATGTAAGATGACGCCACTTTATTTTAAGCTCTGTTACAGCATCCCTGGCTGGATCAACATACTTTGCTTAGGATGAGTTATACTTGGCACTCAGAGAAAATCTTTCTTATGGTAAAATTAATTAAAAGCCTCAAACACTTTACTGAAACAACCATGCCTGGGGATGCAATCTTTCCAAGGCTAATCTGGGAATGATCATTCAAAGAAAAAAGTCACACAGAAACTACAAAGGGAACTTACTAAGCATCCTGTTCAAAAGTTGTACAGAATTCTGTCTGCAGAGGTACAGCCAAAGTTTCAAGCAAAGACAATACCCAAAGTACTGAATCTTTAGAAAAATTGCCGTCACACATTAGTGCTTTTGTTATAATTCAAGCTAAACTACAGTGAAATTAAATTGTAATTAAAATCTTACAAACTTTTGAATCTAATGTGATTAGGTCACATTATTATATCTCCTTTCTCTTTTCCATTCTTTCCCTTCCAAAAGAGTTAAATTGGCAGGACTGAAGTAAGTGTCTGAATTAATCAAACAGATCATCCTTCCTACCCTGTATATTAAGGCACTGCTAGGAAGTGATCCCGATGTGATCTTGTATTATTTTCTTTTTGAAACAAAGCAAACATTAACAAAGCCAAAGAGACAGAAGCCCATTAGGCATAAAGGCTAAAACTAGGCTTACTCGTGTGTTTCTCTGCATACCTGTGCTTTGTTACATGCTCATTTCCATTTCCATGTTTTGATGTTAGTTGTTATGTTATGACAGAAGTGTCAAGTGGACCATGTGCTGCCTGGGGAAAGGCCTTGGCCTGCAAAATCCCCACCACAACCGGTTGCTTCAGGGACAGAAGACCAGAACAGCACAGACCACCTGACCTGTGGCGCCAAACACGATTTTTTACCTTAAATCAACAATGTGACATACCCAAGATTCCTATCTCGATGCTACCCAGAGACCACAAAAAGTACCACATTTCTCGGTGACTTGCTCAGTTTGGGTACTACTGAAAAAAAGCATGAGTAACATACTCAGTGAGTCAATGTTTCCTTTTCTAAGCAGGAGCAGTAATATCAGCCCTATCAGATCAGTTTGGCAACTGTTACAGAAAGGAGCTTAATGGAGAAAATTGTGCCATGAAGGCAATGGAAGTCTAAATGTGTCGTCAAACAAACTGCTTTTCCTCACACAAAGAGGGAAAAGAGCAAGGACCCACAAAGGGATCCTGCCTGTGCTTCCCAAAGGCCAGAATAAGCTCCCATTCAAGGCTCCAGAGACGTAAAAGCTTTGCAAGAGGCATGCCAGGAAAACAGTGACCAGGCCAACTGCAGGCATCTACAGAGAGCCTACAAGAGTAGGAATTTGGGAATCTAGCCTTTATTTTGCAAAAACCAGCAGGGAGTGGGACACTGGGCATCCTATGGCAGCCAGGCACAGCACGGCACCTTGTCAAGTGCTAATTCCCAGCAGGGTACACAAGGAGACATTCACTGCAAGAGGACTAAGGCAGTTCAGAGTTTCTCCAGCCCCATTAGCACTGTTTAAATCAGTGTGTATGCCCAGAAGCCACAAATAAATGATTGCTATGTGCACAACAGCTCAGTGGCATAGGGTAAGAGAAGGCTCTGTGCTCCCAGTCGGTTGATCTTGCTGTGCTAAAGCAGCCCAAGATACACATCTTTATTCCTGTCTGGATCTCCTAGGTAGAATGAGATAACCCTGAAAAGAAACCACAACTCAGCTGGAGGCATGAAACTGCACAGCCCACTCCTCTACCCACTCCTTGTCGCCTCTTTCCTCAATACCTGGAGCAAGGCCTCACAGCTTCTCCGTTCCTTGCATCAGCTCCCACAGATGAGACATGCATTTATCCCCTTCTCTTCCCAGAGTCTTTTGTCCTGGGCTATGGCATAGGGCAAATGTGCTGCAACAACTTCTACTTGCCTTCTCCTCTACAAAATGGGGAGAAAGGCTCTTCTCCCCTGCATGGTCCTTCCAGAGAACACCTCTTAGAAAACACAGTTCATCCCACAGAAAGGTGCAGAGCTCTCACTTCCCATGGTGAAGAAAACTGATAATGTATCTTAACTGGTTTCCCAAGGTTTCAAAATAGGAAGAGCTTCTTTAAACACCTGATCTAGTCCTTCCTGATCACAGAACATTTTGCCCAGAATTCTTTAGTTCCTCCAGAATTCCCTATTCCTCCAGCATTTCCTATCCTACTATGCACACCTGTAAATATTTGCTTTTTGAAAACAGCATGATACATTCCTCAGGCACGACTAACCTGCTGTGTGTTGACAGCTTTTTAGATGATGCATTGTTAGCCCTTATATAACAGCACTGGACTAAGGCTGATGGCATTAACTTGCCCAGAACTGCTGAGCTGCAGTGACACCAGTGCAGCTACACTAAGGACATGGCACAGAGGAGGCAAGGCAGGGCATGCCACCAGTCCCTCCTCGCTCTCCTGGGCCCTGCCTGCTGATCTCTGAAGGTGGTTCCTGCCTTCCCTGCTGGCATAAGTGCTAGCGTGGGGGTGGCAATCTTCTTTACAGAGATCCTGGAGATTAAAGAAAGAAGCAGAAAGGAAATAGCTCACATACAGGAAAAGGAAAGATACCTGAAGCGCAGTGAGACACATATAAAACAGACAACAAAGTATGACTAATAAAACTGGTTAGTGAAGTAGCTACAATGACCTACATTTAATCTGATTCTATAAAATTTATCTTCATTTTCTATATCATGTCTGCATCTCCAGCAGCTAGCTTTTTATTTTTCTGTTACTTGATTAATTTTAGCCAACTTTGACAGAAAGTAGCCATCTTCAAAATATTACACTTCTCCATGTGCGATGAAAACAGGAAGCAGGGAGGTCCAAGAGCAGAGTGTCTCTGCATTGTTAAAAATGCTACAGTGAGACCTCTGCTATAGCCTGATACCAGAGAATCCACTCCTCACCCAAGAGCGTTTTCAGTGTGCAGTAAGAGCAGAGCTCACACTGCAGACTTGGTGTGATTCAGATAAACAGTAAATCAGATTTACAAAAAATATTCATTGGAAACCAAGATCCACTACTTTTTACTGCTTACAGAAATATTTCTGGTTAATATGATTACTCTGGTCTAGTCGTTCTAAACGAGGGCACTTCACATGGCCCCAAATGGTATCACAAGACCTTTAATTATTCGGTGTCCACAATCCTACACCTTTTCTAACATTCCATATGAAACAAAGCAGTCAAGCCAGCACACTGAGACAAATCCTATATTTGTGAGTCACAACTTAAACTGCATTATCCCTTTGTGTAAGGCGAGCACATATATTCTATAAAAGCACATACTGACTGATAACTGCAAGGCACACTGTGGGAAAAAACCCCCAAACAACCTACCTGCTCATCCAGTTGGCTACAAGACACACTGACAAAAGACACTGAATGCAAACCTCATGGCAAAGATGAAGGAAATACTGGGAAAAGAAAGTACCTAAGGCTCAAGACGGTAACAGCATTGATTTTGTTAAATAATTTCATCATTCCAGTAATTGTCTGAAGAAACTATTTCATGCTTTGTTGTTGCAGCGAATATAGAGCTCCAGTGAAATTCACAGCAGCCATGTTGCAGCTTTTCTCATTTTGGACTGTGCAGGTACATAGAGTTGCACATCCATAAAGCTGAAGAACTATTTACTGGAAGTAAAGGTCTGAAGTATAAAAAAAGACACCATGATTCTTCTGTCATGCACACACATGCTTTTACAGAGCAACTCAACCCTTTGTGCTTTAACACTGCATACAAAGATGCGTGACTGATAAAAACACACACTGGACTATATTAAATAGGAGGATTAAAAGCAAAAGGCAGGCAATGCCTGAAAGACAGCCAGGATTTCCATTCCGAGAAGTGAAATTTTCTTTTTAAATTAATCATTCCCCTTCATTTTCCACACCAACAAACTTTCACGTTTCGGTGACAAAACATGGTCTGGGAACATAAACAATTCACAATAAAAGACACCTCACAGAAAACACATGTCCAGAAAAACAATTCTCAGAGTATCATAACATAGCGGAAGAGGGTAACTAGATGAAGTGCATAAAAACATTCACATTTCACAAATACTTGGCAGAGAATGAGTATTTTTCTAGTTAAGGACTCCTTACAGTAAAGCCTTATGTGCGAAGGCTCTTGTACTCTAGGAATATTTGCATTTTACAGCATAAGAACACAAACTAATAACATTCATAAAATACTGCTTGTAGCCCTAACTCGACAGAAGAAACTGCCACAAAAGAATCAGTATAGTTTTAAAAGTTTTTTTGTGCAATCTTCCTTATTCTATGGACAACTGACCTACCTTCCACCCTTATTCCTTATATTTACAACTTCTTCGTAAAAAAAGATCAAAACTAGGCAACAGACAAGAGTATACAGTGGCACAATAAAAACTCCATGAGACAGAGTTAATTTTTAACCTTGAGTGACAAAACTGGCACCCTAACAAATTTTTTTAATGCTGCACCTACCGAACTGGATCTCCACTCTAACACCTGGCTTGAAACCTTTTAAAACCTTACACTGTACTTTGCCAAACAGGACAGACACATGAGACCAGGGACACAGATTCCTGACTTGGAGAATAGTGTTTTGTCTCTGATATTCCTTCACATCAATAACTGTTGAACAACATGAACTCAAATGACTGCTTTCTGCAAACAACACCACAGGGATGAGCTAGTACATATCTCACAAAGACAACCTTGTCTCAGCCCTATCTCATGATGACAGAACTTCCCTGTTCGAGGAAGCAGTCAGTTTACAAAGAGAAGAGCTCTCTTCTGATAACAGGAATTTTACAAGTATCACTTTTAACAAACTTGTCTGCCCTTTTCCCTTAGGACACGTCAGAAATGCCACCTTGTTTACTAACATCTACCAATTAACCCAACCATAACTCTCCCAGAGACTTGGTTCTTCATGGCTGCTCCCATCCTATTCCACTCCCCCTGGAAGAAGGTACCGCTGATGTCTCAATGCCTGTATGGTGAGCTGAAAAGATAGAATTCATTCAAAAGTGAAAAGGTTTTTCCCCGCTTCATGCTCTCATTCTCCCAAACAATTCTCCCTGTGTCCCTTCCTGCCACAAAATCTGCTCTTTCTTTCTACAAGTCATACAACTATTTAAATGTCTTACACATTCATCAAGCCAGGCATATGACACTCAGGTGCTTCTCTGAGGACCACCATACAGACACCTACAAAAAACACCAGACGACTTCCAGCTGCAGAGGAGCATTTGGCGATTCATGGCACTCAACTCACTCCTCGTACAATCTTGGAGACATCAAAAAATCTCATATTTTTCAGGTCTCCAAAACTGATCTCTGAGCCTTGTTGACTTCCCCAGCAAGCTTGGCCTGACTAAAGTATCTCAGCCATATCTGAGACTTCAGGATAGTTAAAAGCAACAACCATTACATCCTGGCTTTAAATGGAACCTTTCCTTAGCAGCACTTTTTACCTCCTACCGTTGCACACTGTCCCTCCAAGCTGAGGTTTCAGGAGTACTTGAAAAGGTTTCCTCCAGCTAATGGTTTTGGGAAGTCTGGCAGATCGGTGTTGAGTCTTGCCCACTTGTAGCACCTCATGTGTTCTCCCTCCAGCCAGCAGCTCCCCAGAATAACTCCTGGCCTATATGCAGTTCCCAGTGAAATACCAACATGCAACACTGAAAATTACAGGTTTTGACCACACACATATAGACCAAACAGAGGGCGAGGCAAGCAAAAACCATGCTGAGACAACCCAAACTGACAGGCCACTGAGTGAGTCATGCTGCCCAGAGTCAACAGAAAGAATTCTTGTTGTCCTCCCTCTGTAGCAGGAAGCATGGAGTATTTCCTCTCTCCCTTTTCTCTTGTGAGTTTTCCAGTGAAGGTCACCATTTTGGGGGGGAAGGTGAAATTTCAGAGTTACAAATCCTGAAGATTTATAAGCACTTGGAGGAGAGGCCTGTGTGAGACTGCCATGCTGGGTGGCTGAGAGGAGACTGGCTCACAGATGACGCAGGCTTGGCATGAGCCCAGTTATTTACGATATCCTGATCCAACCAGTTCACTTTTGAAACATAAACTGGCTTGTAGCTTCCTGTCTTCATCCTTCTTCCCAGCAGGATTCATTTAGGGGTTAACTGTTTGTAAATATCTGCTGAGGTCACTATACCACCAACCAACACAGAATACCAACATGGGCAAAAGTATTAAACCAAAGAAAGGGCATACAGGTCAAGGTCCTGTACTTGCACTGAGATTCAGGCACTTTGCATAAAAAGTTCTACTCTTTCCACCAGTGTTACAAACTGGTAAAATGTTCTTCAGAATACACTTGGGCAAAGAATTTTAAATTATTACTATTAGAGAATTTTTTGACACAAACAGCCACCTCTCCATAGACAAAATGAAATTACTACATCAAAATACAAGCTAGACGAGACACAAGCTGCTAAAGTGTCCTCACATCAGCAAAACCAAATGAATAAACACACAGTAATACAAATAGATAAATAAATATATTAAAATAATTATGTGTAACAATAAAAACACTTAGGGCTCTTACAGTACTCTTAAGTTTAATAATCTCAAAACCACGTAAAGAATAGTAGAAGAGTTTGGTGTTTATCTGACAAATAAATAATTGTTAATTTTTAAATGTGCTCAACTAAGAAAAACAAATAACAATCTGGCTTTAAAAAGTTTCAGCATTACTTTTCCTTGGGTCTACTGCATAATTTCTGCAATATTACAGACTACATCTTGACTAGTTTTCTCTCCCTGGTTGTTTTTTTAGGTCTTGATCACCTACCAAACAAGTCTTAAAGGAACCTAGCCTCCAGGATGTTAGGACAAATTCCTATTCCTTTTATGTAACCCTCTAGCAGTGGAGAGAGGGACTGCAAACATAATACACTCTTTCACTGTTATCAAATGGTGTATGTAAGAGACTTCTTTATGAAAATCAGGCTCCATAACTAACAGGTTCTTGAGAAGTAGCAGTGAAACCAGGTTTATAACAAATGCTGTCAAATATATGTACTACAGATATACATACGTATACTACAACAAGCAGAGCAAAACTGACTATTAGTTGTTTTGCACCACAGTATCTTAAGATACAATCTTTTAACAGCAGTGCAGTCTCCTAAATGTAAATGTTGGGAAACACTATTTGTAACGTCTATAACATTTTTTAAATCCAAGCACTCCCACAAGGATCATTGGAAGACTCCAAGAAACTGCCTTGAACACCATAAAATCTGGGAAACATAAAACACACTACGGCATGGCAGTAAGAGAGAACTCATTGCCATGTTACTGACAAGACAGAGAACATGTTTTACCCTGAAAGTTTCATCCTAGCTTGCCTTCATGAGCATACGAAGTCAGAGCTGGATAAAAGAATCCACTTCTGCTCTTCAGCATTAAAGAGACAAAGGCCTGGTACTTCTTCTTCTGTTTCTACTTGAAATTTAAAGCTTGAAGCTTAGTTTCAAATGACAGGCAGAACCACGAGAGCGAAGTCTGTAGCTGACCAACTCTGTGTGCCAAACCAACCTCGCAAAAATCAGCAGCGGGCTGGATGCAGTGACCCGGACAGAAAACGGGGCCCTGTGCCCGGGCAGCTGCAGCAGCAGGGGATTCACTAGCTTCCAGAACACGGCACAACCCCTCCACAGCCCGACTCACCGCCGCAGCACCCGCGTGGAACCCAGTGTCCAAAGGCGGCAGACAACCATTTCACTAAAACCTTGGGTTTTTTCCTTCTCCTCGGTCACTCTGGATTACCAAGATCAACATAAGCCGGCGGAGGAGGGCCGGTTGCAAACCCGGCATCTGTTCTGGAGACAGCCCCGGCCGCTCCGTGTGCCAGCAAAACTCTGTCCCTATCCATCCGCCGGAGATTTGCCGACACAAGGGCAAAGTGGGATTAGGGCCGCGGCAAATATTTGCCTGTCAGCACTTTACAGCGGGGTGAGGGCACGGACACGGGAGGGTGTTTGGTTTCCAGCAGGGTGACTCGGCTCCCCCTGTAGCTGCAGGAGGGCAGAGACCAGAGGGCAGTGTTGATGTCGGCCTGAAGTCAGCGCTCACCAGGGGACATGAAGACACTTCAGAGGACTGGGTCTAGTGGCCCTGAGGGAAGGGGACCCCCCGTTCGGGGGGCTCCCAGGCGATGACAGCCAGCATGCAGCCCACCCCGGGCTGATGTGCCCCTGCCATGCCCGCGCTCATCCCACCGATAAGCCAACCCGGGCACCCCCTAACGCGCCCGGCAACTCTCTCCCCGCCGGGGCTCCTCCCCTCGAAGTCGAGCTCGGCGAGGCAACAAGTGGAAGCCGCCGAAGTCACTTCCCCCTCTCCCCGTCAGCTCCCTCCGCCCGCCGCCTCCCCGCCCCCGGCCCCGGCCCCGGCCCCGCCGCGCTCCCCCGGGGGTGTGCGGGAGGGGTCGCTCAGTACCTGCGCGGCCGCCGCCGCCGCCGCCGCCGCCGCCATGTCGCGCAGAGGCGGCCCAGGGTGAGGCTCCGCCGCTCCCCGCCCGACTACAACTCCCGTGAGGCCGCGGAGGGGCCGCCCCACGCCCGGGGCGGTGTGCGGCTGCCGGCCAGGGCGGCCCGGAGGTGGTGGGGACAGAGCGCCTCAGGGAAAGCTGAGGGGTTCGAAGCGGCTTTGGGCGAGAAATCGCCACTTTCGGCTACAGCTGAAAGCGTTGGGGTGGTTTCCTTTCGGGGAGGCTGGTGTCTGTTGTGTCCTCACGCAATGTCGCTTGGACTGGACTCTGGAGACGCCTGATGCACCCCCTCTGCCAAGGCAGGGTCATCTCGAGCAGGTGACACGGGAACGCGTCCAGGTGGGTTTGGAATGTCTCCAGAGGGGGAGACTCCACGGCCTCCCTGGACAGCCTGTTCAGTGCTCTGCCTCCCTTAATGTAACGCTTTTCCTCACGCTGAGGTGAAACTTCCCTGTTTGTACTTTGGCTTACGGCCATTGCTCCTTGGCCTGTTGCTGGGCACCACTGAAAAAAAAAATTAATAAATTTTTGTTGTTTGTTTTAATACTTTTTAATATAGTACTGACTGTTGCGTCTAGGACTATTTTATAGGAGGGAGTTTTCTTTCTTTTTTTTTTCTTTCTCATTTACACATCAGTTCATCAAGCTCTTTGCACAGACAACTGAGGCAAATGTGGAAGTCAGGCATGATAAATCCAGTATGTAGCAGATTTCCCTTCTCTGCTCCTGCCAGTTGATCAATGGAAAATCCTCATCGCTAAGCTGAAGGGATGAGAGGATATAGTCTCAAACAGTGCCAGGGGAGGTTTAGGTTGGACATTAGGAAGAATTTCTTCACAGAAAAGGTGATTAAACACTGGAATGGGCTGCCCAACGGGGTGGTGGAGTCACCATCCCTGGAGGTGTTTAAGGAATGACTGGACATGGCACTCAGTGCCATGGTCTGGTTGGCACAGTGGTGTTTATTTGGTCATGGCTTGGACTCAATCTCAGAGGTGTTTTCCAACCTAATTGGTTCTGTCAAAGACATAGGGGAGAGATTAACATGTCCACGTAAAAGTAAGGGAATTGGAGAAAGCAGGTGTGAAACTGGAACAAGAGGTTGCATTCCGAGACAGGATGTGGGGGGTACAGGGGCACAGGGTGCCTAACACTCCTAGCACCAGGCCCCTTCTACAAGTAGGCTGTTTCCTCTTTTCAGATTTTTATCCCTGCCATAATGCTTATTATTCTCTGAAAGGACATTGCTTTCTCAGTGCCTGAAATAGGCTATGCTTGTTTTGCACTTGAAGTGCAAACTTGAGAAATTTCCTTTGCTTTTTTTTCCACATTGCTGTGGTAAAGAAACGATTTTAAATAAAACTCGTGAGCAAGCAGTTTGTCATCAGTTCTCGGCATAATACTTATGACTTTGTTAGCATCACAAACATCATCTTAAGCTGAAGATCAAAGCATCAAATTTTCAAGAGTCTTGAGAAAATATGTGTAGTACGTGGTCAATGACATGTCTCCATCATCCTTCACACATAAGAATGACTAAATGACCTTAAGTTTTGGTGATTCATCTTCATCTAATGTATGTTTTTTGAATAGCTCAAAAGCATTTTAGTGCCCTCAGAAATGCAGGTTATAGGGCTACACATGTTGCAGGCACATGACTTGTGAAATGCAGTGGGATGCTTGGAAGCAACCTTCGGGCTTACTTTTCTTGGCACTCTTTGCTGAATCATGCAGCAGTGCCATGAGCATCTGCTGAAAATGAGGGTTTGTTTTCCATTCATCTCTAGGCAACTGGGTGTCTTCCAAAAGTAATCTCATGGTCATCAGACATAATGGTAAATCAAATCCCATATAATTTCACTGCAATGGATTTTATTTTACAAATTTTCAAAAAGTCTGTGTGGAATTCTACTTTTCACTCAAAAATAATTAATTAGAATGGATTGTTCTTTTTAATTATGTAGTAGCAAGCTATATTCAGAAATATTTAACTATTGATGCAAATTATTGAATTATTGCCTGTTTATGTACATATCAATTTCTTCAGAGAAAGACAGGCTTTTTCCTACTCAGTCCATAGCTGACCAACACTTCCTTAGAATTTTCCATATTTCCTAATTTCTTAGTAGTAGAAGATGTTAGATCTTTCCTTTTTGGAAGCTGCACTAGAAAAAAAACCCGCAATGTCTGCTGCATGCATGCTGCTTTCCTGCGTGTTTACTCTGATAAAATTTATTGATTAACTTCTTCATAAACCATGGTGGGCTAGATGGAAATTATTTTCAATTTAACTAGCCAGGAAAGGCAATATCAGTCATCCCACCAAAAGGAAATCCTTTTCTGGGAAAAATCTTTTCACTGTGTGATAGAGGTAGCCAACTCAATCAACTAAAAGAACTAAATTGCTGCTCAGTGGTCTCCTGTGCATAGTAGATGAGTATTTCGTTATGGTCTCTGGGTATGGTGTCTATGGTTCATAGAATGTGTTCCTTCCATCCATCTGACGTTATTGTTATATGTGCTACATGTTTTCTTTAAATTTTTTGCAAGAGTTAATTGATGTTATATAATGACCGGAAGGCTTTGCTTCCACTAGCGCTTGAGGTATTTTATGAGGGTAGCTAACTCCTAGTTTCCCTGGTCACCCTCAGTGGATTAACATACCATTGTAGCTAGGCTGAACAACAGGCTGCTGTTCATCATCAGAAACCTTCTGTAACTGTGGGGAGAAAGCTTTGGAAGCACTTTTTGCATTTGCTTGCATTCTGTTTTGAATAGGTGGACAAATAATTGTCAGTAGGTATAAAGCTGGGACTAGGCAACATAAAAAGAACCAGCAAAGCTCTGGAAAACATCTAGAAGCAAATATGGCATTTTAGACAGAGTGGCTGAGGAGCTTGGAAGAATATTCTGCTGAGTATCAGGTCATCTTCTGAGACTGGCTTCCACCAGAGCACATCAGTTTTAGGAACTATCACTAATCTGAACTGGCTGCATTTCACTCCCGTGTGGAAAAATTTTATCTGGTTTGGTGGTGGTTCAGCTGTACCAACAACGATGTGAAAGAGCTGAGACATAGGTTCTGGACTGTGCAGTTTAAATGAAACAGAGTCTTTTATATACATCTACATGGGTGGCACAGGGATAAAGAGCATACTCTCTTTGCTTCTCTTCGTTGGAAGAAAGCAGCGTTGTTTGGAGGAATGAAACAAATGTTTTAGTTTTGTTACCTGACCAGTTCCTGAATATGGAGAGAGTATTCCACTCCTCACACTTTTCTCTGTCCGTAGTATTTTCCTTCTCTGGATAAGCAAGGAGCATTTTCAGCTACAGAGTAACCATAGGAGAAGATAAAATAGATTTTTTTTAATTATTATTTCAATAAAATCAGTATTTCAAAACATTGAGAATATGAAGGTATCCTGACTCTCAGTGAAAACACTTCTGGCAGTTAAGAAGTACAGGCTGTGCTTTGCCAAAATTGCACATGTTTATGAGTCTGATTCTTGCTCTAATTATGATCAGAAGCAAAATTCTAATTGATTTTACTGGAAACAGAGTGTTTCCTTAAATGTGCGGTTAGAGGTCAGCTTTGCCAGAAAAGATTTCGAGTGGACAAAAAGTTGAACACAGCACAGGCATATGCCCTTGCAGCAGGGAGGACTAACTGTTTATGGGCCTGTGCTGCCATCAGGCTGAGGGAAACCTTTATTCCCCTCTGCCTGACATTCTTGTGGTCACATCTGCAGTAGCATATACAGTTCTGGGGCCACCAAGATGAGGAAGAGACATTGACTGAAGTCAGCCCTATGGAGGATCATGGAGATGGGCAGGGAGTTGGAGCACATGACATGTGAGGACACTGACTTGGCTGGAATATGTTTAGCCCCAGGAAGAAACAAGGTTTAGGGGAGATCTGATGCCTCTTTTCCATTCTCTAATGTGAAGACACGGAGAAAGCAAGGAAAAAGCAGCGTCACCAGGTTGCAACAAAAGAAATTTTGTTTGTGTAGAAACAAAAACATCCGCCATAAGAGTTATTAAGCATTGCAACAAGGACTTGAAGGAGTTGTGGAGTCCCTGTTCTTGCAGATTATCAGTTTGACCAAATAAAGCCCTGAGTGACCTTGACCAGGAGATAAAACTTCTGTGAGCAGCATGGAGCAGTGGATCACCTCCAGAAGTCTCTTCCATGCTAAATAAACCTATGAAAATTCACAATTACTTCTTCAGTTGAAAATACCTTAATAGGTGGTTATCAGAGGCTGAGAACAATAGTCACAGGTAGAATCCATTGAATTTATGAATGCTTATTAGTACGATGTAGGCGCTGTGTCGCATCCACACGAGAGGGGAAAAGGAGAGGCTCCTCACACCAGGTTAGGTGAACGGGAAAGGAGTACTTTATTTACATGACTTGTCTATAAAGACATCTAATAATGAACACAGATTGGACAATGATGATAAGACCTCCTAACTTCACTGGTCTCATCACTTATCTGTCAGACACTCTCTTCCTCACACTGAGGAATGTAAACTATTCTTGTTTACCAGAGAGAGCATGGGAACTGTTGAACGAAGGTATAAACATCAAAGCATCAGAAGGCAGAGAATTCATGGCAACAGTACGACTTCATTATATCAGAAGGAAGCATGTCTACATTCTGAGTTAGTTTGGTTATGGCAGTAATACAGTTGGGTAATATCAAGAATTCTTTTTATATATTCAAATACACTGTAGCAAAATATGCTGAAGCTACAAGCAGATTTAAATAACATCCTAAAAACTGCCCAGAGCAGGATCATTTCAGTCTTTGTGCTTCTATTATAACTCTCCACTTTGTTTTAGACAGATGTTAAATATATGAACAGTAAAGATTTCACAGTCATGTGGCTCTAGGACAATGAGTTGAATGACAGCTTGTTGAAATTATGTAGGTGCATAAGACCTTCTTGGTACTCATGGTCACCGTATTTTTCCTCTTGTGGAGATTTGCTGATACCAGTGAGGTGGTCCTGGCTTACCAGAATAGAAGAAATAGCATGAATTTGTTCTTCAATTAGTTATCTCTTCAATAATTGACAGTATTCAGTCCCCAGCCCAAAGTCTTTTGAAGCCACATTCATTTCAAATGTTTCTTGTCAGGAAGCAATAGCCAAAGAAAGGCTGGTCTCCGTCACAACCAGAAAAATTGACAACTTTTGTCTTTCCATGGTTTGTCTGAACACAAGTGTATTAGAATCCTGCAGGATTACTGACACTCCTTTTAAATTTTTTACATTTTAGGCAGTAACTGTAGTAAGTGAGATACCAGGACTGATTTGTTCAGAAACGTGCATCTGATGATAAGGGACATGATATGAACACTTTGTTCTGGCAACTAAACCAAAGCACAAACTAGAAATTATAGGCAAACCCTAGGAAGACTCTACGGATCTATGTCATATATGCTCACCCCATTCTTACACTTTTCCTTAGGTATTCTTGCTTCTGGGTATAATCAGAAATAGGATATTGTATTGTGGGCCTATCTGAGTTTCTGCTTTTTGTAAACTACACAGCAGCTGTGAAGAATCTGTTGTCTTCTCCAGATAATCTTTATAGATCAAATACAATAGTGTGGAAACAGTATAGACATTTTAAGACAGATGCACAAAAAGCCAAATTGTTGCTTAGAAACATTGCTAAACCATTGCTTGGTGCCACTGCAGAACTACCTTGGCTCTCTATATAAATGCTGTGAAATTAAATATTTTGCTTTCCAGGGACTTTGTAATTCAGCTACACTGGAATATGCACAGTTACACTGCCTGGGGAAAAGATACCTATTGAGCTAGACTGAAGAAGGGTATCAGTTTTATCTTAAAAAAAAAATAGGCACCCAAACATCAATGTTACAAATAAAGCAAGCCATTTTTACCCTGCTATTTAAAAAGCCATTTGTTCTTGCACTATAAAGTATAAGTGTTCTCAGCACCATGGCAAAGGGAGAAAAAGGAAGGAAAAAGCAATTAGAGGCAAATATGCTCCCACCCTGCTCAGGAGATGAGCTGTTGATCTGCTGCTATCATCTGAAATGATATTCAAAGACTGGAAGATCCTGTGGCAAAGAACAGTAACAGAAGGAAAACTGATATCCTAATGAACTATCTGTTAAAAGCTTATGTTCCTTCTAGGGCTCTCCCAAAGTTTCCATTTCAGACCCAAAAGACTACTTTTACACAAAGCTAGTTGTATATATATTTATCTGCCGAAAGATGAAAAAACATTTGCCCAGAGAACTTCAGAAACTATGAGGTCTTGTAGCTGTTGTCACGACAGTTAATCCAGAAACATCACCCCCCACAAAAAAAGACCAGTGAGTAAACTGATAAACACTGAAAAGCATTACAATTTGCAAAAATACCTATGTGTCCATTGCTGTATACAATCCAAGTATTTTAAGTCAGGTAAGAGATAGGCAACAACTTTTATGTTAAAACCTGATGTTTGACTGCCCAAAGGAAATTTTTTTTTCCTTTTCAAAAGAGAGTACAAATGAGAGAAGATCCATCTCATTGTGCAAAAAACTGTGAGCTTAAGATTTTCAGGCCAGTGAAGTAATTTCTCGGCATTCTCATCTCTTCATCCCACTGCAAATACATTTTGCTATTTTCCATACACAGCATGCTTGCAAAGAGTAAATTTGTGTATTTTTCTCAGGGAAGTGCCTCTAAGAATTAGAGGCTATCCATGGCCTGCAAAATCTGAAAGTTCATTCAGGATTAGTCCTAATAGTTAGGTCTTGCTTCAGTAGAAGGATGTCCCTTCATGCTGGAATTTGCCTTCATAGCAGGTCCTCGGGCTGGAGGCTTGACCATTGCTGCAGTGTAAACACAGACTGCATAACCGTGCCAAATGCTTCTTGAACTTGACTCCAACAAATACACAGAGCACAGGGTTGAGGCAGCAGTGGGAGAAAGCAATTTTACGGCTGATGTGAAAGGCAAGGTTGGAGTCCTTTGCATACTGACAGGTAGGTGATGGAAGAGTAGTCAGAAAGCTCAGGATGTTGTAGGGTGCCCAGCACAGGAAAAAAGCCACCACAATAATGAGGATGAGTCTCACAGTTCTGTGCTTTCTGCGAGATCTTGCTCTAAGCAGGATTATGAGTATCTTGAAGTAACAGAATACTATGACTCCAAAGGAAATCAGGAAGAGTACATTTCTCACATAAATGTCTATCTTTTTCCAATTCCCATCGGCATAATCACAGAACCTGTGCTCCTCCGAGTCTTCTTGCACTGTGGTGTGAATCACCTCAGGAACCACAATTAGTATGCTAACAGTCCAAACAGCCAAGGACACCAAAACACCGCAGCACCGTGTCTGGGATCTCAGAGTTGAAAGGGGGTTCACTACAAACAAGTACCTCAGGATAGTCATGAGAGTCAAAAAGAAAACACCGCTGTAGTAGCCAATGGAGAAAACAGTATTTGATGCTTTGCAAAGGAACTCACCAAAAATCCATCCAAAGGACTGGTCCACTACCCAAAAAGGCAGCATGCAGGAGAAGACTAAATCAGAGATACAGAGATTCATGATGAAGATGTTTGTTAAAGATGTAAGGTTTTCATATTTCAATAGGATCCATAACACCAAAGTGTTTCCTAGCAGACTGAGAAAAAATACCAGACTGTAGAGAACAGCAGTGAGATAGATATTAAATGTGAAATAGTCACCCATTTCACAGACGTTGGTTTCATTAGGGTTTTCATATGAGTAATTATAATCTAAATTGTATTCTTCATCCATTTGTCTGTGCAGATCTTGTGCTGTTCTCCGGCAGCTACTTCAAAGCACAGCAACAAATAAAATGAAATCTTTTGTGAAAATCAACTCAATAACTAAACTCCCACTGTGCAGACTTCTGTTTTAAGACAGAAAAAGCAGCAGTGAAACTAGCAATTTTTCCTGGCTTGGGGACACAAAGGACTCATTTCTTCTTATGACTTGAACATGAACAGGTAGATACCAAAGACTTACTGCAAGGCACTCAAATCTTAAATACTTAAGAAGTCAGAAACGCAGATGTTTCTGAATCAAAATATTTGATGACAACTGTCAATTACTAAGTTTCTACTATATGAATGTGCATTGTTTTTTGATGTAAATATCTCAGATACCAAGACTTTCAAATATGGTACTGTTTTTTCAGTTTTCTGGAGTGGTATCCAACTCCTAAGCACTTCACTGTATAGATGTTTCTTTGTCACCCAAGTTCAGCACTGCATAAGCCTAAAAAGCTGGGCAGTACCAGTAGCAACAACTGTAAGCACTAAGAGCAGGAAAAGTCAGATTTCTTTCAGATTTTTGTCTTGAGGTTTGTTGATATCTAAACATCTCAAAGCTGTGGCAGAAGCATCATCATGCTGGGTGCTCTGTGTGCCTCTATGCCCTGATGATTCTCAGGGATGCGACACTCCTTTTCTGGGAGTGATGCCTGTCTGTCTATATGCAGGCAGAAATTTAATCCTAGGTGGATGGTGAGTTGAAACTGGCCAACAGGTTCAAAAGTTAGTGGGACTGTGACAATCAGGTCACAGTAGCCTAATTTCTCTATGAAATTAAGCTTAAAAATAGGTACAGAAAAATCAGTAATGCCTCTGACCAGTGGTTTAAAGTCTAAATTCACTTTATCCTAGAAGAAGGCTTATCTGCAACACCGTGTTTGGATCCTATTTTGACTGAAATCAGTGAGAGATCTGCCACCGAGTTCCTTCAAAGTAAAGTTGCAAGAAACTCCACAGCTCTGGCCAAAATTGTGCTAGCAACACTTTCCTTTTTGAATTAGTGAAGACAGAATCTGCCCACTACAGCCAGACAAAGACACACTGCCTTTGGAGGACAGGAGAGCTATGTCTACACCAGGAAAGCATGTCAGGGAGCATTTCTGGCTGCCAGAATTCAATGCCATCCGTGGGGGTAGGTGGTTCAGGTCAGCCAGAACATGACACAGGCAGCACAGGGCAGGGACCATCTATCCAGTGGGTCATGATCAGCGAGTTTTGGAGGCAGGGAGTGTGTATGACTCAATACTGTGACAGCAAGTGGCCCTGGAACATTTACCACCAGAGTCACAGTTCTAACTGGAAAGATGTTTGTGGCCCTCAGTTTGTACAATGCTGCAGTTTTCAGACATGCAGGGTAAGTCCTTGTAAGGTAAGTCATTCTCTCTGGTTTTATATGGTAGTACAGACAACACTTAAGCAATAAGTAGTTTAGATTGAGGTCCTTACCATTGTATCCTGTTTCAGCTCAGGCTGGGGTATGCTGCTCCTTAGCAGCTGTCCTAAGGGAGCAGAGAAGCCTCTTTGTGAAAAATCAGGGTTCTCCAGGGATGAGAGGACAGCACTAACCAGTGTCTTCACCACTTATTCTCTCCTTTCATGCTGACCATTCAGTGACAGCAAGCCTCCGGGAAGGTCTGCCCACAGGCCAGGAGCTACACAGCCAGGAAGGCTGCTCCTGGGCTGCTCCTGATCTCTGCCACAATTGCTGCTGGCCCCTGACACAGGAACCTTCTCACAAAGGTCTCAGTCCTGATCACTGCCTGGGAAGTATTCTGACCTGCACATGTCCTGCCCCTCATCACATGATGCTGTTCTGCTCTTCATACCCCTGCTGCAGGGTAGGCAGTGGTTAGAGAGCAGGTATCTGCTGGGCAGCTTTGCTCACCATCCTGCTTGCTGTCAGGAGCTGAGCAATACTTCCAAGGCAGAAAGCATAATTTTGCAAAGGTGTTTTGAGATTATGGCAGATAAGAGTTAAGTGCCAAAATAAAAAAGTGTACCAACACATATTTTCTTCACAATGAGGATGATAGGAGATGGTAAATAGTTTCTGCAGTCCAAACAGTCTATTTTTCTCCATCTTCCCCAAGGATACTAATGCTGAGTGTGCAGCCACTTGATTCCTGCTGGTAGATAGCTGTGATTGGAAGCCCTGCTAGTAACTGTTGCTATTTCCATCTCCAGATTTTCATATGCCTTGGCATCGTACCCACCTGACTCAAAAGGCTGTCTTCCGCTTTGGGAGGAGACAGAGGAATGCTTGGTTACATGGGGACACGTGTCCTCTCTCTGATTTTGTGTCCAGCATTTCCAGAGAATGTAGGAAAATGCTTCTGTGAGATAGCTTGTTCCTGGTTGATTTTTAATGCTGCAAAGGTAGCTCCTGGATAATGCCACATTTCACAATACAAGTTCATTCATAATATGCCATCTTAACTGGTGCAGGCTCCATGGAATTGCAGATGGAGGCTCCAGTTTACAAAGCATCAGGCCTTGTGGATGGTTTATCAGGATTATATGCTCTGATATTATGTTTCTACCAGCTGAGAAGCCCTCTATCAGGTCAGTAATGGTAAGGAGAACCATTCAGGAACCTAAGGCATTTAGATATTTTCCTTTTTACCTCAAAACTCCTTAAATCAAAACCGGTATCTTTGTTCTACTGTATTTTACCTTCCCTTCTTCAACTCTACAAGTAAGAAAAGCTGTGTATGGATTTTCAGTTAAGATATATGCAAAGGAAATAAAAAATTATGTGATTGAATCAACAGGTGAAAAATGTGTCAGTGTCACACAAGAAATACAAATCATGCAACTGTTTTTGATGTATATATAATGGTACAAGTGAGAGCAGCAGTTGGTTGAAAGATGGAAATTACCTTAATTTCAGTTGTCGGAACAAATAGGAACAGAGGAAAGACACATCATAGAGTTTAACGTCATTCCTGCTCTTCTGAAGGGCACTCAACATTCATTTCACTCTTGTCCAGAAAAATGCTTCTCCAGAAGCCTTCATTTTCTAGCAGGTCTATGCTTTGTCTTGGAGCATCATATTAAAAAAGGATTCTAATACAGAAATGGGAAACAATACTACTAGTGACCTCCAGTTCAATTTTCTTTTTCTCTGAAAATTCAGTTCAACTTCTGTCAGCTGAAGGTACATACTGTTCACCAATTTATTTCATTTTCAAACTGAGCATTTGAAAGAGGAGCTGGGAGGAGTTGTCTGCTCACTTTGCAGTCAGTGGAGGGAGAGAGCCACTGGCAGGAGCCACATCAGCCCCCACTCTGTGCTCTACCACTCTCCTTCCCAGGCAGAAGCAGCTGAGACATCCCCCTTTAAGAAGGTTCCTGACACTTACACAGACAAGCTGAGGTTAATCTCAATTGGAAAAGTCAAGGGGAGTACAGTAGAGAGAAGCCCCCTACCATAAGTCATGCACTGATGGCATTTTTTTATTCACTTTATTCAAAAAGCCTCTGGGCTTCACAGCTTGTTCTCCAAGTTCTTCACAGCTCGTTTTTTTCTTAGGAAAAAGAATTAGAAGTTTTTGCAGGCTGGTTTATATAGGCAACAAACGTTGACACATAAAATAAATTTCTGTTCCCCTAAACTAAATTTATCTGGTAGCTGCTTCCTTAGCCAGTCTCCTGTTCCAGATTGAGATAGGAAGAAAAAATCCCAAATGTGACCTTTTCTGGCAGGAAGAGGCTTTAGTTTTTCAAACAGGTTTATGGAGCAATCATTAAATTTAAGGAAATTAAAACACAATAAAGAACATTTCTCCTCTTCTCCTTCTCTAAATATGACTAGTGTCTGTCTTGGAGCACAGCCTTGGAGTTACACAGAGGAGATGGACAGGAAAGTCCTAGAAGTCATGACTGGCAGGTCCAAAGCACAAGTGTACTCTGGACAGTGTGATCTGTGCTGGTGGATGAACTTTTTGTCTGCCTTAGAGGAAATTTGCACGTGGTAACTCTTCCAGGACCTGGATAAAGCAAAAGGTCAAGGTAAAGTGAAAAGTCAGTTGGAATTCCCTTGTCCAATTCAGTTTCACAGAGCCTCAAAAAGCCCAGCTCATCAAGGAATCTCCTACCCTATTTTTAAAGGAAAACCTTCTGTTGAGTTGGGATCATTTTCTGAGACCAAGGCTTCCATTTGTGCCCCATGGGTTTCACAAGGCAGGTACAACACTCACAGTCAGCCCAGAACCTTGGTGGCCTCCTGTTCCTCCTGAGCTCTGCCTCTCAGTCCTGGCCATCAGCGCTGTGATAAGCACAATCTGAATGTTTCAGCCAATGGTATTTCAGCCCAAACCTTTGAAAGGAACAGCTGTACTCACAGGGGTAGCCAAAGGAAGGGATTTTTTTTCTCTGAAAAGCCTATTGAGAGGAAAGCATGCATTGACTCTGTCTGCCAGGAGATGGATTTCACCTGGTGGCACAGGTGAAAGGGAAGCAGAAACATCCCAAATTAAGAGCCTGGAACCATCCTGAAACACACATCTGAGTTCAAATTTCCATACTAAGTTTGCAGCCCATGGCTTGGACAGGAGCATCCTTTTTGCTGGGTTAAGAACTGGCTGGATGGCCAGGCCTTGAGAGTCATGGTGAATGGTGCCACATTCAGTCACTAGTGGTGTCCCCCAAGGATCTGTGTTGGACCCAGTCCTGTTCAATATCTTTATTGATAATCTGGATGAGGGGATTCAATCTACCATTAGCATATTTGCAGTTTTATTGTGCTAAGGCTGGTCAGAAAGGATGTGCTGGGCAGCAGCTGTCCAACAGAGCAGAGGCAGGAACAACCTCAGCCAAAGAGGTTTGTGTGGAAGTGGAGGTAGTTGGTGTCCTGCCTGTGGTTTCCTGCAACAGGCTTTGTGCCAGCAAAATTGCAGCATTGGGTGTTCTCTATTCTCCCCTAGGGCAAGGAGAAATCCAGCCCCTTAATTTGGCGGGATGGTGCAAAGGAGTGCATTGCTCCTTTCTTGCAGTCAGGCAGGGTTTGGCCATGGTTTTCCTGGTAGTTCATGCAGGGATGGGATGAGTAAGCAATTCTGCAAGATGATAAGAAGTAGTCTTTTTGGTAATAATTAGCTGTGATGAAACAGAAAACAGGAGCTTTCTGGGATTTTTTGGGTGGAGAAATAGTCAATTTGTTTCTACAGTGTTTAATGAGAGTGGGAGTTTAAATGTCTTTCTTGCAAGCAAAGAGCTTGCACTGATCTCTGTGTCTGACATGTAATTCTGATTTTTCTTAATAGCAGCCCACTTCTCTTTGCCAGGCAGCAGTGATGTGGCATACCACTCTCCTATCTGCTCCATAGAGAACATAAATGCTCCATTATTTGGCCATGAAAAAGAGCATCACTTTGTTTCTTAGTAGTTGAGTTTCCTGGCAGTCGAAACCAAGCAAAACCACTTCTTATTTTTCTTGCTAAAGCAGAAGATATCTGTAGGTTTCTGCTGCCAACAAAATGTTGACCCCTCCCTGTCTTGGTGTGCAGATGTACACATATCCTCCTGATGATATACTGGAAGATGGGGCTGTCCTTGAGAGATCTCACCAGCCACTTCACTGTATTTAAATAGCAATCTTAGAGCTGAATAAGGAGTCTGCTAAGTAACGTGTAAAGCAGCTGACTCTATTCCCTCACGGGTTCTTATAGGCAAAAAACAAAGACGATTATTAAGACAAAAGAGCACATCACAACGTTGGGAGAAATAACCTTATGTCTTTCTCTAAAGCTTAGCAAAATTCAAGCCTCCACATAAAGTTCATTTTTATGGCTCAGAGACAACACGAAGAATAGGCTTGTATTTTTCTACAAAATTCCATTCTACTGGTGTATTTAAGCTATATCACCCTTTCTTTTTTTTTCTTTTTTTTTCCCCCCAAGAGGATTATAACCCATATGTCTAAAGAATTTGTGTACCACATTTCAGGTGGGATTTCCAGTGTTCCTTCTGGGCCCATTGCCACAGGAATGATGCTGAAACAGATGGAAACTGTGCTGACAGCCATTGATGTGACTGGTATGTACAAGGGGGTGCTGCCCTGTTCCTGAGGCTCCTGACTGCAGGTCTGGGATGTGGCCTGGGGAGAGATGATGTCAGGAAGCCTCAGCATCTGTGTGTGCAGGCAGAGGGAGGTGTGTTTTCTGGAGAGATGGATGAGTAGTGTCACTGGAAGGAGCTCAGCTTTGTCACAGTCTTTCCTTGTCCCTGGCAGTGCAGGCACAATCTGTTTTTATTGACTCTTAAATGGGCTCACTCATATCAGAACATTCCCACTTATGAAGCCATTCTGATGATGAAGTCCCAGAGACTTTCAAGGCTTTAGCCAAAGGGAAAGAGAAAGAGAGGAAATCCTACCCATTGAGCCATGTTTGCACAAAGTGAAAGGCTGGGTGTAGTGTAAGGAAGCAAACATGGAATCAGAGAATGATAAGGGGTTGGAAGGGACCTTAAAGATCATCTAGTCCCAACCCTCCTGCCTCAGGCAGGGACATCTCCCACTAGACCAGGTTGCTCAATGCCCCATCCAACCTGTCTTTGAACACTGTCAGGGTTGAGGCATCCACAACCTTCCTGGGCAACCTGTGCCAGTGTCTCACCCCTCTTAGAGTAAAAAATTTCTTCCTAATATCTGATTTAAATTTCCCCTCTTTCAGTTTGTCCCCCTTACTCCCCATCCTATCACTGCAGTTCCTGATGAAGAGTCCCTCTTGGGCTTCCCTGTAGGCCCCCTCCAGATACTGGAAGGTTGCCATGAGGTCTCCACAAAACCTTCTCTTCTCCAGGCTGAACAACCCCAATGCTCTCAGCCTGCCTTCATAGGGGAGGTGCTCCAGTCCCCTTATCAATTTTGTGGCCTCATCTGAACTTGCTCCAACACTTCCATGTCCTTGTTTTGTCAAGACACCAGAACTACTCAGCACTCCAGGTGGGGCCTCACAAGAGCAGAGGAAAGGGACAGAATCACCTTTCTTGACCTACTGGCCATGCTTCTTTTGATGCAGCCCAGGATTCGTTTGGCTTTCTGGGCTGGGAGTACACACTATTGGCTCATGCTGAGTTTTTCATCAACCATCACATAACTGTATATGTCACTGGTGTCTTCTCAGCACTTTCTAACCAGTTTTGTTTTCCTTTCCCTTCATCACATCCGTTATACTTTGCAGAATATCAGAGAGCTTGAGTTTGTCTTATTCACCCCTCTTGTACTCACTGGTATCAGCTACTCCCTATCCTGATCCTGGATGGCTCCTTGGCACCCAGACCCAGCTGGGTAGCATCCTGTGCGCCTCCACCACTCCCAGTTAACTGCCCTGGCCAGGCTGGGAGCCCTTGCATGCTCCCCACAATGTGGAACTCAGCTGAGGCAGCCTTTTCATGTGCATGCCAAACAAAGCAAGACTGAAGAACCAAGGGCTGTAGCCAGGTCAATATATGAAGCACCTCTGTATCTCCCTCTCCACTGGCTGTATGATGATCCCTCCTCTGCTGGTGTGAATTGCTACCTGCTCTCTTTAATGGACATGCTGCAACTCTCATGAAGACTAAAACCTGATTTACGAGCAGCCTCCTGTGTCCAGAGGGACAGTATGCCTCAATATGAGGCAAGTCACAGTATGGCATTTGCCTATCATCAGGACAAATTTGTTGGCTGCTCTGTTGTCCCTGATTTTTCTCAGAGTGGCAGCTGCTCTGTGTTCTGACAGAGGTTTGGATGAGGCAGTCTCTGGCACAGATCTCCTGACACTGCAGACCTGAAGCGCTGCCATTGTCATGGAGATACAGGAATCTGAGCACACCTCGCTGCTGTTCTGCTGCCCCCTCTGCTGCCACCCATCTGAATTACTTGGCTCCCAAAATTGCCACTCTGCGTTGCAGCCTGTGAAGAGGGTGATGCTAGAAAACCAGATGATACCATAAAGGAAGACAAAAGAAACCACTCTGCTCACCACTGACCACTCATTTCCTGTGAGTTTTGGAGAAGATTGCATTTATATAGTATGTATATGTTCTCTTTGCCCCTGGTGGCCATCAACTTCTAGAGAGAACCAAAGGCTGGGGCTCTTCTTTGGGTTAAATTTGGAGTCAGAGAAAAGAAGTGCAGGATGCAGGGTGGTAAGGACCACAAATGCTTTAAAAAAGCCCCAAAAGAGAGAAGCAAGAGAGAAGCAAAAGATTGCAAGGGAGAATGGCCTGAAGCTTTATTGGGTTGATAACCTGATGGCATCTCAAATGGTGGTCGGGAAGTAGCTCAATGAGGGAGTGGCTCAGTCAGACTTTGGGAAAATAGAACTGACTGGGGAAAACAAAGCTTTTCATAATTAAAATTATGTTTTCTACAGAAGACAGAGTTGGAGGAATTTCCTTGTGCAAGGACATTTCCAGAACACAGCCAGTTTCCCAACACTCTTTGTCTGATGAGTCAAAGCAAAATAAATCATGTTTGATAAACAACCCAAAAACATAGTACATTCAGAGCACTGTTTACGTTAACAATGAGGCAATTAATAGCTTGCACCAGAAACAATTGACCACAATATTCCTGTCCTGTTTTAGTCACTACTTCCCCGGACCCCAGCACTTCCTCCTGGTGTGCCATGCCTGCTCACAGGCTAGAGGCACAGCCCAGGCGTGGTGCATCTCTTCAAGTATCTTCCCCTAGTTCCCCCAGAACAACTGCAGCAGCAAGGACTTCTCGAGCTGGTCCTGCAGTGACTGCAGTTCAGATAGCCCTGGACTGCATTTGGTCTGTGCCACCAGGTGAAATCCATCTCCTGGCAGACAGAGTCAGAGCATGCTTTTCTCTCAACAGACTTTTCAGAGAAATCCTTTCATTTGCTACCCCTGTGAGTACAGCTGTTCCTTTCAAAGGTTTGGGCTGAAATACCATTGGCTGAAACATTCAGTCTGAGCCCAGAAATTCTTAAGATCTTGTTAGACCTGGCTTGGTCTCACACTCCCACATCTTTTTCTCTAGCATTTTGCTCATTTGTTTATATTGAAGATTCGCTGTTGTTGCAAGAGGCATCTCAAAGTGCTTTACCGCTTTGCAGAAGACATCTGCACAATCCCATCTGCCACGCTGTGTTGCTTGCACGCACATATTTCACCAGAGTATGAGCAAGTAGGTGCAAGCAGGTGGCCAGCAGCAGCAAGTTCACCCAGATAAGGGGCTCTTTAGCAGAAAGTCAGCTGTAGCCCACATTCCCCAGCAGGGGGTAACATCATGGGCTCTGTGTGTCAAGCATTGGTGAACCAAGACAAAATCTTAATATTCCAGCTCCTGAGCCATTTCATAACATCTCCAGCCATCTGTCCTTTGGCAATATCTTGTGATACGTGCAGTGAAGGTAAACAGTACTTTATGCAACAAGGGCTGGCATGCTCTTCTCAAAACTGTTCCCCAGCTCCTAGATTGATTGCACTATGCTTATGCTGAGATTGCTCCAGTCACTCAGGCCACCTGCCCTGTTCAGTTCACGTGGCAGAGGCATATTCTTCTTCTTTACTGATATTATGCTCAAACCACGTTAAACAACTACTGTTGTGTCTTTCAAGGAAAACCAAGTTTGTAACCTGGAAATTGTGGCCAGATCCTTCCCACAAATTAAAGGGCAGAAAACCGAAAGGCAAGGAGCTGAAAGCAGTAATGCAATTACGACCTGTTAGCACGACTCTCCAGGTCTGCATAAAGGT